TAATAAGATAAAAGCAAGCGATTCGGTTAGCGTAGATGCTGTGACAGGTAGAGTACAAAGTCTTGGGCGTTTCAGATGCGGACCACGGCGGCTATTGCTATCGATAGGACCTTAAAAGCTCTAAACCCGCAAGCCACCGCCAAACGGGAGGATCAACTGGTCCATAGGTGTTCCAAGCAACTTCAACGTTCTTCCTCCCTTGTCCCTGTTACTTACACTACGTCTTATCCATGTACATAAGCGTACAAAACGGCGGTCCGCGAAAACATGCACATATAGGACCGTTGGACAAGATCGCTCCTCGAGTCCAAACCGAGTTTTACGCAGGCGGAGACTTACGGTTATGTCCACCATCGGTTACATTTCGCTTATCCTCGATGTGTATGATTTGGCCAGTTGACTTGTTGGTGGAACGACACGATAACAGCTGTTACTAGGTCTGCCAGGCATAAATATCATGTAAGATTCTTAGTTACTTGATTTCATGTTCATCTTCATGTTTGTACATCTGTTAACTAGTGTGTATGTGCATATACGGCGGGAATCGAACCATTCATTTCGAGCGTGATGCTTGCATATGCCGTGGATGTGTTAGGATTAAGGTCACATAATGCTGTATGTAATTACATAGATAGTATGCTTGACACGCTGAATCGCTACACCTGTTCAACATCGCTTCTATAACTTCATCGCTCGGATGTCATCAATGTTTGTTCGAGTTACTATGTAGGAGAAGGGACGACAAAGAAACTTTCTGATCTGAGCTGAGCTGCACACTTAGCGAATCAACATCATCGTACCAGCGCGGCGTGAAACGGCGCCATTGCACAATCAAAATTACGGACCTCATTCGATCCATCGGTTCAGCTTGTCCGCCTTTCGCCTTTCCTTCAATCAACCTATTCATCATTCCAGCCATTCACGACCAACCATAAGGCAGCATGTTTCGAAACATGTCGACAATGCATCTTTTTTAGCAAGCCCCTGAGCCAGGGTCATACAATCTGACAATACCAAGAATTAGGGGTCTGTGTTTCATCGCCCCTAGGAAGTTCGGATCGCGGGATCGCCCTTTACCTATGAAGTTCGGGCCCCCACTTACTATTTTAGAAATACTATTTTAGAAACTCCATCGGATGATCGGAGCCGGAGCGGTTAGACAGATTAAACTCTTTTCTTCAGCGCTTACCTTAAGTACCTAACCTACCTAGGTACTACGTTGTTCGGAAATTTCATTTTATTTCTACTTCAACGGCTCAGGTTGATTTTATATAGCTAGGTAAAATCGATTTAATGACTGCCTGTCTGCCTGTCGACAGCCGCAGTTCCATATAGGTTAGGTACCTAGCTATGCCGGTATATTAAAATAGTGACTGGTTATGGTTTTGCTTTGTTTTTTTGTCACCTTTTGTTTCGAACAGAGTGGACGATACATATATATTATACATATGAAAGGCGAGTAGTCACCTAGGTAATTAGCTTTTAATATATGATATAAGTGTTAAGTAGTTACATGTATAAAGTCCGATATTTATGAGATGTAAATATTCCTATACCATACGAAATACGTTGTGAGTGAAACAGAGAAGTTAATACATGGAGTCAATTGTGTTGGGATAGTCTAATAAGATCATTTAGTTGAGGGCAAACTAACTACTATATTCATAAACATTAACCTACTACTCCTTAGCCCAGAATATCAGATGAATGAGCGGTAACTTAGTAGGTAACTGTCCAACACCATACAGGTACGGGTTAATAAGTCACCCCTTTCCCATGGTACGTATGGAAGTAAACACCCTTTTCTTCAAACTACAAACTATGAAAATGGAAAATATTAAACGATATGGCAATCTGCAAGGTTAACAATTCCTTGGATATTTCATAGCCTAGTATTATGATATCGTACCTACGCCCTCCCCTGTCGACTCTTCATGAGCGGTTGTATCTTCTGGCCGAACGCGTCTATACCCAGCAAAAAGTCATCGAATGTAAGCATAATCCCCTTCGTCCCTGGCACAGATGCGACTTCGTCCAGCATGCTCGCAACCTTCTCATAAGAGCCTACCAAGGTGCCCATGTTGATATTCACGGCGCCTTCCGGGAGCATCAAGCTCCTAGCTGTGGAGTTGGCGTCCGCGTTGACATCTTTCGACGACTGCGACCTCATCCAGGCCAACGCGTCCGCATCAGCACCGTCGTTATATAATTTCCATTTAGCCTGGGCCGCCTCGTCGGTTTCGTCGGCGATAACCATGAAGAGAACATATGAGCTGACGTCGCGGCCCGTCTTAGCAGCTGCTTCGACGAGACGAGATGTCGCTTGGCCGTATGCCGTAGGGGTATTGATTCCGGCGCCTATCACGAAGTTGTAATCCGCATACTTGGAGGCGAACTCGATGCCCCTGCCTGATTGACCGGCTGCGACGATATCCACACCAAGATCCTTTGGTCGAGGGGACAGCTTGCAGTCGTCCATCTGGAAATATTTCCCCTTGAAGTTCGACACGCCTTCTTTCCAAAGCTCTTTCATGACTTGGACGTACTCGGTGGCATAGTCGTACCTATACCCGAAGTACTCGTCGCCGGGCCAAAGACCCATTTGAGTATACTCGGCGGATTGCCAACCAGTGACCATATTGATTCCAAACCTCCCGGGCGCGACAGAGTCAATCGTTGTAGCCATTCGAGCGGTTATGGCTGGAGGTAGGGTAAGCACGGCTACCGAAGCAAATAATTTGATCTTTGATGTGACAGCAGCCAAGGCGGACATAAGGGTGAAACTTTCTAGATTATGATCCCAGAACTCGCTTTTGCCGCCGAATCCACGTAGCTTGATCATGGAAAGCGCAAAGTCAAAGCCATAGGCCTCGGCTTTCTGGACAACCTGCTTGTTCAGCTCAAAGGTAGGCATGTACTGAGGTGAGGTCGTCGATATCAGCCAGCCATTGTTACCAATGGGGATAAAGACGCCGATGTCTACAGTCGTCATCTTCCAGTTGTGAGGAGTTACAATTAAACCAATTCCAATCTAAGACTTGTCCTTCATAAGATGTTATCGAGGATGTTCATTCCTGGAAGAGTTAGCTACCTACTGAGTATATAGAAAGTCCGGATATTTACGTTACACGCCCTTATACCCTTCGGCATACTCCCCTTTCGACCCCGCTGTCGACGGTAGCATTATAGATAAGCCCTTGGTGAACAGTTGCACTCATAAATACACCATAAGCAAACAAGATATAGACCTACGTCAGACCACCGTCGACGATCACTTACTCGATTTGTATGGCAGATAGGTTGACCTCGGTACGTGAGATATATGTGCTTATAGCTTATACGAGAGTATACATGCGCCCATCCTTAGAATAATAGGTGTACAAGGTGCTTATCTCGACTATCGTGATTATAGAAGTCATCAAAGTTATTTGAATAATGGAAGCTATACATACATACCTTAGGTACATTTAGGAGAGAGAGATCTGAGATATACAAATGACTTTCGTTAAGTGTTTCCAGAACGCATAGCGACCAGTCTCAGCTGGCATACAGCTGGCAGAGAATAATGTACTAATGTTTTCAATGCGATGATGTAACTAGGTTAGCAACTTGAGACTCAGATCTTAAGACTGCCTTATATTTACTCCATCAGCCTGCGCTGCCCGGCCGCTACAATGGCAGAAATATCTCGCCCATTTGCGCCGCAGAATCTCCCAGGACTCGTGAAAGCAGCCTTTGACGCGGCTCGGGCTAATGGCGACTTGACCTACTATCCGACTCAAGTCACTATCTTGACACCTAATTCTATTCCCGTGAGCATATCCGTCTATTTACATATATATTTACGTATAATACAGCAATGACTTACCACCCACTTCAGTTCCAACTTCGCTTTTCGCCAGCTTTGGCATTGAAACCCAAAGGCCCGAAGCCCAAAGAGCCTCACGGCAAGCCGTTCAATCCCTTCGAAAACCCCTCCCCCGCTCTGCTCGTTGCCGACCTGCCGCCATCCCATCGACTTGTGCTGAATAAGTTCGCAGTCGTGCCGGAACACTTCATCCTGATCACCAGGGAGTTCAAGCCTCAGACGCATCTTCTGGAGAGCCCAGATATCGCAGCTACGTACGCTTGCATCCAAGCTTATCGCACGAACGGACAGGAGTTGTTCGCATTCTTCAATTCGGGCCCGCACTCCGGTGCTAGTCAGCCACATCGCCATCTACAGCTTCTCCCTGTCGAGCGGATGAAAGACGGACTGGAGGACGTGGATCGAGGTAGCGAGTGGAGCGTACTGGCAGAAAGGGCCGCTGAATTTGAGAAAGTGCTGCCGTTTAATGTCTTTACTGCAAGCATCCGTCCGGACATGACTGCCGAAGAGAGGCACAGTGCGTATCTGGAGCTGTATAGAAGTGCCGTCAAGGCCACATTCCCAGACAAAGAAGAGGTCGATAGCGAAGGTGAGGCTGTAATAAGCTATAATTTCGCAATGACAAGTAACTCCATGGCCCTATGTCCGAGGACGGCAGAGGGCGCGATGATCAAAGATAAGTCGGGCCAAGACGTTGGCGTAGTATCGCTCAATGGAACAGTTTTGGCTGGCACTACTCTCGTCAAAAACCAGGTCGAATGGGATGTTTTAAGAGAAGACCCCGATCAGTTGCTCAATGTCCTCAAGGGAATTGGCCTGCCCCCTTAGTGGATATTGAGGGTTAGCCAGCTGAAGAGGGAAGGGAGGGTGCTTAATAAAAGCCATATATTTTATTTTCTTGGTGATACCTAGGACCTATTTGAAGTCCCGTCGTTGTAAGTACATACTAAACTAAACCTCCGGTTTCTACATTACCTTAACTACCTACCTTACCTTAGGTACAATTACCAAAATTCTAATACACACCTTGAAGGTTCCTATCATACACACTTGAGACCAACACACATACATAGTCCAGCTAACATACCTCCTACCCCCGCAATACTCAACCCAAGCAGTCGGCTGAATTCATTCATTTCCATCCCGCCTTACCCTCATCCACCAACTCCTTCCACTTCCTATGGCAAGTAGCGCCGCCAAACTGGTACGAGCCGCCATGGTCCATAATGTACTCGGCCACCTGGCCCCAGGGCGCCTTGGCCGGCATCATATCGTTGCCCTTAGCCAGCTTGCGAACGGCCTTCTTTAATAGACGTATCTGTTGTGCCCATTCGCCACGCGTCAGTTAAAACGTAATGAAGAAAGAAAAAAAAAAAAAAAAAAAAAAAAAAAGAAAGTCTAGAGGTAGGAAGGAAAACCCACATCGTTGTCTTGCCACTCGGGCTTTCTCACACGCGCCTCCTTGTCCTTCGTCAGGGTCCGGAACCGTCCTCGCAGCGTAGATTCCGCCTCGGTGAAGTTCCCCTCGAGCCGGATCTCGCGGTAAGTCTTGCCCGCGAGCTTCGATCGGACGAGGAAATCGTCCTTGGCCGAGCGGACTCTCTCGACGACTCTGGTGCCGCGTCCACCGCGAGCCGGTGATCCCTCGCCTCCTTGAAGTACTGCGGCGTTGTCCTGAGGCTCCTGTTTCGGTTGTTGGGAAGTTCGTATTTTGTGATGAGGAGGCGACTGTTCAGGGTCAGCGGAGAGCTGGGGGAAGGCTGGCTTCTTTCCTTTCGAAGATGACGATGACGGCGACTCGGACGATACTATTGGCCCCAGCCGTGATCTCGCCGGTTTGCTTGGGAGTTCCTTTCGTGGCTTTTGGCTCTGCCGTTGCGAGTGGAACGGGCTGCGAGGGTGCTGGTGCTGGTGCTCGTACGTGGAGGTGCTGAGGTCCAAGTCGCCGCTAGCAAGCATACTATTGTGGACTGACTCCGATGAGGAGGCTGGTGTTGGCGATGGGTTGATTCGCAGCATCTTAGGAGAGATAGTCGAAGGATAACTCGGCGACGCCCAAGAATTTACAGGATTCTCCGGGCCGACAACAGAACTGTTAGCTTGCAGGTGTCCAGAGGTGTTGCTATGTACCGCCATGGGATCGAGGGTCATCGCAGCCATGGCTTCAGAAGTTGCCGAGGATGGGGCTGAAGAGGAGAAGCTGCTGGGGCTGACCTGTAAGCCATCTAAAGGTTCCCCAAAGACGGGGATATTGGAGGACCAGTCGGTACTAGGAAGGCCATCTGGGTAGTCGAGATAGTTGGCCGTTTGATGACGGCCAGCCATGTCGCACGTCTGCGCGGAAAATTGCCGCCCGTCGTAGTTGGCCCCGAAGTCTCGAGGGTAGGCGTTTGTTGTGCGGAGGCTTGGTAGATGGCTTCCAACAGGTCCTTTGTTGCGTTGGGGATGACTCGGGTCCAAATCTCTTCCGGCATTTACGCCTGAGACACCAGCGGCTGTCGTTTGAGTTCCAGTGTATGAAGTACTCGTCGTATCAATGGGTGGAAAACATTCGCCATAAAGGACCTCGGGCTGAGAGCACAAGCATGAGTATCTGCTCCGATGCCATTCTAATAATGGGCTGCGTGATGATCTTACCATGTAAGCTTCATCCCCACTATCCACGCTCATATTTTGGAACCAGCTTTGGTCATCCATTGTCTGCTTCAATAGGAGTTGTTGAGACACCACGCGGTTCCAGAACTTGCCTATTTCGTGGGGGCAGTTAATGAATTCTAGACGAAGGAACGCCTCCAGGCTATTCTCTTCACATTGGCAGCGAAAGTGAGACCCAGATGCAAAGACGTCGTCACTCGGTAGAGCATTCCAGACAAGCTGGGGTGTCTTCGGGTTGATAACCATCTTGACGTAGGCTTCTGTCATGGCCTCCTTTTCTCTTCGTCTACCAGCTACACCCCCTCTTTCTCCCAACTTTCACCGCCGCTTCTGTCGGCCTTCTGCGCGAGTCTAGGCAAGGAGGATACCTTCGACGCTCTTCTTGATTCTGCTAGCAGGCCGATGTTGGGTATACTTGCAGCGGACCTTAGCGGTCAAGAACTTGTGTTCTTGGTAGCGATGCAGGTTTTGTGCGGCCTCCCGAATATGAGTCAGGAACCGTTCCCGCAACTGTCCTCCTAGTTAGAACACATGGGGCAAGTTCTTGTAGAGAAGGTAAATACCTAGGTAGTAGGTGCTGTAGAGAGATATGCTTAGATGTAAAAAGGGGACTCCACGCACCGCACGATATTCACCGTATTAGAAAAGTAGGGGTTGGCTACGCAAAGTCAAAAGGTATTAGCTTTGTAAAGCCTTGCAAATAGGGTAGGTATATAGGTGGCATATAGGTGGCGGTAGTTTTTCAGTCTCCAGTTTATCATTCACTGAGGGTGACAGATTCAACTAATATGCTCAGGACTGTCTGACTTATCCTGCAGGTACAGGTGGAGGATGTCGGGACTAATACTATTCATACGGCGCTCACCTTTTTCCAGAAGCTCAGCCATTGTTTTCTGCATACTGTCTACGATATGCGTGAGGATATTCTAAAGCTTTCCGAGCATTGATGATGAGGAGGCGGATAACAAGGATCGGAAGTGGAGGAGCGGGAAGCAAGTCTCTCAAAAGGATCATCAGATTACCCAAAACGATCTTGATGCCGTCTACTCATTATCATACGGAGGTGACAATGTTCTCTCTACGGTAAACTAATAACCATGGCCCTGGATGGCGTCGATGAAGGTTGCCAAAGCTGTACAAGGGGTATCCCTGCGTTGCTATAGATTTTTTTGGCTGCGGCTCTACCTGCAGATGTATGTACTGGAGATTTCGGCACAGGAGAGCATGAGACTATTCTGCAGGGGTGAGTTCTATATGGGAAGTCCCTCTCTAGGGCATATCTGCAGCAAATGGCAAACTAGCTACATTCGAGCCGGCATATACTACTTTTAGTACCAAACGGCACAGACACTGGCTACTTCTATATGCAAAGCTACGGGCATCTGCGGATAACTCAAGCTAGTATCTTGTACACCACAACTCCTCATCACGTCTGCATATGAGGTGAGGGGGTATCTCTCAGTTAACTCGAGCCGAGCAATCCCGACGATCAGCCCCTGACTTCATTCGCCTGTTTGATTCCTCCGTTGGGACCGACCCTGCGTAGACTTTTGACATCTGCGAGCGGGAACGCGGGTCCATGCTTCTACCGGTTTTGTAAATTTGTTCTGGGCCCATCATCCTTTGGTTCTAACGGGTTTTCCTGCGAGACGCTAGGCATCCATTACCATTCGCTCCCCACCTCGGCTTACGAGGTCCAGGTTCGGGGTAGGCAATGGGCTGCCATCTAGGCTAGCAACCGAGACATGATGAGCGAAGTCTGTCTGGGGAAGAAACATTTACTGACGAGGTCCTCTTTTCGTACCCCCGCGCCCCTACTCGGCCATTCTATGATCGTAACCGCGATAGTGTTATTAGAGTTATGAGGTTTCCAGCCTATCCTAGCGTCGTCACAAAAAGAAACTGATATGTCATTGCGATCTAAGACCCTTGACCCCGGGATCTTAGTACCAGATCCCGGTAGAGTTGCTACCCCCTGATGGCTCACGCATGCAGGTCAGTACGGAATGGATTAGCTCTACATCATTTCTAGCACTAGCAATAACCGGGGAAGAAGCCTGAGAGCGGGGGTTGCAGAGGTTTTGCAGCTTCATCTCAGGATGGCCTATCATCAGCGTGGGGGGCGAGGATCAGCAGAGAGCCATAATCTGCAAACATTACCTACCCACAGGACTAGACAGTTGGGCCGATATCAAATCACGGTATCGGATGAGTCCGAAATGAGTAGCCAATGGGGGTTCCCAACCAATATATTATCTGCCCCCGCGAGCCATCTTACCAGCTTGCTGGATGAGTGTTTGCCAGATGAGGTGGGTGGCCAAGCTCCTATATTCCGACTTCCCGGTACTCGGTCTCCCCCATCGCCTCTTAGCTTTAGGGGGGGGCAGGGCCTCCACGATTTTGCTGTGAGTTTTGAGGCCCAAATCTTGATATACCGTTCGCCGCGGATCTACATGCAGATTTTCATGCAATGCAGCCCAAGAACTCACTGACCGTTAGTTCAATATAAGTCGGCCGACCTGTATGGCTACGATAGATGAGTATGTGTTGGTATCAACGGGTAATGCTATGCTCCGTTTGAGACATTTCTGCCAACATTGACAGACAACGACGGTTTGTGGCTCCTGTGCAACCAACCATCATCTCCTAGGCAATAGTTTCCGCGTGAATCGACCCTCCCGTAGGCCAGCCTCGCAGACTTGGACTTCATCAGATATGATAATCTCAACGCAGCAAGTGTACTGCCACTTGTGCCACGAGCCCGACTATTCTCATTGGCTAAAGCTATAGTAACAGGATGGTATGTACCTGTTCAACGATAATGTATCGAAGAAGTAACTGGCTAGCTATGTGCTGTATGGTGAAGTGGCATAATGAACTCACTTGTGGCAAGCGATGATCAATATGATAAGTTGACCGGAGTGGCTGACCCGGTGAGTCGTATACCGACGGAAGAAATATATTTCGTAGTATTCGTATACGTATTTCCTTGGGTTTGATCTTTCCATCTAGATGTTCACGCACTGCTCAACTAATAAAGATAGGTACACAACATTTTCGAGCGCATATAACTTCGCATTTGCATGATCTAAAATGACATGGCATACTGAGGAGTCCAGGTTATTGGTAAATATTTAACGCCCTCAGTAGATTCGGCATGAAACCGGGCATTTTGAGATCTGAGATGAAATAGGGAGGCTGGTATGTTAAATTGTAGAGGTAGGTAAGTAGGTAGATTGGTCTGTGTGTTATGAAGTTGTTGTTTTGGGCTGGTCTATGACACTTATTATTCGTTTACTTGTTGTTTTTCTGCGTTTTCTTCCGATAAAAGAATAAACGAATTTTTAATAAAAATGATAGGGCTCTTAATTAACTAACTTGGAATAATTTGGATAGGTAGGTAGCTACCTAGATTTAGTCGCTCGGTAGAATAGAAGAAACAGGCATCAGTTTCAACATTTCTTCATCCGAATCCGGAAACTCGACGATGGATTGGCTACCTAAGATGTGGTTGTTAGAGAAGCTACCGAGGCTCTGCGCTTGTAACGCTCAAGTCCCGTAGGTGGCGTCATGGCCCCCTTGTTCTGAATCTAGTGTCCAAACGGGAACCCCGGCAGCCCGGAAGCTAAATGCCTAGGTTACCCTGCTTGCCATGCTTTAGTTACACTAGTGTACAATACCTACTATGTAACGTACACTATAAAGTGAATCTACACTAGGAAGTTAGGAAGTACGCGGCTAAGCTTCCTGCTGCCCCAGGATTTGACGTCGCACATTGTGCACAGGGCTCCGGTCGCTTCGACCAATCGGCAGCTTTCAAAGATCCACCAAATTTCCTGAAATGGAAAGGCACAGGCAATCGGCCAAGCCTCATCTCATGCCACGCCGTGTTGACTGGTTGATTCATTTCCTAGGGCGTGAAATAAAAAACTACAATCCTTCTGTTTTCTGTTTTCTGTTGTTTTTGTTACTTTGTAACATTTTCGTCGTTGGCAAACTCAGAGTCTTCAACGACCCCGAGGCTTTAAACCGGTATCCATCAAGTCTTCAACAGACATGACATGCCCAAGCCGAGTATTATTTACTTGTATTTACTTGTATGACGAATTCAATCCACTTATACCCGCCGAGCCTTTCCTCTTCTACTGCTTCTTATGCCCAGTTAGTGCAGCGCCATGTCCTCCGTGACGACATTTGGCGCTGAATCGCGACCGACCCGCATCGCTATCTTGCTCAACTCATATCGTTCCCGTCTACTTCCCGCCATCAGGGCCTCCTACGAACGAACCATCGGTGCCGTCGCTCCAGATGCCAGGTTGGCCTTCTACGAGCCCGCCAACAAGAGCGGCCAATTTCCCGACCCAGCCTTCTTCGATCTGATAGTATTCGGCGGGTCCAACGTCGACCCGCGCAAATCGCACCAATGGATTCTTGATGTGCATGAATACCTCCTCCGCCTCGTGACCCAGTACCCCGAGAAGAAGGTCGTAGGTATCTGCTGGGGCCATCAGACCATCTCGCGCGTCTTCGGCGGCAAGGTCGTCGATGCCGCGTACCCAGAAGTATATAAATCTCTATCCTCTTTCCGTAGCACAACCTAGACATTAACCGAAACTCGCAGATGGGCGTAGCCACCATAAATCTTACGGCGGCGGGAAGACAGTTCTTCCCCGAAGCCGCCGCCTTAGGTTCCTTCAAGCTGCAGCAGCACCACCGGCGCGAGGTCGCCGTGGCGCCGCCAGCTTTTGTACAGTTAGCTCAGGGTAACCAGTGCCTGCTAAGCGAGAACAACATGATATTAACATTCCAGGGTCATCCTGAAAAGGATGCCGAAACAGCTCGTCTACGTCTACACGACTCGATGCGGTGGTTCGGATTTGATGCCTCTCTAGATGAGAAGGCGTGGGCCAAGCTCCAGGGAATGGTAAATATGGATCATGACGGACCCGCCGTCTGGAGGCGCATCTTCGAATGGCTCAAGGAGCCGCCGGTCCTAGGGGTCGGAGTTGTAGATAAAGTAAGCGAAATGTAACATTATTCACTGTTTTAGCCTATTCCCCGTAATTTAAAGTGAAACGTCCAATTCGTTATGCTGCCTTTGATCAAGTTTTGATGATATTAAGGGAAAATAGGTGGGATTTAATAGAGTCATACGTGAAGAATAGCATTGTCGTCGTGTCCTGAAATGCTGGAGGGTTGCAATAGGCTTGGGGGTATGGCCAATTAGAAAAGGTCATGATAGCACATGATATCAAATAGATGCATGCCTTTTAAGGACGCCCCCTTATTGATTGAACCAGTCAGGCTTTTTTATAGTCACATTCAACTTAACTCGTAACCGCCCAGCAATGTAGGACAAAGAGAATCGTGCTTTATCCTGTCTGGACATATCATCTGCTACTTATGAGATATTGGATAGGTTATCATTTTCGAGGAAATAAAATACCACTTCTTTCTTTATCTTTAGAGTAAATCCAAAATAGTCGTTGCTACAGTCCGGCCTTGTTGGTGATACTCCTATATATAAGTTTGCTGAATAATGTAGGCGAATATGCTAACTCTATCAAACTATTATCAGTTAGACCTACAGGGCTAATTATTGTAGACCATCTCTATTTTGCCGGCACTCGCTCTTATTTACCTCTCAGAGACCCAAACAGGGGCCCGGAAGTAGCGCTTGCCCAGTTCTACGTCCCCAAATGCCAGCTTGACACAGGTATACACTCCATTTGTATTCGCAAACCAAGACTTCGAAAAGACTCAAGATATACCATCTAAAGAATAGCCAGCCAGCCAGTCAAATTCAACCCAACAATGTACCGTGCCAAGCCGGCATTTGAGGACGTAGCGTTGACATATTCTACATAAGACCAACTACAAAACGAGCTGCTTAAGCCATTTTCCCAACGAGGTCTGAATCAACACGGCTGGTAGCTATGGTCTCTAAGCCACAACAACAGTGAATCCACATATGAGCAACATCGATTCGAATAAGAAGTTGCTTATGAAGTTGGCGCGATTTTAGTGAGCCAAAAGTAAATATGAGATAACTTAGATAACTATGAACGAGTTAAATATAGGTAGGTAAGTAATATCAAGATTGACCGATATACGGGTACCGTGAATCTATTCGACAATTTGGTACCTATTCTATAACGAACTCGTACACTTTTATTAAAGATTACCTAGACACGAACCACTTGCTTTGCATATCAAATGTGCTTCCATTACTTGCAGATAACCCAAGGCACAACAAAATCTAAATGGAATTCTAATATTGTATTATGTACTCGGCAGACAGCAATGCAAACTATATACAATGCAATATATTACGTGTGCGAGTAGAGAAGTAGGACTGCTGCAAGAGGCATCAAAGAAAGAAGCAAAAACAAAAGACCGCTTCTAACACGAATCCGAACTCCTGATCTAGGTTTTGCTTTTCTCTTTTCCATCCCCTATATGTAGGGGATCTGGTATGTTTTAGTTGTATGACTGAGTAAAAAGAACTGATGAGTCTCCTTTCCCGCGAGGGACTTTAGACGCCGGGCTATGCTTTGTAATGCACAAAAAAAAGGTTAAGAAAAGGCCGTTTCTCTCTGTTCCTGTCCCGTACCCTTGAAAACTGAACCTGTGGAAACCCCTCGACATAGTAAAACGGTATCGTGACAAGGAAATTCGTGAAAGCCAAAGTCGTCGACTATTGGCTGTTGCAACTGTGAGACATCCGGAGACTAGTACTTCGCACGTTGATCGTAATTACATATTATCTCCACCAAGTAGGGTTGGCCTCCGTTGGTCTTACATCTTATATGAAACCGGCATCGCAAATATCGCATGCAGCTTCGTGCTTGCGAGCGCTTTCGAGCATCCTAATATCCGACACATCAGCACCGAAGTCCATGATCAGGATCTTGGCATCTTGTCCAGTGCTGACAATACGTCTGTAGTCCGACTTTGCACTTAGCACCCAACTAGCGTGCCATCCTGGAAAGTCTAACTGTTGTTGGCCCGTTTCCATATCGAAGACCTTGATATCGGTATCATAACTACCGCTAATGAGACGTCCGCTAATGCTGTCGATATGCAAGCTGCGCACGAGACTCTGATGAGCTTGTATTTCTTGAAGGCATTCGCCAGTGTTGGCGTCCCAGATACGTATAACCTTATCACTTCCAGCAGACGCCACAAAGCGGCCATCTTCGGAGAACTGACTACAGGCAAGACCCTTAGTGTGGCCGGCCAGTTCGCGAATCACCTTGCCGCTATCGATATTCCAAAGCTTCACAGTGAAATCTCCAGAGCAAGATACTAAGGTGTTCCCACGTAGTTGTACCGCGTTGACAGGTCCAGTATGACCGTTTAGTTGCTTGATTAGAGAGCCTGTAGCTCGGTCCCAAACACAGATGCTACAGTCCTTAGAGCATGTTACGATGTACTTATCATCGAATGCCAGGTCAAGAACAGCTGCGGTATGAAACTTAAGACGTCGAACTGGTCGATATCCTGAGCGCACATTGTAAATAATACAACTTGAATCCGAAGAGCCGGTTACCAGTATTTCGTCGTCATATTGGAGACATAGAATAGAAGCGCTATGGTGAATTGGGAATGAGACAGTGACAGGAACCGAAGGGCTAACCGAAGGGCTCACCGATTCCTCGTTGGGGAAAAGGGCATAGTGTGTGGGGTGGCCTGTCGGGTCGAATAGAAGTGAAGAATCGGTTACGACTTCCGGCGGTCCAATGACAAGACGACATTGGAGGGTGTGCATATCCCATATTCTAATTGTCTTGTCTCGAGAACCAGTGATGATCTTGTTTCTATTCCACGCGTTAGTAAATGTTTAATTGAGTAAACCATTAGCGTTGGGGGCTAAATTCATACTCATCGAATTGCTGGCAATAAACACTGTCAGTATGCCCGTTTAAAAAGACTGCACGTGCTTGTCTTCCTAATTTCCATCGCCCATCTAGCTCTTCTCGTGCTTTGTATATCTTCTGCCAGTCTCTCTGGGAGCGAAGCGAGGGCACGCCGAAGCCAGATCCGGGTTGGACAGGGCGGCCAGTAGCGTATGTGCCCGTCTTTTCCCTAAGGAAGGACTGTCGCCAGACGTGCTGATCATGTGCTATATTATACCAAAGCTTGGAGACTCTGCTTGCAACCGCCAGTTGGGCAGCATCCAAATGAGCCAAGATTTGTACAGCTAGCTCCGGGGGTAACTGTGCAACGAAATCCTTTCTGATCATCGGCGCGCTCTCTTCTAAATGTATATCAAGTTGAGACATTGACGCGGTGAAAGTAATTCCAATGCCGCTCTCGCGGTCATTTTGCGATTCGGCGAGCGAGACCAATTCTTGGTAGTATCGAGCGTGGCCGAGAGACTCGTTCTGCATAGCTGCCGCCGCCTTGGCAGCTGCACCCGTGTGCCAGGGAATAATAGGGGGCTCAAGACCGTTGCCAGGCACGGGACGGCTGGGAAACTCGGTTTCGAGAGGGGAGTAGATGGTCTCTAGGGTACCAGGACCGCCATAGGAAGTACGCGAGTGTCGAAAACTAGTAGCTTGCCTCAATCTGTGCCAAGTCGAGTGCGATGTGGTAGGGCGCGTTTCGTTGCTCCCTGCAGCTGACTCGGAGACTCTGCGCTCACGACGAACGATACCCTTGATAGATAGTGATGCACGTCTAATTCTACCCTTGATTTCTCCAGAAACGCTTCCATTACGACTTTTACGAAACGGGTTTGCACTTGTCGGAGCGGTCGGTTCTTCCTCAATGCCCGGTTCTACGCCAGTGTCATGAGAAAACGACCTCGCGCTCAACGGCGTGGGATCGTGGAACATAGCGGCTAAGGGCCCGGTTTGGGCAGGGACTTTAGAGGGAGACATGACCATAGCGAAGGTCGGAGGGGGACTTCGATGCTCGAATTTGAGGAAAACGCGGTTAAGGTCGTCTCGGTCTGAAGGATGAGGTGGATCAAATCACGGCTCCAGCAAAAGGGATAGTAAAATAACAGCGACAAACAATGCGAAAACGGCAATATGAAGGAAAAATAATATATTTTCAGCAGTCAGTTGAAAAGGAAAGGAGACTGCAGGAGAGAAAGAACGGATGATATGTAAAGTAAACAATGCGCCGGCGAGGCGAAAGAATGTAAGACGTATAAAATAGCTGCAAGTAATAAAGTAAGTAAGGTACCTATTGATAAGATGTAAGATTTAATGTTTTTTTTGTGGCTGGTCAGCAACAAAAAAAAAAAAAAAAGGTCTAAATGCCAGCACCCGCTCTACTTTATTTAAAAGTACCCCAAAGTTACGCTAATGTAGGTTGTATGTACCTTCCCGACATCCTGGACCGCAGTGTTTTTCCTCCTTACTACCCCACGCCCCCTTTTTATTGTCTTTTCCTTTCTCTTTTGTTCGCCTCTCCTAAGACTCTTGAGTCAGGTGTGATCCATAACCGTCTATAGATGGACGCAAAAGGAAACAACTTCTAAAGTCTAGTCAAGTCATGCTGAATAGTATACATCTTCAAGGTCTTTCTATGAGGTAGTCTACAGGTTAGTAGGTGCACGTTATATGTATGTACCTGGCAGTCAAGGAAATAACGTTACGGAGTGGAGGTACCGCATCGGGCATTGGTTTAGGTATTCGGTAAAAGACCGTGGAGTGCGGGAAAAGATTAACCAGAACTGTACCTGACTTGGTACGTGCAGTACCTTGAACCATTCCACATATGTACACTATATTTCTTATTCCTGCCTTTTGCAGCATCCGTTATCCTATTTCAAGTTAGGATCGACTTGCATCCATTTGTCCAGAAGCGGTGCAGCATTCGGTACATAATTCCGTACATAAAAAAAGATAGTCACTATTGTAGGTCCAGGTCACTATCAACGGAAGGATGATGACGATTGAAGGGAGAGAAAAAAAAACGATAGGTCGATGCAGCTAGTCAGTAAGTACCTACTGCTGAAGCAAAGGTCGGGGATCCCCGTAATACACGGACAGGGGGCCGCTAATGGTATCTTTTCATCTCTAGCTTATCTGACTTGCAGTATAAGAACGACCTATAAACGACCTAGAAAATAGTTACCTCGTGGCTCTAATGTCTCTTTGTAATATGATAGGGCAATATAGTTGAATAAGATTTTGGGGTTTAAATGGGAAAGCTGCTGAAGATACCTACCTAAGGTTTAGGTAGTATACCACCTTAATGAGTACATAAGGTACATATGTACCTAGGAGGTACCTATCAAAGGGAAAGTGCGACATGTACCTGTACGTAAGAATTCAGTTCAGATCAGGTACACATTCTTATCCACGGTTTCAGGGCAGAACTTTGTCTCTACACGTGGAGGACCCCTTCTTTGAACGTTGCATTGCACCCTTGCTCCAAATAACCTTTTGAATGACAGGTGCGCTTAAATGGGCTTAGATGGAAATGCCATATTCAATAATCATATTTAATAATCGCATTGTTACGTGTTCAACATATAATTCTCAAAAGATATCTTAGACAACGATGCCATCGTCAACTCATGAGCCGCCACGCTATTATCTCTCCCATGACGTATTCAACTATTGTACATCATTACACACTGACTCTATTTTAATATTCACTATAGATACCTACCTATGTATCTCAGCCTATGCGAATATTGCGAATATGTTTTCGCGTCGCTGAGCCCCCTAGTAGGATTCCGTTAGATTCCCGTTGAATCCTACTTGTGTAAGTCTTGTAGGTGGCGTAGGTGTGGGACGAACGGTACGATTGGAGGCGTATCTATCTAATGGGCTATTGGTTGATAACTACCTACTTACCTACCTGCCTAGCAATAGGTAGTAACAGGTTGAACACCAAGGGCCTTGTCCTGCTTGTCTCAACTTCAGAACGGCCATGGCAAAAAGTTTCATATCCCTCCTCCAAGCACAATCCCTAATCCCCCTAAGCTAACAACACCGGAAATCATAAAATGGTAAACCTGTAACCCCGTCACATCGTTCCCATAACCCGTATAACCGATCCATTGATCTCATAGCATCATTCACGTGTATCGTTGCGTCATTTCAAAAGGAAGAAAACGGAAAGGGGAAAGGGTCGACTCCAAACATCTAGAACTTTTAAATCCTCGGCCTGTGCTCCATATTGCGAATAATAGGCCCACGACTCCCACCGAGTGCCTGGTCGACTCTCTTTACGTGGTCGCGATGACATCTGCGCGCCTCAGAGGTTTCCCGTCCGTCAACTCTCCACCAGGGGTTGGAGTAAGGGCTGAACGTCCGCCAGCCATCCTTCTCTTTCGTTGACTTGACCTCCTCGCCCCGGAGGACGATGAAATATTTAGACACAGCCGGTTGCTCTTGGCGGCGACGGAATAGGCCCTTTTTCTTCTTGCGCTCCGGGAGTAGTTCCGTCATCTGAAACTCGCCCTCCTCGAGGACTACGACTTGCCAGTCACGGCGGCGGAACGGAGTCCTGTTTGTTGACCTGATCTTGTTGTCTATGACAAACTGGATTTGATTATACACGCCCGCGTTGAGACGGAAGACTCGGTTGGCGAGGTCCTGGGCGTACGATCTTCCCTTCTTAGAGCTCTTGGCACCGTATTCTTGAACAGTGTTCACGTGCAATTCGGCCAGCTCTTCTTGAGCGTAAGATGCCAGGGGTTCGATAGTCAAGAACCCGTCGTTATAGCTCTTCCATTTGCTACCGAACTCGATGCCGCAAAACGTCTTCCACGCAACTCGGTCGGCGGTACTCCCGCTGTCGAGAACCATCCATGCTTCGTACACCGTCTTCGCTGGCTCGTCGTTTGGGACGGTGCTACTCCCAGTCAGATATTCGCTTATCATACTATTGCAGGCATCTATGAACGTACAATGTCTTACGTCCGGCGTGGTCTGGGCAAGATTCTTTAGATAGAATAGAAAGAGCGTCCTCATCAATCTCCCGTCGAGTCCCAGTCATCGTTTCGGCGTCTTCGCTCAGTGATGATAGGGTTGGGCTTAGAGGTGGCATTTCTTCTGGATCTACCGTCTGTTTAACTTCATATTCCAACGGCGAAGCCATGGCTTATCTATCAAAGACAGAAATGCTTATTTGAAGTAAGAGAAGGTAGGATAGGTCGAAGTATACAGAGCAGAAATGGCTAGAGCATCAGAAGCTCATGGTGACTCTTTATATGTCATTGGGTCGTCTTACTTGCTTCTGGATTTGGGGACTACAGCCCCGGATTTTCTAGTGTTACACATGTCCCTCTCGCCAAACGTAAAATCGGTGTAGGTAGATGCTCTTGGCGACAGAAGCTGCCTGGAATCATGTTCCATCTAGTATATATCGGTGCTATGATTGGACGCCACCTGCTGCGAGCTGCCGTTCTAGCATGGTTAGGTGGGCGATCACGAGGGTTCTACCTACACAAATTTCGCGATTGGAGCAAAGCTTATGATACTAGGGCTGAACATTGCTTTTCCTCTTGCTGACCGGTAGTTCAAATTGGGGTTTCTGGACCGATCGGTCGATTTAGGTAGTATTGGACTACAGCCGACTTTAGTTGCAACCACTTCATTATGACGGGTATGCTGTCTTCCTATCGAAGCAATAACCTACGTAATATTTTCTAGATGGGTATGATCATACTAGGAATAGTTTTATTTCACTTAGGGTGTATCATGGTATATTGGTATCGCAAATCATAGATATATTTACTGCAGAGGAACAATCTGGAAGTCGTCACTTCGTGTTAACCTATCCAACCCATATCCCAATGTGAAGTCCTAGTATCTACCTAGCTATACTACTAAGTTATCGTATAACTAGGAGCTACATGCAAATATTATAGCTCCGGCAAGAATATCGATATCTCAGTGTCGGCTTCTTCGTCTAGGCGCTGCTGGTTGTGGGTTTCAAACAGGACACGGGCTTCATGTGAAACCCCGAGCTTGTTGAGCAACCCCTGGACGGTCGAGTTGTCGCTGGAAAGATAGATTGCAATATCATTCAATAAGTCTCTAAATTGATCCGGCAACAAGTCGACGCATGGTTGCATGATAGCAGCAGTGACCTCGATCCAAGCAGTAACCAATGTCGGGTGTAGTGAGCCCTGCATGTGTCGGAACTCGATCGTGTTTAGCTGGCTTCGGCGAACTTTTCCCGGGAAGTTCGAGGTTGCCGGCAGTAGTTCCATGAGCCCGATCGACGCTCGACGGGACTTATTCGGCTCGCCGACTAACATCGCAAGCTCTTCCACCGTCTCAGCGCGCCATATCCACTGAACCTTTGGCTTGTTCCGGTGGAGGGATTCCCGAACGCTTGGTGGAACGTTCTGTTCCATCTCGTGGACCCAGTCCCCCATACCAAGGTCATCAATCCAACTCGGGAGCTTTGGGGTATTGTCTGCTGCCATGTTTGTCCCTGTCTGTAGTAGCGCGGCATACTTATTGGCAAGCTGTCGCCAGGACGCGTGCAGTTCCATCAGTCTCTCCTCTACAACCCACATGAGGGTGAGTATCCTCTTGATAGTTATCAGATCGTATTCTACACCGCTGAGACCCCAATGGATATGAGTGCCACAACGGCTCGAAGCAGACCCCGAATCCTTGCCAGCATTCACGCTAACCAAGTAATTCGCGCGTAGAATTCGGCAGATACTGTCGAAGTCTGACTTCATGACGTCGAAATCATGGTATCGGTATGCTTTACTAACGAATTCGAAGCCGAGCCAGAAATGGCCTTGCGGTGTCTGGGGCCTCACAACCATTCTCTTTCCCTTGGCTGCTGGGTCGGTCCACTGTAACGATTAGAGTTAGCATTTGCTTCTTTCCAAATAGTTAAAGAACTTGAAGGTTAGCTTCTGTCTTATTGCGAGAAGAACCACTCAAACAACTGAGTGTAGGTTAACGTAGTTAAAATAAATCCTCAAGCATACTATCATAGTCTCCTCGGGGACAATACTGTTTTCCTTGTAGGAACTATACCGAAAATCGTCGAAATCCCCTAGCCGGGAGTATGTGTCGTCTGGGTTCAATGCCTTGTCGTCTTTGGGGTGGCCTTTTTCTCGGTAGACTGTCGGTATGCCAGTACTGGCTAGCCTTTTTGCAATCTCGTTCCCGAAGTAGTGGATTCTTTCCATATGAACTTCGTGATCATTGAAATCTCTTCTAGCCAAGCCAGATGGCTCCTCTAGCACCTGTTGAGTGGGTGAGCTATGCTTGCCATTCTCGAGCTTCAGGGGAACCGCTCCGGCCTCTCTAAAAAGAACTATAAACTCCAGCTCGACGCCAAAGGTTGCCGTGTTAGAAAATGAGGGAGTGGTTGAGGGGTTCATGGTGAATGCTTGAATTCAATTCTGGGTGATATTGCTCTCTTAGAAATCCGAGCTCTCTGGCTTCTTACAGCCTCCATTCCTAAGGAGTAAACTCTCATCTTTAAATACAGAACTTAGGGGGCGTATTTACCACGACTCTTTAGTCGCTTTTCCTGGAAGATCTCTACTAAGCACACACAAAATAGATGATAGTCGCCTTTCGTCACCTCCCGTCGATATTAAGCTGCCCTCGGCAGTCGAACAAAGCCAATAGATAGACTCCATGGGTACCCCAATCCTAACAGGAAAATCGGCGAAAGCTGACGAGGAATCGTCACGCGGGACACCAACGGGCAACCACACTGCCGAGTATCGATCTGACAAGTACGAAAAAGCTAGTCTTCCCCTCAACTGGTAGTGAGGACATGATGGGCCAGACATGTTTCCTCTTTGTCATGTACACACAACAAAAGTCGTATTCCGCAAGCCGAAGAACCAATATCACCATCGACGTCGCCAACAATAGCCTCGTCGACGCTTTGCAACGAGTATCTATCACATATCAGTACCTATATATCACATCATGCCACTTGTGACTCGAAATGATGTCTTCCCAATCGTGCCCAACGCGTATAGGCTCTTCATCGTCCGGACGTATAAGGCGTGGGATCTAAATTATGTCATATAGTCGTAACATATGAATAGGCTTCGTAGCCGCTCAATGAGGTGTCCTACCGCCAGTGTCACCATGGTCTACTAGCTGGAACTCCGGGTATGCAATGCGGACCGAACCTCTCATCCAGAAGCTAACGCCGTTGTTCAATGGGCTGAGATCACGACTATGTTGCCGGTGGCCCATAACGGGCCGTATTCATAATCCGGACCGGCTTGATGTGGATCATACGGTACCAATTTATGTCACTCTCGTGTCGTACTTGCATATGCGACATCCCGTATTACTTGGCATATCCGTCTTTACCCCCTAAACTGCTCGGAAGTACCGCTGCTCCCGGAGATCTAGCACAGGTTACCCTGTAGGAAACCCCACTCCTGGTGTAGACCTATTTCTAACATACGGTTACGCACGCTGCTTTTATGACCAGCTCACCTAGAGGTGAAGGTGACCTATCTGCACGAATCAGGAGGTGGCATATGTACATCTGACGCGTTTCTTTAGCAAGGTAGGAGTCTTACCGCCATTCTGGTGGTGGATAGATGCGAAGGTGGGATAGAATTGGGTATATTACTTTACCAGGCTTCCAATCACGACTGTAATTATCAACCACGATTAATTACAAGTTCCAACATGCATAATGAAGAAATAAAACCGGGAGGATGGCCCAAGACGGGATGAGAAGCCATGTGACGGCGTCGGTAGTGTATCGGTAGTGAGACATGGATCCTTGGGAATGAAGCTCAAGACGGGATGGGGACTTGATTGAAGATTCAAAGGGAATAAGGTTGTTCCAAACCGGTGGCTTTTTAATGGAATAGGAAAAATAAAAACAAAGTCAAACTAGGCTTGAGAAAATCCAATTGGTCAATGGTAGTTAGATTCTCCTCCCTCTTACATGCTCCCCTTTAGTACTTGCCATCAAGGTTCTATGGAGTATTAACGGAACACGTATTGTACATTAGGAGGTAGTTATTATTTCTTGACTCTTCCCTTGCTTGCTACCTACCTAGCTAGCATTACTCTTTAGCATTCATTAGCAATTCGTAATTTCAACGTTACCAACACCAAGACGAGCAGATGGCCCCCCGTCAATCCGTCCTCCCACTCGCCTACCGAGCTTTCTTCCTCATCATCGAACCTATATCCGCCCTCGTTGGCGCCTTCTTTGCGCACTTCCGGCAGGATGAATATCTCTCCATGACAATACATGCCGAGACGCCAGTTCCTCTCGGGACGTCTGTAGTTCTCTCGCAGCTCGCCAACCTCTACTTACTATTCGCACTTAACGAAGCCCTGGTGTTACGGTGTACAGGCGATCTCCGGGTGTGGCGAACGGTGCTGTTCGTCTTATTAGTCGCCGACTTCGGTCACCTCTACTCCGTGAGCGGGTTGGGATCTTGGGTTTACTGGGACGTGACGCGTTGGAATCCCATCGATTACGGGAACGTCATGTTCGTATATCTAGGCGCGTCGATGAGGGTCGCGTTTCTCGCCGGAGTTGGGCTGAGGGTATCATCCCCGACAAAGACGAAAAAGTCGGCTTGAAGAGAGTCAGTCTTGAGGAATTCAAAACGACAAGTCATAGTTAGGTACTCTATGACGAACTTCGAAGTTGTACCTTTACTACATACATATTATCCCAACAGTATCAATCATGAGCCTTCTATCTCGGTACCATACCCCCAACAATCAAGGCTGAATATTTTTCCTTTTTCAAAGAAGCCTTACAAAACATTTGGAACCCACAATAATTTCTTCGAATCACTCGGTACAATACGATGAAATACCGCACTGCCGGTTTTTAAGCCGTGGGGTTTAGCTCTATCTCCGACCCATTGTTAATACCTACTACCTATATTCGGTTGGCTCCAATCAGATCGACTAACCAAAGATATTGAAGTGATACAACTTCTGCGACTAGGTTCGGTCCCTGTTTAGCGAAGAAGACATTCATGCTTCTAGCATTACTCCGAAACTGGAGCAAACACACCGCTAAGAGTACCGGTTCTATGCCTATTGTGGATAAAAGGGTGATTGGTTTTGGGGGGTAATACTCTCTAGACCGGGGGAATGGAGGGGAATTCATGGAGTTCATACGATAGGTGGGGGTGGCTTTCGTCGGTTTCGTTGCTTCAAATATCAGCTTCGCGAACCCCTCCATCAACCCCTCGTCTATAGTAGGTATTCCTATAATTTTTTGTATCTACCTAGCACCCAGCCCCTAGCCCCTATTATATCTCAAAATGTCTAAATACGACCAATACGAGGGTTTCCAAGTCGAATCGCCTGAGACCTGGACCCAATTCCACTTAAACAAGTTCGACACCAAGCCCTTCGGTGATAACGATGTAGAAGTCAAAATCGAGTGCTGTGGTGTATGCGCCAGCGATATTCACACCATCACTGGCGGCTGGGGCGCTCAGCGTTTCCCGCTAGCTGTCGGCCACGAGATCGTTGGTAAGGCCTTGAGGGTCGGCCCGAAGGTCACTCTTGTCAAGCCCGGCCAGCGCGTTGGTGTTGGTGCCCAATCCTGGTCCTGCTTAAGCTGTCGCCAATGCAAAAACGACAATGAGACATACTGCTCTCAATGGGTAGACACTTATGGTGCTGTCTGGCCGGATACTGGTATCGTGACCCAGGGTGGCTTTTCATCCCACGTGAGGACACATGAATACTGGTGCGTATCTGAACAGATAGCTGAATTAGCGAACGTCTCTTGTAAACCGACTGTCTCTGACTGCTGCTACTAGGGTATACCCAATTCCAGAAGCGATACCAAGCCATCTCGCCGCGCCGATGCTATGCGCCGGTATCACCAGTTATAGTCCGTTAGTGCGGAACGGCGCTGGGCCCGGCAAGAAGGTCGGTGTCGTCGGCTTGGGAGGCTTGGGTCATTTCGCCGTTCTCTTCAGCAAAGCGTTAGGCGCCGAGACGTGGGTCATCTCACGCACACATAGCAAGGAGGCGGACGCAAAGGCCATGGGTGCCGACGGATTCCTAGCCACACAAGACAAAGACTGGAACAAGGACCACCTAATGTCCTTCGACCTTATCATCAGCACCGCAAACAGCACCGGCGAGGGCTTCGACCTAAGCGGCTATCTCGCCCTTCTCGACGTCCACGCCAAGTGGATCTCAGTTGGCTTACCCGAAGGAGAAGGGTTGAACGTGAAGGCTATGGACCTCGTCACCAACGGCTGCTTGATCGGCTCGTCGCATCTGGGAAGTCGACGTGAGATGCTTGAGATGCTACAACTGGCCGCGGACAAGGGGATCAAGTCCTGGGTCGAGGCGGTGCCCCTCAGCGCGGAGAACTTGTCCACGACGGTGCAGAGGCTTAAGAAATCCGACGTTCGGTACCGGTTCACCATGACCGACTACGACAAGGTCTTTGGCGCGTAGAGGTTAGAATCTAGGTAGAGGAATTGTCTCGCGTTAGTCATCGATCTTCTGCATCCACGTGGAGTCCCGGCGACTTTTTAAATAGAAGGAACTCATCGCATTTCACGAGACGCTTGTAGGTCAAGCGGAGTTGAGTAGAGATGATACTATACATAGAATAAAATATATAGATATAAAATAGCACAAAACTTAGCATCGGTTGATGTAAGTATAGTATCCGAGTGAATAGACCCAGTTTAACCCACCTGAAGATCGTTATTACTTGCCTCGATATAATTAAAATAAACCTAAATACTAAGCATTGGAGTGGTTGTAGATGAAGGGGTGGTTTATGAACTGGCAATTAGATCGGTTCGTACCTATAATCAACCTATAATCCTATAAGCTATTACTATAATAGCTATTAACATCTTGGAATTGACTACGAGTTAGACGGAATATGTGCTATGAACTAATATATACCAACAACTTACCTAGTAAAATAAAGAGAATAGGGGCCGACTAAAGATTCCTAGGTTATCACCCACGTACGAGGTATTCCCAGTACGAGTTACCTGGCCCTTGGTTAGGCAGGTATATTGTGGACTACTTCTCCATTTCCTAGGATGCAGTCCTAGGATAGTATGACATGGCATTTGAGGGCGAAGTGCTCCTGCTCGAGTAATACTATCCAGGTCTGTCCTTGTGATCTTCCCTCGTAGTGTACTTATACAACTTAGTACTCTTACTTTATTCTGCTAAGAACGACAGCCGAGGTAGATACTTATCGTCCAGAGTCCTACATAGGATAAGTAGGTAGACGAGTAAGACAAACGTCGAATGCTGTGCCGCAGCTGGGGATTCTCCGAACCATAAACCGGCTGGGCTTTTTACTAATGGATTGGATTCCTGACGGAAACCCACGCTTTAGAATTTGTCTAACTAACCTAGAACGTTGGAGATTTACACCGCCGAATTTGGGGCAAACAATATTATGTCCTTGTTCGAACTTCGACTGAGTTATTGACATGTGGCGTTGCCTCAACTGGTGCCACTGTCTTATACACTAATTTTAGAATCCATGCCGGAAGTCCCCAATGCCTAACTCCAATCCAAATGCCATTATGATCCATCTATATTGTTTCTATGTCAAAAAATTATTGCCGGTGATTTGCGGGTGGGGGCGTAGGGAGTTCAGCTACTACGCGGCGTTCCGTGTCACGACCCTCAAGTTCCGTCGGTGGCGGTCCTAGTAACGGGGAGTAAGACTGATGCTTGTGATCCGTGATTGAGTTCCATCCACTCATTCCGGACATCTGAGATACATGTCTGTTGTCTCCGTGCCAGGATTCCGTCGATTGGGGCGAGTGAGGTACGTATGGATTTTGGTGGTACTGGTTGGGAGAATATGCAGAGAAACCAGGACTTGGGTATCCTGGGCTTGGAGCGCCAGAGCTGTTCCCATTTTGCCATTGGGACATACCGGGGGAGTTGGCTGCTTCTATATTAGTATTGAGCGAGAGGATACGCGTGACAGTGATAGACTCACGTCCTTGAGCGCCATATTGGTTTGTCGCTTCGTCGGCGCCTTTGTTATGTTTCTTATGCCTTGCCAGCCAGCCGCACCTATATGCTAATATCGCGAGAAGAATTGCGACCACCGCTGCACCCCCTAGAGATATGCCTAGTATTGCACCTAGAGGCAGCTGGTAGCCGGAACCCGAATTCGAACTGGGCGTAGACGATGAGGAAGCAAGGAATACCTCAGCGTTGCTTGCATCGTCACTTAATGTTGCTGGGAGCAGGTTTGCTGTTGGACAACCATCATTCTGGCACGGATTTATACTGCAACATCCCATAAAAGGTTGCGAGCCCGTACAAGTAAACCAAGTGCTGGCGTTGTTGGGTGGAGCGCAGCTTTGTCCCGGTATACTATCGTAGTGATCTGATGAAAAGCTTGCCGCTGCTAAATCGTTCTGGGGGCATCGTCCGCTGCCGTCGGCGCAAGGGTCGACGGTGCAACAGCCGATGAAGCGGATGCTTGCATTTTCGCATACATAGAACTTTCCCTTGGACGGGCACGACAGCCCGAGGTCGCTGCGAGTTGTTGACATTGCGAGAACGAGCAAGCTATCTACCAACGGGTAGATTAAGAATTATGGAATGGCTTTCACTGCTGGTGCTGATGGAGAAAGTTGAAAGGGAGTGAAAGCACTCTCCCGTGGGGTCGTCGCAAAAACAACAAAATAACAACAAACGGTATATGATACGGTATATGATGTGGCTTGTCACTTCTGGTTCAGCCAAGGGATATATGGATGCATTTGCTGCCAACACCCTCAGAAGGGACTGGAGCAAACGTCAGTCGACCATGTGAAGATTGGATGATCGGGGCTTAATACGAGGACCGACAGATACAAAGCCCCGTCGGGTGCCGTGGCAGTATTAGGTCCCGATCAAGAGAAGTAAATGTTGGTTCCTTCGGGTTGGTTGTGCAGTACAGCAGATGCAGAGGATATCCCAAATTAGGAACATCACATTCGTCTGATTGGTTAAAGGCCGGGCGCGGTATGGGGGCGCAGTAGAGATGTGCATTGTCCGTAGTAGATATCCAATATTTCGTGTCATAGTTGGAGACTTTACCAACAGGCTGGGTCTGTCTTAGTAAACGGTAAATCAGAAAGCTGCCTACCTATCTTTTATGAACCGCGATCTCCGCATTAACTTGGGTAGTATGTAGTAGTTAGATGAATTATATTCCCTTACTTCTACATGTAGGTACACGGTAATTGATGGCTACATGGCCCTTCGGCCCGTTGGTAATACAAAATTAGAAGTCCTACAAAAGACCATAGCCTACCTAACCTACCCAGGTGAATATCGTCAGCGTCATGGTGAACAGACAGCGTGACCATTGATATATTGATTACTTAGGACGGTGACTGGAGTTCGACGTTTAGGATCGAAATAGGCTTTATCGACAAGGCTGCCTTGCATAGCTCATCTCGGTAATTCGTACATCACACCATAGTGATATTCTACGATGTAACTCATCAGACGGGCCGAGAGGTATTCGAAACGCGGGAAGGCTTGAAAGCAATATCAAAGCGCAAAGTTCAAAGCTCAAAACGATCACTTCTCACGAAGTACAGGATTTTAAGAAGGTAACCCTCATGCTTATAAATTACATGCAGATGTTACATTTGACGGAGCAAACGATTGTAGAGATGTGATAGGCGAGGAGTGGAATGGTAATTCAGATTGATTATGAGTTGGAGTTGTCTAACCTAGAACTTTGCAGTCGAGAGAAGCTTAAATCGGGGTCGAGTTCAAGTATTACAGGTACATAGGTAGCCACGGATGAGCCACAGTCGCATAGTGGATCTCCAGATAAGCTGATAAGATATCTCAAGCAGCCAAGATAATCGCTTCTTCTCACAAAACCCTGAGTGGCCCGAGCGCTACTGCCCACAACTTAGCTTGATTTCCCAAATTCCCACCCGCGAATTGAATTTTGTGTGAATTTTCGAGCAAAGCCCCGAGCCGAAAACTTTCCAACATTCCCTCGCGACTTCAATTCCCATCCCACCAGCCAACCGCCATCCGCTCCTTTGCGAACTTCGTTCCCCCTTCTAGCAGCGAAGACAAATAAACCGCAATCATGAGTGCCGCTCTTAACAAGATCGCGCCCAACAGCCCGTCGCGCCAGAACCCGTCGGAGCTAGAGACCAGCATCGCTAACGCTCTCTACGACCTCGAGACCAACACCACCGATCTCAAGTCTGCCCTCCGACCCCTGCAGTTCGTTTCTGCCCGAGAGGTATGAATAGTTGTTCCCTGCTTTACCGGTTATCCTGGGACTGCTTTAGGCCGGCCCTATTCCTCGATTCGATCGGACAACTTCTTTGCTACAAACGACTCGTCTGCGAATCATGACGAGTTCGATATGATTGGCATAGGAAAATATCCAGCAATATCAGTGGAATAGGACGGGAAGCGGTCCAAGGAACACATATTATTATCGTGTCTCCTGGAGCTCGCCTGCTGACTTTTGGGTCTTGATTAGATCGAAGTCGGCCACGGCAAGAAGGCTATCGTCATCTTTGTCCCCGTCCCAGCCCTACAGGGCTTCCACCGAGTCCAGCAGCGGTAAGTTCCCAGACATAGATATTAATACCTACCTGGTTATTCAAGAGGAATTGCTAACGATTGTGTTATTATAATAGCTTGACTCGTGAGCTCGAGAAGAAGTTCTCCGACCGCCATGTCCTGATCCTCGCCTCGCGCCGCATCCTTCCCCGACCCAAGCGCTCTGCCCGCTCGCGCAACACCCTCAAGCAGAAGCGACCCCGTTCGCGAACTCTGACTGCTGTCCACGACGCCATCCTTACTGACCTCGTTTACCCCGTCGACATCGTCGGCAAGCGTCTGCGCTACAAGGTAGACGGCAGCAAGCTCCTCAAGGTCATCCTTGACGAGAAGGAGCGTGGTGGTGTCGACTACAGACTCGACACCTACTCCGAGGTCTACCGCCGCCTGACGGGCCGAACCGTCACCTTCGAGTTCCCCCAGTCCGGTGCCACCGAGTACTAGGGATAGGCGGATGTTATCTGGGCTGGTATGGGAAGAGAGTTTGGCATTGTCTTTCATGGAATGATAGCATGGCAAATCTGGTGGGCCAAAAACTACATTACTGGCACGGCGTCTAGATAGCTTGTGGACTAAAATGACAAGCTGGTTTTATGATGACATATCACACTTAATGAATTGTTTTCGATATTTGTTTTTTTCTCGTGATTCGTTGCATATTTTCCGCGTCTTCGGGGGTATCGTAAATTATGCTAGCTATTCCTGACTGATCCGGCCAATGCCGATGGCGCTCCAGTACGCCAGTTCTTTCTTCTCCCTTGTATCCTTTTCCTTGCCGGCCGCAGCGCCTACCTGATCCTGCGATACGTCGCCTTCCCACTCCAACCGTATAAACATGGGTATCTCCAATATATCCTCGTCCTCCTTCAGCGGTGCCGAGTCGCCTTCATCTTTGGATAAGCCTGAACGCTCCTCTGCGCGAAGTGATGCGGGCACCACCTCCACCACGATACTAACCCAGTTCCGGCCCCTCTCCCATATCTTGCCTGCTTCCGCCTGCTGCGACGTACTCTCGTCGCCCCGCTTTCGCCCCGCACCCTTTTCGCCGTCCTTCAGCACGTCGTCTAGGTACATGTCCGTATCGGTATTGGCATCGATGTGGAACTGGGGGCACAGCACCGTAACCTTAGATGCGAAGCGTCCGGGCGTGGTTGCCGGCGTCGCAAGTGTGACCTTGATCTCCTCGAACATGGGGTTCTTGAAAGTTAGGAGAAACTGCGCGGGCTGGAGGGGCACTAGAAGGTCTGAAGTTCCCGGTGTTGAGGGGGCGGGGTTAAGCGGCTTGATGGAGATGGAGGGGATACTGTTGTTGGCGACGAGGCGGATGCGCCATCGCGTGTTGCCTACTTTGGACTCGGGCTTGCTGATGATGTGCCGGCATACGGGACACCGCTTTGAGCGCTTCGTACGTAGTAGGTATGGGATCGGCCATAGTTCGTTAGCGAAGCGAGCGCCTTCTTCGACTTGTAATTTTGACTGATCGCTTGTGACGGTACCATCCCATCCGTCGCGGCGTAACTTTGAGATGGCTGCGCTGTCGTCAAGGTCGGCGATACGGAAGCCCTCGCTTGCGGAGTCTGCTTCCCGCATTACGTTCGACTTGGCTTTAGGCTTGCCGATGCCAGTAGTATTACCCGAGTAGAAGTTCATGATTCGCGTAATAGCCCCGGGCGAGCTGAGCCCGTAGTCCATCAAGTTGGATAAGCTACTTGAATTCGGGGAATTCGTGTTGTTCTGAGCGTTGTAGAATGACTTCATGGCCGCGAATCTCGCCGAGGTCGTCTCGGGCACCGCGTCGCTTTTCTTGGACGAAACCTCCCCGGTCGAAGAAGAGTGCGAAGAGTGCTTGGAATGGTCATCGCCGTGGCGGAGCTTTGAAAGTTGGGAGAATATGCCCTGCGGCTTGTCGAATTTGACACCTATCTCGGCCGAGTTCCAGTTGCAGTATGAGCAGGCTAGAATCCATGGTCCAGACGGAGGTGCGGCACTTGCGCTCTCGGCGGTTAGGAGTGATGGTTCGGGTGCTGACTCGAGGGACTGGACGGCTAGCGGTCCTATACATATTGGGCATTGAAAACAACTACGCGTACATCTACGTAAGATTATATTAGTATTATTTACAAGATCATGATACGTTGAGACCGGTTCTAGAGTATATAAATAGAATATATAAAGACGCACCTATTCCCTTCCGTCTTTATACTACTGCTCCCAACCTCAAAGAGACAGTTGGGACAGTATATGGTGACGAGCTCCTCGGCGACGCATCGCGGACAGCGGATCTGATGGCACACATCGCAGTATAGCAAATATTCTAGGGGATATAAGCTGTAATTGGAACGGGGCGAACGCGGATCGAACGTGCGCTCGTCATCTTCGTCAGGCGAATCCCGAGAAGAGGGAGAAGAGGTACCATCTGCGGAACGGGTGTGGATGGCGGTATCGTTACAAGGACATTGTATGTAGGTATAAGGAACAAACGAAGCCATCTAGACGGTCTTAAGGCGGCATATTTCAGCCGCAAGATGCAACCCAAGCTCTGCGGACCAAAAATAATACAGCAATCGAAGTCCAATTTCCGAAACAAACAATAGAATCCTGTGACACTGCTTCCAAGCGGCTGCGCGTCAAAAAGGCGTTGGAACTTTTGTATGTTTTGCGTTGCAACAACTTGAGCAAACGAGCTTGTGAATGCGAATCTACGTACGTATAGAGGTATGCAATATTCGGTGTTTTATGCCCTTAAGGCGGGATGTTCTTATCGATAAGAAGCATCGCATATTATCAAGTTCAATATTCCTAACTTAGGAGCTTACAACTTTCACTTACACGTCAACAGTCAAGCCAGTTAGCAATAGTCTTATTTGTCCTCCAGACGAGAAATGCTAGAGACAATATTCTACAATATTCTACAATACATATAATTTACATATAACTTGCTCCCGGTATTATTGCTCCTTGAAATTACTAAATCCGCTTGTAAGTCGACTTATTCAGCTCTGACCTCAGCGGCCGCAAGTGCATAATATCGGCATGATTTATCTTCTCCTCATGCCGGATAGAAGGCCTGCCATAATGAAGCAAAGTTTTGAACTGGCCGACTAGGGTAACTACCCGCCATATATCGTAATGATATACGAAGAATAAACTTACCCATCGATTGAGGATAATTTAAATCTAATTTGAGCACCGAGAACTGCATGCATTATTGTGCATTTGTTGTCCAGGATCTTGGCTGCCTATACTTCAACTTTCAAGAACAAGATTCACAGATTTTACCCATAGGTCTAGGCCTTCGTCATAATTATTCAAAAGTCATTCATATATGCCGAAGAGCCGGACGGATAGCTTACCCATTCGAGTGCCCAGGAACGCGAGTCGGAACGTAGTAAGGCATCGCGTACATAAATATTATCGGCAGTATTTCGTATAGATTGACAAAAGTCATCCTATATACGCAAAGTCAATCCGCTGATTATACAGGGGTAAAGCTCCAGTTACAAAGAGCTCGGTATCGTATCTGGCTCTTTGGTCAAGACGGTGACTTACAACGGATCGCCAATGAACCACATCATGGTTTACACTAACCCAATGCGCAGGCGTTTAAGGTCCCGGGGATGGAACATGTTACGAAATACGGAGTCGAAACCGCCGAGCTTGCGTGGAGGGCCTCATATATTTTCCAAGGAGTAGCCTTTGGCCTAGACAAAGTTTGTCGAGTAAGAAATGCTTGACGCTTTCACATACATGCACACTCTATTGTGTCTCCTAATTGAATATTCAACATTATGGCGAGGCTCAGAGACTTGCAGATACGACTTCCTTGGTAAAACGTGAGAGAATCTAACGGCGTGTTGATCCTTGATCTATCAAGCTCGCAGAATATACTTTGGACGCTGGAGATATCGTCCATAGTAAACCCATGTTCCAAGCGCTGGACGTTGAATTCGATAGGAAAACATACGACACACACAATGGCCGACGCAATTGATCTTCACCCCGCCCTCAACCCTTCTATATACCAGTCGCACAAACCGCTGTCGCGAGAACTATCTCTCTACAATGGTGTTTCGAATCGATCGCGAGGCTGGAAAACGAAGAAGCCGGACAAATTTGTGGAAATGCAGACACCCCAAAAGCCCGGCACCGTGAGATGGGATGGCGCCTCGATGTCGAGTCATGGTTGGGATAACCTGAAAAGGGTATGCTTGCAAATCGTCTCCTATTCTGCTATGATATATATTCACAAGACCGGCGTAGGATCCCGAGCTGTGGTATCGTGATGGAAATTGCTATATTCACCTATACGACCAAGGGCAAACTCGTAGAGGTCCCGCATTCAAAGTGCCTTTCTCTGGGTTCCTAGAGGCGGCGTGTTATCCCTTCATCGATAGATTCCTGGCTCGAGACGTCATAATACCAACGGGTTGTGCTCAAGAGAACGGCGATCCGGCAAGACAGAGTCGTATCGAACTCTTCATCCCAGCACCTCCTCGATCAGATAAACATCAGTCATATAAATACCACCTAGCAACCAGAAACTTCGTTGCTTACGTCTTCCGCAGGTCTATGGTTGGAGAAAATCTAGGAGCTGCTCTGATTACTCTCATGCATAGCATGCACCAGTTCCGTTCAAAGGACGTGGATAATGTCCAGGATCTTATGAGCTACCTAGACGAGGAAGGTTACCTCAATCTTAGAAGCAACCCAGCTCATGCTATAGCTATATTGCATCTCTCAGAGGTTTTCCGGTTGAGAGGACCCTATACAAACGCTTTTGCACACTGCTGTGGCATGATCGACCAATTGCCTACCGTTCCCGAGTATCAGGTTTGTCGATATGTTCTGCTGTCCTTGAAAGTTTGCTAACATAAATAGCTGCTATCTCCCGTAACTCGAAAGCTCATCCGTTGTGCACAAATTGAAATGAATCTCAGACTAGGACAGAGCGCAAGTTTGGTGGGAAATTTTCTCCGATATGAACTGGCCGAGGCACATCTGTCTTTGTATCCTGGAGCCCGATCGCATCTCGAAGAGTTCCGGTCTCTATTGCACAACTTCTACGCCGCTAAATTTGGATCATACCCGCCACCATCAGTTGACTCCCGAACGACAATATTCGAGGCCGATATCTTTCGGATTATGAGGACAGATTTCGAGGCTCTTTACCAATATCTGGTCGACGAAAATATTGACAACACCCAGAATAATCCATTTTTAGCAGAAGGAGGTGTCTGTACGTGGCAAAGTATTCAATCGTTTGACCTGAGACATGAGTTCAAGACTTTACCTCACCCTCTTCCCCTCCTCCCTAGGGTACCGCTAGAAAATATGAAAAAAATCGCATGGTTAGAAAAACGGGTCAAAGCGACTCAAAGACAACAAGAAATGACACGCTCGGCCTTGTCAAAGGCCACAAACCAGAAGGCCGAGCTCCTTAAAAATGGGCTGGTAAGAGTATATTGCCAATTCGAGGAGGGATTGCTCCACCCTCCTACTAAAGGAGGCAAGTTGGAAAATCTAGGTCCTATAGACAGTCGCAAAGTCCGTTGGATCTTGATTTATGCGGTTTACCAGGCCCTCCGCCAAGCAACGGAGATTCCGCCCGAGGTTCGGGATGCTGCTAAAGCTCCATATCATCTCTGTATCTCTACAGTTGATCTACCGCCATGGGATGAAGACCAGCCGGTACACGACCTGGTTCGAAGGCAAACAATTCATATCGCTCGTAGTACATCACCTTCACCTTCGACAACTGGTTGGGACTCCGCAAGATCGTCCCCCCGCCAGTGTAACTTTGAGATCAAACCGGATATTGACTATTTCGCCATTACCCATCGCGACAGAACCACAGATGAAGCTAGAGGTAGAGACCCGCAGCTCCGTAGAGCAGCGAGTTGGAAAGGAAGCCTTTCTAGGAGCCTATCCCGGAGTTTGACGACCCGACGTTCATCAACCAAACTTACTAAATCGCAGAATAGGACTACCCAGTCGTCTTGGAATAGGCAACACCGCGAGATCGTGGTTCAAGGCTACGGCAATGAAACAAACGACATTAAAGACGCGCTGACAGGTACACTGCCACCAAAGGTGTATGTGACAGTTGCGGAAGAAGACCTAGCATCGGCGTCGCCTTCTCGCAATTCCAGCACTTCTGACCTATGGAGATCTGAGGATGGGAGTATCGCGAAGACATCGGAAACATATGTCTACGAAAGCCAAGAGGAAACTTCCCCGTTCCTACAAAGCAGCCATCATGGCAGCAGAAATAGCGCGCAGAGTAGACACGGTAATAGCAAACGCGAGACGCCACCGCATCGCCCCGGGTCTTCATTCGCCACATTTCGAAGAAGGCGCCAAGGAGAAGCCACGTCCATGTCCTCTTGCGGGCTGCTCAGACGACGATCGAAGAGCATCGACGGCACTTCGCGGAAATTTCTGGAACCCGTACCGCGTGATATCCAGAAGGTGAATAATGTCACGTCTCACATTGAGATGCCGGCTCCCAAAACCCCCACGTGGAACCACATCAAGATTATGGAAGCCAAAGCTACCAACTGGATGGCAAACGATATCCAGCCCGCGTGGGAACAATACACCGATCTCGGTGGCTTGACTGAGCTGAGACCTCGGGGACCTCACAGACCGCCACCAAGGTATAGGCCAATACCAATGGTACGCCTATAGAGTAGGCGGGATGGCATTGTGAGGTGTATGAAGGACTTTTAAAGGACTGTAAATGATGCCTTTTATGGTTGATAATGATACCCACTGGAGAGAACTCGGGCTCCACGTTAAGCGTTTAGTTTAGTGCGCAATAATCGGTAGGTAAGAGTCCCAGTGATGTGCGTTAGGGGCGCAGGTTTGTGCCATTGAAAGCATTCAAGGCAAGTTGGAATACGGGACACGTCGCAATTGGGTCGAATACAGCTTCGAATATTAGTTTGTAGTTTGTTAGTTTGTAATATACATACACATCTAGCCTTGCAATCTACAATAGCACTTGGGTATATTCCATCATTAAACCATTACGCCCTCTCATGGTTTCCATATACCTAACTCATATACTCGCTCCGGTATGAACTCAAATAGGTATCGCTCGCTCATAACTAAACCGATCGCTTACTCGGACTTGACAGCCGTTCCGGTCGAGGCAGCCGTCAGACCATCTACAATTTCACCTCCCATGACGTAGATGAGGTAAGAAGGGAAAATAAGCCATAAGCCGCTGTACATGACATGTCAGTCGACTCGACGCCAAATATCGTTACGGATAGGGGCTTACTTGGGGATGATCCACAAGAGAATCAAGTCCTGCAGGCTGTTATGCCCAATGTTGTCGAAACCCGAGAAATACTCTTGAAGCCCTGTTCAACGATAGGTAAACCAGCTCGTCAGCAACCCGCAACCATTAATAGATAAAACATCCGTATATATATAAGACACAAGGCAGATAAATCCCAGGTTATATATCAAAACTCACAATACAGCACCGTCTTACTCAGCGTCATAACCGCCGCGCTAAACGCCGTCACGACCGCCAGCGCCGCAGGCCGCCCGCTCAACACGCGCGTAGTAGCGCGGCCGGGGACGGCGGCGCCGGACCCGAGGTAGATGCATACGTAGACGAGGTACATGGCGGTCTCGACGACGTTAAGCGCGCCCTGGGCGGAGGTGAAGCCGTTGCGGGCGTGGAAGGCCTTCCACCCGTATACGTGGTCGACCTCGCCGTAGAGCTTGTACGGCGCGTACACGGGCCAGTGCAGCGGCCCGCCCTCCATCGTTAGAGGCCGCAGCAGCACGTAGCCCGAGTCCCAGATCACGAGGGGCAGGGATACGGCGAACCAGAGGAGGGTTAGGCGGGAGGGGGCGTGCGCCCAGAGCTTGGGCGGTGCGGTGGAGGGGGTGCTGCTGCTGCTGCTGCCGCCGGTGGTGGTGGTGGTCCTGGTGGTGGCGGCTTTGCTGGCGGAGCGGGTGGTTACCATTTTTTTTTCTTTTTTTTTTGTTCTCTTTCTGCGTTTGTTTAAGCTATTTCGCTGTTCCGCGGGGTTCGAGTATACTACCGATCGTCGTCGGGTGGGGGTATATATATATTCGACGCAGGAAGTTTCCCGTATAATACTTCTCGATGTTTACGTTTCGCGTGTAGCAGTTGAAGGTGAAGAGCCCTAAGGAAACGAGCTAGGCTTGCATGTGTATAGGTATTATCTTAGGTTAAGAGGTAGGTACCTACACACGCTGGCAAGGTATCCGTATTCCTGTTGGTAAACAGATGCGGGGAACCTCCGACGAAACAGCTCTCGGATAGAAATCGTTCCATAGCCTTGAGACCCACTGATGTGATAGGGTCCCTTTTCAGAAGGTGGCAAGACTGGGGTATACTATATATGTCTTATTCACATTTCTTCAAGTAAAGTAGTTGCTAAATACCTGTAATTTGCTACCTATCTATCTCGCTTTTCGTAAAAACACCTGACGTAGGTGTCTTTAAGTCAAGAAATGGAGGTTAAGAGAAAGCGTCTAGCTGTGTGTGTCATGAAGATAGAAAGAGATATTACTGTTTCAGTCAGTACATAGCTACATAGGAAGCACATTATGTACCTATTTCAACTTCCTGATAAAAATGCTGTTATATTAAGGTGATGGCCAGCCCGAGGGGTGTATAAGAGGAACCAGTTTAGCCATTGAGTGAATATAAGGTTCCTAAGTTATTCAAAGTTATACAAAGGACAGCAAGACACAACCTGACAGGTCTATCTATTTAGACATTTACTCGGTGCCGCCTTGCTTCCAGCTAATAACCCCCTTCTTAGAGATAGGGTTGATTTGAATGAAGCTGGCCTCGGCCTGCTAAGTGAGGATCTTCATGCCTCTCACATAGCGATAGTTAGGTACCTTATGTACTTATAGGCATGTCTACCATCTCTACACACGTCCACGCCCACTTGCGTTGACACGACTACGAAAGAAATGCGAACCGATATATATATACGTGTGCCGCCAAAGCGTGATATACCGGAAGGTTAACACCACAAGAAATAATTGGCAGCAAGCACAAGTCACTCTAGCACGCAAATATGACCGATAGCAAGTGGGCGAATGAAAATCGGTTGATTAATCGTGCGATGTTTTAAATTGTGTGTAATAAGAAAAAGAGAAGAAATCGTCAAAGTCGGGAAAGCGGGCGCCGTAAAAAAAGGACGATGAATTGAATGATAGTGTCACGTGATCAGAGAAGACCCGCCAACTTGGTCAATTTCCTTCAAATTGGATCCTCTTTATAAAATTTTCCTTCTCAAACAACATTCATCAATCAACAAAGCAACATTTTCAGATTCCGAGAATCATACGCACAACCAAAATGTAATAATTGAACTTAATTTGGGCTATGGATCAGTAAGAGCTAAGAGCTGCTATCGAATTAATTCATTCGTTTATGAGCTCTATCTCGTCGCATCTCCGTGGATGGGATCGGTAGACGTAGACAAGTGTCTCGTATCGATTCTATCTCAAACGTTCAAGCACAGTTGACTTGTTATATACCTGTTATATACCTCTACCTATATAGCCCCCACAAATTGCCTACCTCTCGCGACTCTCAATGCGCGGGAGCGTCAACTTCTTTTTTATCGTTCAATGTGGGAGAATGATCCAAGGCCTAGACAGCCGGTCCAATCCACCCTGCTGCCGTAGAATGAGTGCGGTAGCGGGACTAACAAGGACAAACACGCCATTCACTTAGATATAATTAGTATATATTTTCACGCTGGAATAATTTTATAATATAACTTGTTGTTGCATATTGCAAATCTGGGCCGTCTATGGATTTCCAGGAGATCCGTCGTCTACATTGCTATCAAAACCCGATACCAGATCGCCCCGAGCCTTTTCTAGTTGGCCCGGGAAACTCGAGTCCTTGAACGCGATGCTAGCGCTGCCGAAATCGTACGCTACAAGTTTGTCTCGAAGCGCGGTGCTCGGGAATCCGTTGTATGAGATCAAGGCGCCGTAGAACCACTTCCCAGTGTCATTCTCGATGTTGTCATCGTCCTCATTCGCGAATCGGAAGTCGTGCGTACCAACCCCGTCCTTGTTATACACGACTTTGGGATGCGTGCCGTCCCATCGGACATCGCTGGCACTCTTGACTTGGTAATCGCCGTGTTGCGACACAGCTACCACTTTAGCTTCGTCGTTTTGGACGAAGACGACGACGTGCTCCCAGTCGTTGCGGTGTCCCGGGTCGAGGGGGAAGTTGGCGATGGCCACGTCTTTCTCGAAGTAATAATCGTATAGATATGCGCACCAGCCGTTGTTGCACCGCGCTCGGGAGTACACGTTGTTGTTGGCGAGGTCCGAGGGGTCGTGGCAATCCGAGGATAGGCCAGTGTTTTCATGGTCGAGGCCTGGATTTATGTTGCCGTTGGCATCGATGGCCGGCGTGTTATAGCACCCATCGGTATCGAAGTCCATTGCAGGTTGCCATCTAAACATAGTTCAGCACCCGCAACTATACGTAGTATGTATTTGGCCGTAGTTAGAAATCTTGTAGAACTCACTTCTTGTCGTTGGCCGTGGCCTTCTCCGGTAGCGCCTGTGGAGGATCTCGAGTCACTAGGTGCAAAAGATGCTCGATAGGACTACCATTCGCTACTGGAGTGGCAGTTGCCATTAGCAGAGCCAACCCCGTGCCGGCGAGGCTCTTCCGGATAGACATTCTGATAGGCAAATTTCTCTACTTGGGCCAAGAGTCGAAATGGCTGACCTGATCCATCAAACTAGGACTTCGAATGGGGATTTCCATCTCCTATATACCCTTTGCCAAGTTGCTCTCCCGTCTGATGCTACACTCAGTTTCTCCATTCCCTCATAACAGGGTCCTAGAGCAGATGGATACAACAAGCTGGGGTTGGCCGACTCGAACAAGGGTCTCTCCCAGGGGCCAACACGGGCCGCCTTCCTTGTTTGGAATTGCATGAATGTTCACTCAAATCTAGCGCGGAGAATCGCCTAGGTTTGAACTCTCATCCCGTCTCCTATCAATTCTACAACGTGCTGCTGTTTGGACTACAATATAGCTATTCATAAGACACACCAATTGCTTCTTGGTATAGTTAGGTAGTATCCTAAGATCTATAGTTAAGCAGTAGTTAGTTACTTTAACTCTTCGGCCTAACTTCATATGTATCGACCTCCTTGTTCTCTTCAATCATCATGCAATCCATCGCGTCAGCTATGTATGGCGGTATTGCCGATCTTGAGGCTGAGTTAAACCCCGAGCATCTGGCCGATCTCGAGTTTTTCAATCCATAAAGCCCTACCGGCATCAGAGCTGCCCAGAGTTTAGGAATGGGATCGGATAGGCTCCACTCTGGCCTCCTTCTACTTGTGTCCATGGCTATGTAGACCTTGCAGTTGATACTACATACGGACGCGAGCGCGGATCTCGTCCAAATTTGTATGCCGGACCGGTCTCCCCACACGACATCGCAGCATCACATCTATATAGGAGCTAAGTTTCTAGATGAGTACCTGCAGTTGTAACGTTGACTTTTACATGTCTTCATTGGCCATTGAGTTCCACGTGTGGCGATCTGCTATAGCTAATTGTACTTCCACTACACCCTAAAGCATTGCAACTCCACTGAATGGCGCATGTGTTCGGTAGACGAATTGGTATCTCCAAAAGCGCTACCCCATCCGTCGGTGTTGCCATTGGATAGAACTCCACACGTGTATTGGCCTAGCGGTGTAAGCAGTTACTTCGCATGGCCATATTAGAGATTCAGATATTAGCTGCGGTTTTAAGTACTTAAAGCAAGCCGAGGCTGGCAATGCAGTATTGCAATGAGCTGGCGAAGAGGAACATTATAACTTAGCACTATCGGGATTATGGCAATGCTGAACATGCGCAAGCAACTGCTGTATATCTGCAATAAGAGACATGTAGACAGAAAAGCACAAGTAAACTCAACGCTTGTAATTCTAGAGTAGGTAATATGCTCCTATAAAATAAAGATAATAATAATGACACGGCCGAAACATCATAATAACATCGCATTATTTCATTGCTCACACACATAAATCTATATTTTCTCATACATAGCGTCGTCGTCCCAGGGTATCCCTCTACACGCACCGCACGATTCCCCAAACCATCCCGTTGCTCCGGTTCCAAATCGTACAACCAACCAACAAACTCGCCAGCGAATATATATACACAGAAGCATACAAGGCAAGACAGCAGCTAGGTAACCCCTGACTTTTAATATTGGCCGTCGAAGAGGTACCTCTCGTCCGTAAAAGACAGCAGAAACCGCGCTACCAGGCGGCCCGTGTAGTTCAGCGACACGTCGCGCGGGAACGGGTGCCCCTCGTGGTTAGGCAGGATGGGGTCCGCGACGAGGAAGTCGAGCTCGGCCCCTGTTGCGGCACGGTCCGTTAGCAAATGCGTTCGTTGCGTTTTATGTAACTAAGGGGTAGGTAATAAATAAAACAAAACAAAATAAAATAAAATAGGTAAAAAAAAGAAAAAAAACTCACATCCGTCGCCCTGGAGCAACTCCTTCAGCGAGGCCACCATCTCGGCGGCCGGGCCGTCTAGCTCGTCCATCTGCGCAAAGTTGGCGTCGGCGAGGGGGTTGAAGGCCTTGGCGCCGGTGTCCCGGGTATGGGTCTGGTAGACCTGGTGGAACTGGTAGGCGAACTGCTTGAAGGGGAGGTTATCAATATCACGACACAGGGTGAGCGCGAAGTCGCGGCGGTACTCGGGCTTGGAGCGGTTGCGGATCGCGATCTCGTTCTGCGAGATGACGAACGTGTCGGCGGCCGTCTCCACCGTCTCCATGAACAGGCACAAGACTAAAAACGCGGCCAGGCACGGCGCCCACTCGCGCCGGAGCTTCGGCTTCAGCGACTTGGAAAACCCGTCGAAGAGCGCCTGCATCTCCTTTAGCAGCATCTCGTCGAGGACCGCCTTCACCTGCCGGTTCAGCACCCGCGACGTCAGCCACGGGTTGCCTCGCGGCACCATGTTCGTGTCTCGCAGGCTGACGATCGTGGCCTCGGTGAGGCAGAGCTGCCGTGTGAGCACGTAGTGCGTGACGTAGATGCTCAGTGCGCGTTTCACCATCGCCACCTGCGAAGACTAATTGATGTAGAATCTCGTTAGCCCAGGTTCGTTATTTATTTATTTTTTCCGGTTTTGAGATTGGCTAAGAAGAAAGAGATGTCAGGTTTTACCTCGGAACGTTGCGCGAAGCGCTGCACAATCGACAAGACCTTCCGCGGTACTTGGGTTGTCCGGATGGCGTCCGTTACCTGCTGAGCGTACATGGGCTCGGATGTGAGGTTCTGGATGTACTCGCGAGCCCGTCTCTTCAGCTCCTCCCTCTGCGTCGAGTTATCCGGGTCGATACCGATCGGGGCGGCACCCCTCGATTGTAGATCCATCTGGTTGACACCCATGTTCACGTGCCAATGTTGAAGGATCTCGGCGGATTTAGGGGTGAAGAAGCTGGCGGGAATGGTGAGCGTAGAACCAAATTTGGAGCCGGAAAAGAGCTCGACGGAACATGTGACTTCGGCGTTGTTGGGCTTGAAGCTTTCAACGTTCTCGCTGATGAAGCTTGCTATCTGGTCCTTTTTGAAGTGCGTTCGCATGAACTCTGGGAATAGCACGGGGAGAAAGTCCCCGAACTGCCAGCACATTATTTGTGGAACTTGTGCTGTGAGCTTCTTGCAGTTCTTACATGGCCGCTCTTTGTCGCACTTCACTTTGCGGCTATGAGCACATGGGTGAGTTGCCGTTCACTAATACAAAATAGAAGATAGGCGTAAGGGAAGATACACACCTGTGACAGCAGAAACAAGCCCCCAATCTCCGAACCTGCAGGGCGCTCTCCTTGGTCTCATGCGCTAACGGTCCCTTCCTACCTCGCTGAGTAGTTCGCATAGCCTCGAAGCATTCGAAAGGGTTCGGCTTCCCCGACTGTTGGTGGATGAGGTTCGGCGTCATGATAACAAATTTGCTCGACGCCTCCGCCTTCCTCTTCTCGACCTTGTAGCCACTCCTGACTTTGCGTATAGGGCTTGCGCCCTTACTGGGCTCCGCCTTGACGAACGGAGATCTCGGGCTCGACTGGAGGGAGCTATGCGTTGGAGATCGCTGCTCCGGGGACTGGGACGTTATGCTGATGACCTCGTCACCTGGCAGCGGCGAGAACCCTTCATTCTTCAGGTTTGTAGGCGCCCACGGAGGAACGTTATTGTCGTTCTGGAACCGAGGCGGGATGTTGAGCTCAGCCGTCTGAGTCGGCATCTCGAAACCACCTATCCCGGCCATGTTGGCAGTCATGTTACCCGGGAATGTAGAGTAATATTGGGCCATATCTATATCTACAAGGTTCGAATTAAAACCGACGCTCGAATTGCGACGTGCGAACTCCTCATGCTGGGACTCACTCGTAAATGGTTCGTTAAACATCAAGTCCTGCTCACCGGCCATGAACTGCTGCTGGTCACCAAAGTTGGACAGCAATTGGCTTTGCATGCCGGCGGTCGCCATTACAGAAACATCCGTCGCATGATCGGGGAAGGAACTAGAAGGCACCGCACGGGAATGGTCGTGTTCTAGTTGTTCTAGTTGGAGAGGGGACATGGCAACGGGTGAAGCTTGTTGGATCTGGTTGGGATTCATCCCAATGACCCCCCAGCTTTGCATACTGGAGCTAGAGGGACTGGGCATAAAACCAACAGAGGCCGAGTAAGACTCTACACGCTGCCACGAGCCGTCGGATTCATCGCCAGATTCCATGTGGGGAAAGCTGTGCTTAGAAGACGGGGAGGCGGATGCGACTGAGGCCATGGTGGTGGTGATGTCTCTCGTCCGGAGCGATTGGAATCGAAAAGCGTATGAACCTGATCACTCATCTACTTATTAATAGGTGTTCCCGGCACGCCGAATCCCTCCTCAGTCGTGCGGTTTGGGTATGCTGAGACTTATGTTTGCCGTGGGGTTTTCGTACTACGATGATGCAAAAGTTGGTAGCCGAGCAAACAGTTTAACTAATAAGACAATAATAGGTAGCTATAGAGGTACATAGATAGAGGTAAGGATTAGTACGTAAGATAGGTATGGATGGTAGAGAGCCTAGAATATGGAGCCTTGGAACTAAAATAAATAAATAAATAAAATCGGGGGTCGCCGGTATAGTTATTTGACGACTTGTATTACGGTAGTTAGAAGAAAAGAATTCCCGACGAAACCGCTCGGTGACAGATAAGTGACGACGGATAGGTTTTGATTCTAGGATTCCACCCTTACTACTATGTATGTAAAGAACGTCGAAACTCGAAACAGCCTTGAGGTCTGCCATTCAGCCATTATGAACAGCTCCGCCACATTGGCAGATTGGCTGATTGGGTACTATATATGTTGGACTATGCTCAATTGGATGACCGACGGCAACTCGATGTGATAAGTATATAGAAGCGCTAAACCTATTTTGGATTTCGGTGTTGATCCTACGGCTGGGATCCCATATGCGCGGTTATGTACCAGATACAGTAGGTATTAGGTATTTGGAGGGTGTCGAATTGCGCTTTTTGATACATCCGGATAAATTCATACCAATATGCCTACTTGTCTGCTATGTATTACATAGGTTCTTATACGTGTATATACGAAGATATGCGTAACACAAGCTGTGGCTGTGGTTGGCTGGCTGGCTTATACATAATATCGAGCCAAAAAGGAAAAGAAAAAAAAGGGGGATTACACACACAAGAGCGTGAACGCCTCGGCATGTAGTGCGACCACCAGTTGAAGAACAATAGTAAAGGGCGGGCGGTTTTGGATGCTGGAAATATACTATGCAGATAAAAGGACTCGAAGTTGGAGGGCTCGTAATACGTTTATTCGGCACAGGGACCCGGCAACTTTATATAATCAAGTCCTTTAGATTTGGTTTATAAGACTGAACACTACCTAATCGGCATCATACTCATCATTAGGTATAAGAGGTATATAACTATCATCTCACAACGGCCTGAGAATCTGCCTGAGGCAGAAAGATTTCCAAGTTGGTATGACTGCAGGGGGTGTGCGCCCGAATTATATTGAAGCCACCGCATATTTGCACAGTTGGGCGAGAGAGATCTGACGCATAAGACGTGCGACTCTTCGACCCAAATTCTTCCATAGGTTAGGTACTTTGTGCCCAATAACGCAACAAAAATGTTCATTCGTCCAATCCCAGCTATGGTATTTCTGACTTGGCCGCCCAAAAACTACCACCCGAAAGCATTGTGAAAGACAAGAATCCCATCTAGCTTAGTCGCGTTAGGAAGAAAAAACATAAAATAAAAAAATGAAAATAAAAAGCAGATAACAGTACATCACCATACCATGCTTTGCTTGTTCGTTCGCTGCCTTGAAAATGAGACAAGTCTATCCCACTCGGTAAAAAAAAAACATTCTTGAGATTGCCGCTCCAGGAACTGAATCAGACACTACCGTATCGCGCCTCGAAACGCAAGACAAAGCCTCCCATCCGCATACAGCCCTATGCTGTCGACGAAGACAGTAAATCATAAGAAATCATGAGTCATTTCATCCCACGTATCAGTGGTCTCGTACATATCTTTGTGTGAACATATCATTCGGGGGCAAACCCAGGCATTGCCCAAATGGCCCTGAGGGCAAGTCTCTGTCGCTGAAAAGCTTCGAGATTAAAACGTTGTTATCATCGGTTTATAATTCCAATGGTGTGTGTGAGTAAGTGAGTAAGTGGTGTCCTTCAGCGGAAACGTGCTGACGCCGCAGCGCTTCGTTCCTGAATCTGTTGCTCGGTTGAAACGTATAGTCTGTCCAGGTAATCCATCGCGGCTGCGTCCTTAAGAATCTTCGCAACCTGGATACCGGCACTGATCAGTTGGAGGATGTTCCGGTCATCCTTCAGCGGGCGCGACTGATGCTTTGCAGCATGCCGCATCTCCAACGAATTTTCCAGAATTGTCACAAACTGCTTGATCTGCCCGTTATAGAGGACCCGGGCGGGGATTCGCCTCTTGGTCGCGAGGCGCTTGAGTAAGTAAACCCATTCGGTCCATTCTCTATCATGTGGTCTCTCGACTGGCCTCATATCCTGGGTCAAAGGAATTGGAAACTGGTATTTTGCAACAAAGTCGAACGCGCACTGCGAGAGTCGATCGTTGACTTGCGTCAGGACACTATCCTGTTCTTGCACCAAAAGATTTGTAGGGAGATGAGGAAGCTCCCTCTCCTGCATAGCCACATAATCCGGCGGGGGCCTCGCTAGGTACTGGTGAGGTCCATCGAACTCGTCTCTATTAGAAGGTCGTCTCTGAGGACGGCTCTTGCCACTGCTCTTAGACTTTGCTGCTGGCGCAGAACTTCCGCCATTATTATCCAAGGCATAATCCGATAAACTGGGAGACGCAATAATATCATCAACAGAATCCGTTGGGGAGTATCTGCTCGGTCCGTCCCAACCCTGCGAGCCTGTGCTATTGTACGAACCATACGCTCCTGCGGAAGAAGCTCCGTACGGCCCGGACTGCGCTCTCGAGATGTAAACCGGCGAGGAAGAGTATGCAGACTGGTGCCGGCCGACTGGACCACTGGTCCCCATCATCGACACATTGGCTTGCGAACTGTATGCTGAACCGCACCCGGACGGGTATATCACACTTCGGAAGCCAGTGTTATTCCCATAGTCTACAAAATAAGGGGGGTTGCTCATTCGCCCTTACCTTGAGCTTGAGTACCCGTTCTCACGGGTGCTACCTGGATATATGCTGTCACTATACATGACGCTTGAGGAAGTCAGCTTGACCGCAATAACAGAGACCGATAACATGATTCAATGATCGCACCTGCGGGAGGAATTCCAGGATCCGTTCGACATGGCAGAAGTTCGGTAGGCTACTTCCTGATGGGCCATGATCCTCACAACTTCTTTGGGGGGGACAAAGAAAAAAAAACGTGGCCGACGGGGCGGAGAGATTGTGAGATAAAATAAGAACTGCACTAGCTCCGGTAGAAGCTAAAATCCCGGCGATATACGCCTGGCTCTCTAGAAGAAGGGCCCCAGAAATACCCTTTTTTTTAAACACAGATTCTAAGTCTGGGTCCCCAAGATCCACGGCGGATGTCCTTTGCAGATTAGACTGGTTCGGTTCTGGAGCGGTGAATAGCAGGTGCGCTGCTGGCCGGGAAAGGAAATGGGAGTCAAGTGGCTCGGCGGATTCGGTAGCAACCTCGGGAGGACAACATAGACCCGGATGCGAAGGGAATATCGCATGCTCCAGTATAGATGAAACCTCAAGGCAGTATGGAATATCTTCACCTTATTCCGGAGAAGGTAAACCCTCGATATAATTGTGTCTTTAAGCTTGAGGTCCGGGGCGTGGACAATTTATGCTATAATGAGGTCTGTCGAATTTCGCCACCGCGAACGGATTAAAGTTGTAATTCCTGAATCCTGGGTGACGAGGCGCGCCGAGCAGGGCAGTCCCCAGAACCGATATCAAGGGGCTCGCCCCAGCTCTAACTTCAAACAATGGGGCTGCAACGTAGGTTCAAGGCGGATCTCACGCGCTGCGATGGAAGTTAGTTGGGGATGGGGGTATAGTGTAGGTGCCGTCTCGGGCGTCGACCACCGATTCGATACGGGGCCGGACGAATCGACCAATCCTTAATTAGTCAAGATCGACCAACGAAGCAGTTTGATAGAATTATAAGCCAGATGACGGGGCTCGAAAAGAATAGCTACGAATGTTTAGGAACACCCTGCCTATAGTGCGGACGTGCGAGCGTTCAACAGAAAGCGCCGTCTCCAAACCATGATAATAATAACACATGGTACCTAGATCGGCCACTCAGACGGCGGAATGGAAGAAAAGCCGTAATTGGCTGTTGCAGCCCAATCACGGTAGGGCAGCATTGGGCAGCTGAGAACTAAAAAGAAGTGTCCAAAGTATCCAGAGTGTCCAGACTCCAGAGTGTCCCTCTCGTTCCTGCTTGTCCGTCTTGTTGCCCAAAGACTGCAGTCCTTTTCTGCAGTATCTACAAGTATCTGCAAGTATCTGCAGTATCTGAAGGGGTATTAGCCTAGACTATTGCAGGGAAATTCCTGGTGAACGAATAGCGGTGACCCCCCGAGGCGGACTATCTGACTAGATTGGGCAGAAAAGCGTTGCACGAGCGCAACAGCCCAACCCCAACCTACTAAGGTATGGTATGTATGGTGCAGTGCAGGTACATACGTTGCTGCCCGGGGCATTCCTATCCAGAGTTTACGGATGTATTGTCCTATGGTAATTGTATTGTAGCTCGCCGAAAGGAGGAGGTCCGGAACGCGAATATGCATCCATAAGTACGAAAAGCAAGCGTATGAGAAGAGCAACAGAAAAAAAAAAAAAAAACAAAGAGGCGACGTGTGCTTCTCTGCGAGCGGTGCTGCGAGCATGTGAGTTGGCTCGCCGACCACTTACCACGTATTCGGATCCCACACCTTGGTATAGTTATCGTCATTTCATAGTAATGCCTAGACTCTACGATTATTGGGATTTATTAATGTAGAACTATGGGTTATCGGGGACTATGGGGTATGTAGGGTGGGATCGGATCGCGACGAGATCAATTACTGTGGTATTTTTACCACTTATTTAGATGTTGCGGTTGGTTTAAGAAGTTGATGGAGATAAGATCATATCGAGATGAAGAATTGGAACTTATAGAACGCATTGACCATATATCCTGGTCGCATAGGTACCCCGTGGGCCTCCGTAGTCCACTACATATCATGGTCCGCTATTTCTGTTTCCTTAAGAGGCATCTAGGGATATAATTTAGTTGATTTTCTCAACTATAAAACAGCGCTAGACGCAGCTAAATCACAGTGCTTTAGTTGTTAAATACGGGTATCGGGATATGCCCGGGTCGCTTGTAAGAGAGGTACCTAACTAAAACCTGTTTAGACTTGCTCTTCACCCGTCTTACACCACCACCTCTACAACCAACATAAAACCCACTGCGCATGTGAAGGCCTCAATGTAAATAAAAGCCATATCTCTCAAGGAATTATACAGAACCATGCGCCAAGATGGGGAAACAAAACTTGGGTCTGAAGAAATGGGCACGATCTTATGCTCTTCCATATCGCTTATAACTCTGGGAACGTATAGTAGCCTTTTGATCTATCTCTCTGCCCTTGTATCATGACAGGTCGATTAGATTGGATCATGTCGTACGTTGACATGCGCCCCACTAGGGTATATGGATCCCGACATACATAGCTCTCGGATGTGTTCCAGAGAAAGGATAGTTAAGGTGCGTGAGATTGTAGCGTGTGATGAATGATCTTGTCGTGCTTGGGACGAGCGGTACCCATGAAATATAATTGGCCAGTCACGCTGTGTCAGCCCTATATAGGATCTGGAAAGACTCGAGAATGTAGACTCGAGAATGTAGGAAGGCTGACTGGTTATCCATTGGAAACCGGTGTTGCCCATTAGTGTCGGTTAAGAAAGGGTTTCTCGCATTGCCGTCTCTTAAGCCGTCTCCTACTGCCCACAACTTCCCAGTTAAGGGAAAGATATTGGCTTGGCATTATGCGAAGGCTCTCAGTTGCAGATAGCTTCAACTCCGTACCTGGGTAGTCCTAGCTAGTTCTAAACTTGGCCGATGTATCTGCTACTATCTCATTCATAAAAGGCGGCTTATATTTGGGCGAAGTAGTAAGACGGCAAGTGTGGCAAGGTAGCAACGAAGAAGTGAAGAGGTGTGTAACAGTCGGGAAGTATAAAATATTGCAAGCAGCCATCCGGCATGTTAAATGCAGAATAATACCTGCTCACACGTGGTAGTAACACGTCCTTTGGGTCGAATAACATGCCGAGCCTCTTCGTCCACGACTTACGCGGTATGTCAGCTGAAGGAATTCTGCTTCTTTTGTAACAATTGCAATATGTGATATAATGGCATATAGCTAGATCCTGGTAATAGTTACATTTCTGACCCTTAACTATGAGATGATTGGCTTCGATCATCTTGACAGGTGACAGGCTTGGAAGAAGCAATAGGAGGCTATGGGCCGTAAGTAAAGCCGGATATAGCAGAGAGTAGCATTTTGCCATCTTACTAAAGCATCGACTACGTCGAAAGACCCCTTCAACGGTTGCGCTAGCCTTGTTATAGGAGGTAGGTTAAATACAACTTGATCAGTATGATACTCTTCCAAGTTGAGTATTCACGTTGGCTTCTCAGCTCAAGCACTGTTCATAGTATCATACCTACGACCTACAATACTTGTTTAATATCTTGTAAGGAGTACCGCCCTTACATTAGGTAAGTTATCAGCTACCAATCAAGATGTGGGGAATCCCCGGCCCCATAAATTTAGAAAACGTCTGCCTGCCCGCCCGCAGGCCCGGGAGTGTTATAGACGTTAAATTCTATTAATAAACCCACGCTCGTTTTGATATCGATTGAATTCTTCAGCCAAGAACATTTTGCGTCCATCGACTACAGAAACGAACCTGTAGAATGAGACCGGGAATTATGTGAGCAATGTATTTTGAATTGATATCTCCATCTCCTTAATCAAGTATCGTGTGGTGGTGTTATGTAACCTGTAAGCTGAGCTTCGTAGCTACAGTAGCTAATGTATGTAATCTTACGTACACCAACATTGATTAATAAGAATCTAGGCTGAGCACTGACCCAACGGGATCGAGCCGTAGCGTAGTTGAGCGGTGACAGTGGGTCTTTCTGGAAATACAATACCACTTGAGGGTAGGATTCGACGGAAGATGGCAAGATGGGGAATGGTTCAATGAAATCATCGCCCGCAGTTAATCATATATTGAGACGAGAAAGGGTCACACAAAGCTATGTTTTATGACCGCGCATATTCTCCTTTCCTCGTGATACTCCCTTTGGCCTTACGAACTTCGCATGAATACGATGGCTGAATCAGCTCCATCAGCTCCATCAGCTCCCACAATCCGGCGCCAACGTCAACGCAAGTTTCATCGCAGGTCAAGAAACGGCTGTTCCACATGCAAGACAAAGCACATCCGGTGCGACGAGAGAAAACCACTATGGTAAGTTCCTGATATGGTACTCCGTTTGCGGCGCGGGATTGTATAATGCGTATACATATAAAGTCGCCGCAAATCGTGCATGTCATTGGTGCCCAACACCAACCAGGAAGCGTTACTTGGCGTCTATTACCCGCAGATTCTTTCTTCACGTACGCCTAGCCAAAATTTTTCTTTTGCCTACCTATACGCAGCCTCGTCTCCGTCATACCGCACTGGTAAAATCCATCGCGAGGCGCTTTCCAGTGAGGCTGACTGTATTGTAGCACATACTGTCTTCGACATGGTGGAGAATGTGGTTATCCGGACGGAGATGCTGAGTCTAGCACCCCGGAGCCCGGGCATGGGTCCGGATCAAGGGCAGGATCTAGAGAGCCTCACGAATCTACCGAACCTTGCCTGGCCTTGGTAGACGCTTCTTTCAAAGACCCATTCCTAGGAACCTCATACGACATGCCCCACAAGTCACGCTCGTTATTCCAACTCTGTGAGTGATCTCGATCGTGTTCGGCGAGGCGTGATAGCGGAGACTAACTAGTCGTCGATGCCCAGTCGCAAATACAAGGGTACTGTACAAGACGCGGGTCGAAAGAAGTGCGGATTCATTCATGTAAGTAGATGACCACGGACATGCCTGTGGGGCGGAGCTGCTTGATGCTCGAGAGATTCGGCCTGACTCGTATATGCCTAGCGTGCACAAAGCCTTGTCGCATCCCGGATTCCTTCATGCTGCGTTGTTAATGACTGCCCTGCATTGGGCATGGTGCACCGGTGATGTCGAGCACTTCCGAGTCCCTTACCTCTATCACAAGCTGCAGGCGATACGATTCGTCACGGACCAGCTAAGGAATCCGGACGCTGCTGTCCACGATGGCACAATAGCAGCCGTCTCAAGCCTCGCTCTGGTCGAAGTACGTGCCATTCCCAGGAGAAGGATGGCTTCACTCAGCCTACTAATAACTTTTAGAATGCCTTAGGGTCTGTCGACGCCGTATCATCTCATCTACGCGGGCTCGCGAAAATTAAAGAATTACAAGGCCAAGACAGACGTCCTAGGAAGATGGGCTTGCTTCAACGAATGATCCTGATGTGCGTATAATCAGCCTTGTCCGTGTCAGTGGTTAAGGCTGACGTACCCTCATAGGGCAGCCAGAAGCGTTTCCAGCCGCCCCGTTTGGGATATCCTCGACATTAGCCGAACAGACCTGGTACATCAGTCCGTGATAATATCACTGCTCCGAGTTGCACTCCGGCCAATCTATAGCCTGCGAATGTTGGGTAGCTCGTACGATTCGGAAGAGCCGCTCTCAGAAATCCTAGCGAGAAAGGCACCTCACTCTCGAGTAAGCGATAGTAACGCCTTATCGCTTCTCAGATCAGTCGATATTAGTAGATCTGGGTTCATAGCGTGCTACTTCTATCTCTACGTAATCATACGCGAAGGCACGGTTGATTCATTCATACTTAATTGGTTCATCGAGCAGTTACTTGCGGACGTCTGCCGCACCGAAACGCCCATGCAGACGGGCCAATATAGTCAGTCGCTCTGGTTTTGGTCTGCCATGTTTGGTGCGTGTGCCACAATGGCGGCTAAGACCAGTGATGATCTCGAGAGGAAACAGATGAAGGTGTACCGGGACGTATATTTGGACAAGATTAACCTCGTGAGCCGCGTGCTAAAGATCAAGAATTGGGAAGCGGCCAGGTCGACACTAAGGCTCTTCGCCTGGGAGGACGACTTTGACGGAGAGACGGAACTAAAGGCAGTGTGGGAAGAGGCTGTCTGGGAAAGCGAAAAAGCATCCTGCAAATGGTACAGCGGGAAGAACGTCGAATATCAAAGGGCTATGAATTGCTGGTGAGAAGATGAAGATCTGGCTTGCTCGTATAAATGTGTCTGGCATAATGAAATACCGGAATGGTACTGTCTGTATATAGCATCGCGCCTGACTCGGGTCGAATATCGAATAATATGTTAATACCCCCTTTTACAAACCCGTAGGGCACGATAACACCGAACAGGCACTACCGCATCGAGCAAAGACTGAAGCCGTCACGATCGGACCCGTCGGGGAATTGAGAAACATCTCATCAACCCGAAAGCCGGCCTAGCTGTCAGCCTGTCCCCAAACTGCATCCCTACGCAATAAGTACGACTGAAGCATCCTCTCCCCTCTTGCTTCCGATAACAACCGTTGATGCAGACGCGGCGGTTGGTGAATTCAGAATTCAGATTGTCTTGATACTACATGGTGAGTATGGGATGGGGACTGCAGCGGAAAGAAAATATTACCAATTTTTCGGTCGGATGGTGCGGATAGCAATTTGTCAGTGCGGATCGAATAGCGGATCGAATAGGACCAGCAAAGCAGACAGCAGCAAATCAACTATTCTCAAGGGACCAGCTTGAATGGAAATCGTCGTCAATTGTCAATTGTCATACATGACAACCTGGAAGTCAGGGCTTAAGGACGACTAATAGTATCCATTTAGCGCCAATTAATCCAATTAATCCAATTAATGCATTCGACACCATTGGTTTTTGATTGGTGCTAGATGAGACAACCACACGTAAAATTTTTTCTTTCAAATTTTTTCTGCTTCATTTTTCTCTTGCTCTGTGCTCACCGACTATTCATCGTCGATAATTTCCAATGCGAAACAGGCGCAAATTGCACTTACGTACATCTCAGGTCTGTCGCTTTTTTTTTTCTGCTCGCCGAGAATCCGAACGAAAGCCAGCTGAGCTGATGCACACAACAATATTGATGGTGCAGTGCTGGCAATGAGGGTTTTAAGAAGACGGCTGAATATTACACAAATTTCCGCGACTGGCGCATGGCTCGTGCCAGTAGAGATGCGGAACGATGCGGTGCTATGCAGTGATGCGCTGGCCTGCTTCAGCGACGGGACATCCCCTCGTCAAATGTCGTCACGGCGCATAAGATACGCTCAATAGACTGTCGACAACATTCAGGGTCCCCACATGGTTACGGACCGAGCCCTGCGAACCTATTACGAATGCAGTCGTCACGGCCAGCGCAGTTTCTCAGTGGACATGGGAAAAAGACATTGAAGGAAGGTGGAGGGAAATTATTATGTAGCAGTTGCAGCAGCGGTCAGCCAGTAGTCTGCCAGAAACAGGTCAGTAACCAGGCAAATGGCCCATAATTCACCAATCAACTTCATGTTCGTGGAACTCATCCTGCAGGTTTTGGAGCGGGGTCGATAACAATCTGCACCCCCATGAAACATTTTCCCTGCTTTTCTCTACTTTTTGCTGGATTTTGCTGGCTTCGCTGATTTCTATCCCGGCGCCAATGCCCAGGGTGGTAGGTCGACGACGGCCAACGGCGTCGATGAAGCACGACACCCTGGCATCGTGTCATCCTATCATTTCTTGTGCGTTGGCCAACCCCATCCATCAGTCTTGCCTATGGCACAACAATAAAACCCGAATGTCCCCTCTCTCTGCCCAACATCCATTCTTCACTCCTATTTTCCAGCCCAAAGACCTGACGTTTCTGCCCAACCGAGACCCATTATCACCACTCTCATCATCCCGTGGCTTATTTTTTGTTGTTGCTATACCCAAGACATCTTCCACAGTCCCCCCCACCACAGGACAACCCATCAGTACCCCATCAGGCCGTGGTTATTAACCCCTTAGGATCGACTGTTGCAACACCTCTCCGTCGACAGAGAAAACTGTATCCAGTTCAGTTCAGACCAGTTCAGTTGAGAAACCAGTCTCACTGCTGCTCCGTGTCCCCCAGTGTTTTGCCACAGGATTCATAGGGATCATCCGGAGAGCCTGTTACTCGTTTCATCCCACAAAGGATTCAATGTCAGCCATGGTTGCTTCCCGCCAGGACAACATGTCAGGCTTCAACTCATCTTTAGACATGGATGACGTCCACACTCCTGCGAGGTATATTGCATTGTTTTTTTCTTTTCTATTGCCGGAGTATTGGGGTTTGCTTTCTTTTGTCTGAATAATCATGTTGCTCGAAAGTCGTGTACGCATTGCTTTTTCATTTTACTCGCAAGTGCTTCGCTTCGTGCTCTGCCAGGATATGACCCAGGATATTCCGTTTCCAGGACAGGACAGGACAGGACAATTCCGGGACAGGATCTTCAAGGAAATGGAGCCAGATGGATGCCGGAGGACAATCTTTCCAGGATTCAAACCGAGGACAATATCTGAGGCTCTTCGCGAGTAGCATAGGCAGTACTTGTATTGTCTAAGCTTGACCACTCCACGTCTCTCAGATGGATCAGATATTATCAGAGATCAGCTCTCATTAAACATACGGTGAGTATCGCCCGCGAAGAACATTTGTGACAACAGACAACAACCCCAGGATAGACTTCCAAGGACACCAGTGAAAAGTATTGCATTGTTACCAGACCCGGATAGGACCCCATCCCATGGACCAGTTGTGAATTGATCTTCGAGCTTTACGGACTTTGCCCAGGAATTTTTAGTGCGGATCAATGGATTTTCTAGTCATACTTTACCTTCGGACACTTCAGCAACAACTCTGGTTCTTCACGAGTGGACGCTCTCGTTTCTGCTGCGTTGCTTCGCACATTCAGTGGTAGTATCGGGCAACGCTTGACTTGTACTCTGGATCTCGGATTTGATCATAGGATGAACGACATTTCGACTTGAACCAAGGATTTCTTTCTCTTCTAGGATCCCGTTAAGGAGCAGTATTAGTTGCGATGTCGCTTTTACCAGGACCCTAGGGTATACACCTAGCCTATTCACCAAAGGGATTGCCAACATCTGGATTTGCACATCTTGTTGCTTTCTCGACTACAGTACGTATGCCATTGCATGCCGACTCGATCGGCTCATATCTGATTGATCGCGTGTTTGTGTAACTAACATCAAACTCTTCGTGCTCTAATAGGCACTTCGATCTGGAATTCCCCTGGTTTTTATCTAGCCGGATTTCCTTTCTTGTCTTTTCTACATATGCTTTCTCAGTTTACTGTTTAGGCCAGTGTGTTTTTACAACTTGGATTATCCATCTCGGGATTGCATTTTCTCTCTTGTCGTTTTCTTTGGGTCCTGTTTTGGATTCCTAGTTTACACACGACACTTCAGTCTGGTTTGTACACATTGCCCCCTACTCAAGCCGAAGGTGTTGAAAAACTAACCGATATCGCGACAACAGGAACAAAGTTGTGCCATGCTGAAAGTATTTCATTTGTACTTGATTTTGGGGCACATCTTCGTGATTTTCACCACCGGCTAGTGGAATACAGAACACTAACCTCAACCTCAGTGACTATAGCTCTTTTTCCCAAGGAAATATGCTTGCCAATTCCAGCGGATCTTTTCTTTATTCTCAAACGGGACATGCAGACCTCCATAGTTCAGTATGGGACACAACAGCTGAAGGAACACAGAACTTCAATGGAGAAGAGGATTTCCATTTTTCATATGGACAAGTTACTCCCAGACAGGACCCAAATGAAGCCGTGGAAGACATGACCAGCAAATGGATTGCCGCGGAGCAGGCCCAAGCTCACGCCACAGAGCCCATGCGGAGGATTAGCTCGCGAAGCTCCTCTAGCAGCCACAAGAACAGAACAATTAAGCCCTCTGCTCACAAGAGCCGGCCGAGACTACCTCAAGTCTCTCACATGTCGAATTTTGACATGGCAGGTAATCCACAGATGGATGCATATCTCCTCCAGGATTCAGATACCCATTCAGTATCTTCTCAGATGTTCTACCCAACGCTTCCCATGAGTGTAAGCTTATCCGCGGATGGACTTCCATACTCTCCCGCTGTTCTCTCCTCAGGAATGGCGCAACAGCACATCGACCCAACTCAAATGCAGCTGAATTTCGAGGCTAACCTCGGGAACTCTCCTGCTGCTACTACATGGAGCTCTCTCAGCCCTGTTGAATCTCGGATTTCTACCCCCGGTCCCGGTGAGGATGCGTGGTCTGTTCCTATGGATGCTTCTCCCACGCGAACTGTTGACTCTTCGCCTATTATGGATGGCATTTCGCCAAGGTATGTTGAACAATGTGCTATGATATTTGGAAACACTCTGACGTAGAGAACGTCATTAGCCTCGATCGCCAGATGGGCTTGATGACCACAGAGGACCCCAATGGAGTTATCTTGCCAGACGATATGTTTGCATTGCCTCCCGCTTTCTCGCGCCGTTCCAGCGGTGACGGTGAGTCTTCTGCTCGGGATCACCCCTTGTACAAGAACGCCTACCCGCAAACCGACGGGCTGTTTCACTGCCCATTTGAGGGCCAGTCCAGCTGCAACCACAAGCCCGAGAAGCTCAAGTGCAACTACGAGTTAGTCCCTAATTATCTTAGTCGCGTCTGCAAATCTAACCCAAGTATAGCAAATTTGTCGACTCGCACTTGAAGCCATACCGATGCAAGATCGAATCTTGCGAGAATGCCCGATTCTCCTCTACCGCATGTCTCCTCCGACATGAGCGCGAAGCTCATGCTATGCATGGCCACGGTGACAAGCCCTACCTCTGCACATACGATGGATGTGACCGTGCTGTTCCTGGAAATGGATTCCCGCGCCAGTGGAACCTAAAGGACCATATGAGACGCGTCCACAATGACAATGGAAATTCTCTTAATGCCGTCAGTGGATCCCCTCCGTCCGGACACGGCTCTTCCGCGCATTCGGCCAAGGGCCGGAAGCGCAAGAGCAAGGATTCCGTAGATAGCACCAGCAGCCGCAAGCATGCTTCCAGATATGCCCAGGCAGCAGAGGCAGCCATGAGAGCCGCCGAGCAACCCATGGTAGATGAATGGTACCAGCACCACAAGGCTCTACAGACATATCTCCAGGAATTCAACGTCCCGGATGCTTTTGATTACCTGCAAAACATCTCTGAGGCCAGGGATCACTTGGCAGCCATGGGAAAGATCTCCCAGAAGTTGCTGTCTTCCAACAAAGGGTCTAGCACCCAAGACTCGTACAGGCGATCTCACGGACACCACTCTCGCTAAGTGAAGAAAGTATGTGATGATAACTCCCACGATGTTTTTTCGCTCAATATAGCTAACCTAATATCTCGCAGCACTAGTGAGACTTGCGGACCATGGGTGTTTTTACAAGCCAAGGAATTTGCAAGTGCAGACTTCCAATTTTATTTTTACTTCCGCCGGTCAGGAGACCGCGACGGAGCCTAGCCAGGCTCCGTGAGGAATACGTGGAAAACCACGCTCTAAGCCAAATCCGGCATTGGGACCCAAGGGATTCCGGCGCTGCCTCTCATTGATTGTAGAGTTCCCGGATTGAAACCTGAAACCAAGGATATGCCAAAGGATGGCGAGAGTTGATCCAGGATGTATATGCCTGAGAAGATGAGGATATGCCACGAGAGGGCATGATGACCATTGCGGCTACGGTGAAGATCCAAGTAACCGTCGCCGCGATGGTCGATCGTTGAAGATCTATAGCCACAAGATGGCGATAGAGGAGGTTATTATTTGGTACAGGCGACCTAAAATAGATGGCACTCGATATGGTGTCGTGGGGTGTTCAATCTAGAATAGCAGAGCTATATTTAGAAGTTTGATAGTTTTAGGTGTTTTTGTTAGCAGTCGAAGAACGACTATCGTCCATAGCCTTGATAAAAATGTTCCCTTTGTAGTCTTCCGTCTCGTGGACATTTCAAAGATTGTGGTTATCCCTGGAGAAAGAGCGAGGAGTGAAATGTAGACTACTAAGCCCTTGAAGAATACTGTTACGGTCCATACGGGATCTTGCACAGCCGTGTTGGTGGCTGTGGTAAGCCTCGGAGAGGCTCACCAGTAAAGGGCAACGGCGCGTAGCGCCGTATCAGGGGTCGCTGAAGAGTGAGGGTATCGTGTAACTTATGTAGTAGTATACTGTATGACTAGGGTAGAACGTTTTAGCTAGTTATCTAATGAGGTTTTAAATAGGATAGCATAGCTAGCCCCGTGCGGCGAGTTGATAGCTCTGCGTCCATCGCTAACAAATACCTAATTCACGTAGGCCCTGGCTCTACTTGTCATGGCGCTAGAATACCTGACTCTGTATTGTATATATTCTTACCACAGGGACCGCAGTGGGAACCGAATTCACGTCTTAACTTTACACAAGAATGCAGTACTTGGCAATGTGGTCACGGGTATAGATGCGCATGGCTTCTACGGGCATGATTCCTAGTACTTGACTTATCTAGCAGGCATCTATATAAAATCAAGGCCGATTCGCGATATCTCGATAGCGAAGGTGGCGCTCTAGGCAGCGGAGATGCGGAGATGGGGGTTTTGACAATATAGATATCTCGTATCTCGTACGAGGTCTATTAATAGGTGTCGATGTGGCTTGTGAGAAGAGTGTATGGGATGGATGGGGTACGGAAGTGGGAACCCGTGCGGTGTCGCAGGTGCGAGGTAGGACATGGGGATAGGTAGGCGGAACTTGGAGACGGGGTAACACCTTGGCTTGTTGGTTCGTTTAGCGACTCGAGATGTATCACGCTAGAGTAGGTTTATGAGGTTTCGGTTGTAACGTAGGCAGTGGGCTTCGCTTCTTAAGTTGTGTCGTTGCGTATTTATCACGTTTTGTAGTATAGTTGGTAGAGAGTGCCCCAAAATCGACGGGTTGGGTAGTACAATGAGCAATTATGCAATATCAATATCGGTAGGCAAGCTTCGTGCCTCGATTTCATGTGAACGTATAAGTCAATATGGCGACCTTAGATTATAATCGAAGAGGTTATGCTTCGAGACAGAGTGAGTTACAGGTGCAAGGCACTCTTATAGTCTCCGATTCTTTTTCTTTTCTAACAAGCCTAATATCGATCTGGTCACAAGAGAAAGTCGGTTAGCCACAGAAATATTAGGGGATAGTAGTGACGACACTGGGTGCTTATGCTTGTGATCTAGACGTTCTATAACATGAAGGGGATATATCGAAAGCTCGGTGATTCATAGGACGTAGTGTGACTTTAGTCAGGTGAAACTGAACTACGCATTATACAATGCTTCCTAGGCATATTAACGTCTCAAAGTGATATAAAGATGATAAATCTAGGTATACTATAAAGAGCTCTCAAAAGATAGGCCTTACGACATGGGCTTGTCGTAGCTGTTCGTGTGCCTATAGAATTATCCAAGTCGCAAATAAGGATGATTTTACCGAATTCTGATCCTCCGGCCGTTGATCACCGAGGTATATGTAATACGATGACCATAGAGACATTGATTACTTGAAGCCATGTAAAGCACGTTATGGAAAACTTGCTCTCGCTAATAGTCCATCAATAGCCGCAAGCGAGGAGAGCAGTGAAAGGACTCCTACCAGCTCGAACTCCATTTCACGCACCGAATCCTTCTAGAGTAGAGCGAGTAGGTTGTTTACAGAGCCGAGTACCTAACCCCCTGGACTATGGCTACACACACCTTCAAACTCCAATCACGATCTTACGTTACACCCCTTTCCCCTCCTAAACGCCTAGTAGATGAGAGTGATGGGCGACAGGAAACGAGTGTAGATGACCTATGCCTAGACGTAAGCGATGGGTATTTCCTAAATTAAGCCGACCTGCCACGTCTGGCCTTGAACCTGGGAAAGGGGAAATCTCGGCCTCAATGAGCGGGAGCGAATACTTCCATAATAGCAACCTTAACGCCTCTTAAATACCGTTAATAATATTGGAAATAATCCGCATATAGCGTGACTGTTAGTATGAATCAAGCCAATTCGGCACGATTTGGTATCTGCTGGATAAGCCCCAGGTCATTACTCGCTTGATACATGATGAAGATCCAATCTCTCGGTTGCAAGTTCCTTGGTGATATATCGGCCCTGTAATAGCTACGAGGGGGTATTTGTGGTGAGTGGTGGGATGTATTCAACTCTGCTTCGGGTTCCGATTGCATCTCGAGATCGACATGTCGGGGAGGTATAATAGGAGGTAATGGTTTATTGAGGTTGATGTGTTGATGACTTGGAGGTAATAGTGTCATGTGCCGTAGAAGAAGAGGTGATGATGGCGAGGACGGCTGGTCAATAAAGGTCGTAAAAGACGAATGTACCAGCGATATTCTATCCCTGACTGTCATAGGACTACGTTGTCGTAAAGACTTGAATATCCCTGGGAGATAGGTTGCGAAAAATGGCTTCGTAGCCGGAATAGAAGCACATGTCTTGTTATCGTATTAGCGAGAGCTTAAACATATAAACCTGACTATTCCCATACTATACCAAGATTCAATTCAATAATACCGGCAAGCCAGGCATCCCGGCGACTCTTAGCATCATCGGGATGAAAAACCAAAATCCACGTATAGTAGCTCCTCGCTACCCCTGCAGAACTTGCGAGAATACCGAGCCCGAATAGGAAGATAACTATACCGACTTGCCTGATAGGCAATTTTAACCCAAGGGCCACCCAGATAGGTAGGAGCACGACGACCCAGTCGGTGATAGTATTGATAATACCAGCTGCGAGAATATGAGCAGTCCGATCGATACAGTATTGTGGCTGGATCGAATAATCCCAAACGGCTGACAGAGGTCTAATACATTAGGTAGTTAGATATAAGTATCAGGTCATTCCCTTTGTACTAGTAAACGTACATGCATTGGAGAAAGCTGACAAGGATGAAGACGAAGCAGTTGACGCCAATAACCCCTATTAGTATCAATACGGCAATAGTCACATCACGATCCCTCGCCGCAGTTGTGAGCCGATAGAGAAGGATGAGTATCGATAGTTTGGTTAAGCTAGTTGCTAAGTCGAAGAGGATTTGGCTGGCGAAACTAGTATGCGTTTAGCTCACACCCATGTTTACTATATTGGAAGTGGAAGGGGGTTTACATTATTTGTAGGTCACCAATAGAGAAATCTGATTCCTTATTCCTGTTGTGATGATTCAACTGAAGCTTCTCCTCAGTTATAATGCCGATTAAAGTTAATGCGGTGCAAGGGAACTACCGAATATCAGTGAGCGAAATGGACTATAGTGTCATTAAAGCTCCGACATACATATGCGAGTATAATGAAGACATCATCAAGCCCGAACCCCCGAGTTAACCACTTACGGGTATACAAACGAATGGTTAAAGTAATCGTGACCACGCTGGTAAGTATGATACCAACAATCATTCCAAGGTGTCCTTTTGTCTCTGGTCCGTGGTGTTGTGTTGAACGGCTAGTGAGAACCGTGATGGGAGGTAGTCGCATCTTGTATTTGCACTCTCTTTGGTTCGAGCTACAGGATACCTCGAGAGATGTGCTCATAAAAAGCTTTCACGGTGACGTACAATGCCCTCCTGGGGATAAGTGGTAGCCTTGACCAACGAAGCTCCGAGCCGCCTTCAGTCGACCGACTTCAAGATGAAGATGTAGGGTTCTTATGATGTCCAACTTCTCAATGCAAGGAATCCAAGCCCAACACGCTACATTATGTGGGTGAATATCGTCTGGGCCAATCCCCGGACTAAGAAGATGTTAGAACAGCATATATGATCCGTTATTTCGAATGGTGTTGAACATTCTACGACCTGGACATAAGAGAAGACGTCAATATGAACTTACTAAATGTAGATAAATAGTTGCTATTGTTAAGTTTTGATATTGCTACGTACCTGCGGATGAGATCCTCGATGACGATAAGGGTCGTCGGAACATCCCAGACATTTCTTTCACTTGGAAACGGTCCGAGGCAGTTATGAGTGTTCATACTTTTCCCATATTAGCCCATAGATGGCTTCAGCCCCCACCACACGGGGGCCGAAAGATACCATCTGGGGAGAAGGAGATAGTGTAAAGAGCCTGCATATGGGTAGATGGATGCAGGTCGCTTATGGCTTGCATGCCGAGACCCATGTCAGCCAAAGGGGCGCTTATCAAGTATCAAGATCAGTAAACAGGCGATACCCAGAACATGGCATAGGTATCTTTGATTTAATAGTCGAAGATTTAACCCATGGGTGATATATGTTTCACATACTTTCGTCCATGTGCCCGTGGATTACCTAGATCAATATCAACTATACATCTCACGGAACTCAAGAATACCTATGTTGAAATGAGTGCAGAATTCACACATATTGATAGATAGGGACGCCGTCGACGGAGAGCCGCGCGGATGCGTTTAGACTCGGCTCTCCCGTTTAGGTTGCGAGATGGTACCACACCTTTACTTAGATAATCTTAACAAGATTGGTCCGTTCGGGATCTCATACGATCCAACGGTGGACCAGAGCTGAGTGGCGTTTGGTAAGGCATTCAGAGTATGGAAAGTGATCACCTCCATGGTCCCCGAGAGCGCGCATACCTATGGATGTTGCACCGCAGGAGGGAGGGCTGCAGAATTTCACGTCACCATTATTCCACCCCCTTAGATCGATAACTGTTAACCAACAGATCATCGGTTGGTAGAACACCCGTAAGTGATAGCTCGAACTTTCGCCAATTCGGTATTTCGTAACAGAGATCTGTCGGATGATGGATTTTCGAGTCATACAAGAAGTAACACGGACTTTTAATATCTGCACAGGAGCATATTGACAGATGTATGCCTAGACTGTCCTTAAGCAGTTGAGCTGTGGTAAAGTAATAAACCCGAAAGCGGTTGGTCGAACTGGCTCTAATAGGTGCGAGATACAGCTGGGATATGAGGTCGGTCGAGTTCATAGGCCCTCGGCGAATAATCACAAAGCCAGTCATAAGGCTACCTAGCCATAAGGCTTAAAAACGATTACGATAGACCCAGATCAAGCAGTACCGTCGATCCGAAAACGCATTGAAAAGAAATCGTACAGACCCCGTACCAACGTAAGACCGGCATTGTAATACCTAGCATACGACGTAAATAAAGTTGGCGCACACTCATGTTTCATGAGAGGTAACAATGGCGTTCTCGTGGTCGTCTAAGTCTACAGTCTTCACGGCGTAGGGGCACGAATCCTAAAACTCGATTGGCCTTTCAAACAGCGCCTCTCGGCTACAGAATTTAGTACTGCGCAGGGCCTGGAGAAAGAGTTGACTCCTTAAGCTGAAAATGTAAGGTTGCTGTTGTATTACCGTATGTTATGTACGATGTATAGCAGGTGACTAAAGTTGAGAGAGAAATCATTTCGCAAGCTCTTCCCGAGAATGACGTTGAGAAGCGAATTCTTGTAATGGATGCGACATGCAATCGGAAGTAACCTCAATCCGCATTGATACATAATTGGGTTATGCACGAAATGCGATTACATACCGATATGGAAGTGACTGGAGAGGTCTGTACCTGTGTTTCGGACTTAATAGTCCCCGCTTTTATTCGATGGGTAGCCCACAAAAGTTCGCAAAATCACAAAATTTAAAATCCTCCCACTTTCGCAGTTTCGTAGCAGCGTCGCTTTTCTAATTTTCAAACACCAACTTACGCAGTAATCCTCACCATTAGAGCCCCTCTATTGGAAGACTGTCATCATGTCGAAAATCACAGTCGGTACGTCAATTATAAATTATTCCAATGTGAAAAGGGTTAATATACTAACACTTCTACCCCGCCAACAGTCGGAGTGCGTAACAACGTCAGCGAACTGCTTGACTATTCTCAGAACGTCAAGAAGCGGAACTTCCTCGAGACCGTCGAACTCCAAATCGGCCTCAAGAACTATGACCCTCAGCGTGACAAGCGTTTCTCTGGCACCATCAAGCTGCCTGCCATCCCTCGCCCTAACATGAGCATCTGGTATTACATTCCCTCTCTAACCTGTCTATTGTCAAATCAGCATAGGCTTACATGTGGGATATAGCATCTTGGGTGACCAGCACGATCTTGACCGTGCCAAGCACGGTGGTGTCGACGCTATGTCTGCTGATGACTTGAAGAAGCTCAACAAGAACAAGAAGCTTATCAAGAAGCTCGCTCGCAAGTACGATGCTTTCGTTGCTTCTGAGGCTTTGATCAAGCAGATTCCTCGTCTCTTGGGTCCTGGTCTGTCCAAGGGTAAGTGAAAATCCGTATATCACTCGGCAGAGATATAAGTTAACGATTCGATTTCAGCTGGTAAATTCCCTACGCCTGTCTCCCACGCCGATGATCTCACTGGCAAGATCAACGAAGTCAAGTCTACGATCAAGTTCCAGCTCAAGAAGGTTCTCTGCATGGGTGTCGCCGTCGGAAACGTTGGCATGACCCAGGATGAGCTTGTCGGCAACATCATGTTGGCTATCAACTACCTTGTTTCGTTGCTGAAGAAGGGCTGGCAGAACGTCGGTAGCTTGACTATCAAGGCTACCATGTCTCCCCCCAAGCGCCTTTACTAGACGCTGTTTCGGTATAACAAGTCACTGGAGGACGTAGTACTGGTAGCGCTAGCACTTGGGATTGTAGTCCCAGCGCTCAGATAGGACAAATAAACTGAACCTCCCAGACCAAATTTCTGTTCTGTGATCGTAAGAAATTTATTGTGTATCTCGTGATCCCGTGTGTAGTTCTGGGATAACTAGGTCACGATTGTGGAAAAGGTCTCATGTGGATCATTTCCGTAGAAAAATCCTCGAGAACCCTTCCAATTTTTCACGCCTGGATATCCACTTGTGCTTGATAAGCTGTCGTTATACAAAATTTTACAGTGGTCTTCTTCCAGGCTATGTTTAGGGCAATTCCTAGCCAGCTACGATGATTTATTTTCAATTCAGATAGTTCAGACGCTATTAATTGCGTAGAATCGAAAATCGAACACAGAACTAAATATCTCGACAGGAAATGTAGCAAACACCCCACAGTCGCGAACCAGGAAGAGCTGGCGTCGGCGGCTGATTAGGAAGAGCGTTTTCAAATTGATAAAGGAGGCCGGGAACGGAAGGAAACCCATAGAGAATAGAATTGTAACCCTCAGCAAGCCACCGTAGTGGAGCCTCCATCTGAATTAAATAAACATTTGACGATGTAGATTTAACCCATACTGATGATGAGGAAAGGAAAAGAAGAAAATTTCCAAAGGCGAAGCGCGCAGAGAAAATATTTAAAGGCCTTTTTGGGGTGGGGCGCATACCGTCGACGCCCACCCAACCATTGGATGGACCCACTAGGTTTGCAGAGGTTGCACGTGATATAACAGGTACACAGGCAGGTACTAAAGGTTAAAAGGTTATGTACCTAAGTACCGTTTCGTTAAACAGGCGCGAAGCTCAAGACATAACCTCAGGTTAATCGCTTCCGATACATCAAACGAGACTCCAACTCCAATACGCAAGTATTACTTGAAGGTCTTTTATACTTAATTTACTAGTTACATCTATATACAGCTCATCAGTTCGTCAATAGCTAGCTCGCCGTATCTATTCTCTAACTGCATGTGTCTATTGCCCTTCCGCTCTGCTGCAAGTTTAGATGGTCTATGTCTAGTTCTTCTATGAGATCACTTATATCTTGGGCACCGCGCCTAGGTAGCCGTTTAGAACCGCTTGGATCAGCTGGTTAGCAATAGCTGTCTGCGGAGGTAATCTTAAAGCTCCCTCCCTGTATCCAGCTGGAGCTGGGTCTCCCAGACCGCTGACGCCAGTCGCTATGCCTTCTCTTACTTCGTCGAAGGAGAACCATCTGGCGTCGGTCAATTCCTCATCGTGGCCAAGATGGATAGTCTCGCCGCCAGGAGTGGCCTGGCCGATCGCGCCAATCATTAAGTTGGCGGGATAAGGCCACGGCTGCGAACTGTGGATCACGACACGTCCTACCGTCACGCCGCTCTCCTCCCAGGTCTCGCGTCGGACCGCCTCCTCGATGGATTCGCCTGGCTCGAGGAACCCTGCGAGTGTACTGAACCAAAATGGAGGAAACCGATTGCTTCGACCAAGAAGAATTTTGGTGCCGTCAGCCGAAACTATAGCCATAATGACGGTGGGATCTGTCCGCGGGAAACAGAGGTTGCTTATGCCATGCCGAGTGGGGCAGTCGGCTCTCTCCTTTGGTGCACCGCCTTCAGGAACGCCTGCTAGGTCTGTCGGTGGACAGGACCGTTTCCAGCCGGCATTGATGGACGTAGTTGGCTGACCACAGCCACCGCAGAACGGGTTCCGGCTATTCCAGTCAAGCAAAGCACGAGCTTCTGCGAATATCGCCGCTATTTCATTATAAGCACATTATCTTGGTAGAATAGAATTACGCTAGCACGCACCGTCTGGGGCATTTAAAGTTAGAAGCCTCCTTCCGTCGATGAAAGAGACACCGGTGGCCTTGACGATTTCCACGATACTCTTAGCTTTGGCTTCGATGGTACCCTTAGGCGTGACATCGACAGCAAAATATGGCTTGCCTTTGTAATCACGATACTGGAAGTCGGGCTTCTTTTCATCGATACCGAGGAACAGGACTACAGGTTGTGTAATAGCCGAGTTGAAATCTTTGAGCTGTTCCTGCTCAGACTCTTTGAAAGGCTCCTCTCCCGTCAGCGGCACTACTACATCTCTAGTAACATAGGATAAGTTGGCGTAGTCTTTAGCAAGCGGTGACAAGTTATCTAGTAATAAAAATGCCGCGCTAGGGTGAGCGAAGGCAGCGCGCAAAAAGCCATAATCGGTCCTGAGAAATGAGATTCGGTTCAATGGGCTGCCGCTAAAGTAGTTGGCAACCTCGCGGCCGAATTTCCTCGACAGCATCGAGTCGTCTTCAGCAAGAACCGGGAGATCCGGAGTCGGGTGCCCCATTACGCTTTAATGTTTCTTATTGTTGAGAGAGTTGCGAGTTTCAGGTTGGAGACGCCGAATGAAGGCTCGCACGGCTTGCTGATGTGGGGTTGGTTGGGGTTGGGCTCTTTAACGAAGCCCGCAGGATATACTCAAAGACTAATAAGGGGAGTAATTATACCTAGGTATAGGCATCGACAAGAAATAACACGAGGAAGACTCTAGTTAACCTTTTAAGTAACAACTAAATAATAACGGGTCTGTCCGGATTTTGGGGAGTTGGTAACTATTAAATATTATACGTTATTTTCTATGCGGGATGTGTGTCCTTGGTTAGGTATCTGTTGATTGGTAATACAGAGTTGTTTCTTCTGATATGTACCATAAAGGACTCCCGATTACATAGTATAGTGGGGTTTCGTCTCGATGGCGATAGCCCGGTCTGTGGATGAGTAATTTGATAGCTGTTGGTCTAATTCGTCGATAATGATGGTCGGCGTTTTGCGGGAAAAGTATGTTACCCCTTCCTGCCATTGGCTCCGAGTTCTCAGCTACACATACATACATAAGTCCACACAAGTTATCTCCTAAACTGCAGGAACACGTAAGGTACCGATGTTGCAAGTAAAGTGGTTTTCAAAAGCCTGAAGTGAATATGTTGTCAGCTTATATATTTCCTAATTGTTTGTTAATCACGAGTTGAACATTTTAAATTCAGAGGTGTTAAGCAACATAATATAAACCCATGCTGGCAATTATACACTAGTAGTACCTACGTGAAGACTACCTACCTATCGGGCGGATTTGTTTCGAGGATCTTAAAATCTTGTTTACGGGGAAGTTCTTGCCTGAGATCCGGGACAACTTTAGGTGTGTAACGGTAGCCCTATCGGCGTTGAAATTTAGTGTACATAAAAAGGGTTCAGCATCCTCCGCAGAGGTGCATGCATGTGGGGTAAAGTTTGTGCGTCATCAGCTACTAACCTACCTGGAACAGAAACTTTTCTTTGTTCCGGGGGGCCGCTATGGCTATGGCGTAACATGCCATTTTCGTCATCTTGAAAATTCCTTTCGCGAACAACTCCTTTCTAATCGTTCTTTCTAATCGTTTAACTACTTGTAGTTGTAACTATTTAACTATTCATAATTGGATATCTTACTTTACTCTCTAAGCTTACACATGTTAACCTAGTATATTATTATCTTCGCTGACGCCTTTTCTATGTGCCATTGGAGCTTTGGTTACCCCTGACGTTGGTCTTATTGCAGGTCTTATTGCACAACCATTGTCCCCTGAACTTGCGCTATAGATGGCTCCTCCTACCTGGCCTTTGAACCTCGATGTCGAAGCCATATCAGGTATCTGCGGGTGAGCAGAGTATTTCATATCAATTATATCAATTAGCTTTGCTTTTCTCTCTCCATGCTAACGTCTTGTGCTTTTTTTTTTCGTAGCTCCATCTCGATTGCGGCATGGGTCGTAGTCTTCTCTCCCCAGATCATAGAAAATTTCCGACGAGGCTCCGCCGACGGATTGTCCGTTCCTTTTATCATCCTCTGGCTGCTTGGCGATGTCTTCAATATACTTGGCGCCATACTTCAAGGCGTACTGCCGACAATGCTCATCCTAGCAATTTACTACACGATAGCCGATTTCGTTCTTTTGGCGCAATGCTTCTACTACAAGGGTTTTACGTGGAAGGACGAAATCCCGTCGCCCCAGCCGAAACCGCCGAACGTCGTAATTGTCGATGAGCCTACTGAGAGAACAGGATTGTTAAATGGCCACCTGGATGAAAGAGAAAGAAGAGGCAGTGAGTGGTCTCATCTGAATCCGACTGTGCCTATGGTGTCAGAGGCTCCGGTCACGCCCCCGCCTACGCCAACGAGACTACAGTCAGTAATATGGAATTCGGTAGCTGTCCTTATGGTTTGCGTAGCGGGCGTGCTTGGATGGCTGTTGAGCAGACAGTATTCAAACGGTCAGTCCGATTCACCCGCGGACGAGGGTCTTCCTTCATTCGATCTTTGGGGTCAGATCTTCGGTTGGCTATGCGCTCTTCTCTACCTTGGGTCAAGGCTCCCCCAATTGCTGCTTAATTGGCGTCGTAAATCAACCGAAGGTATAAGCATCCTATTCTTCCTCTTTGCTTGCCTGGGAAATTTGACCTATGTCCTTTCAATCTTCGCCTACGAGCCTCACTGTGCCAAATTACAATGCGAGCCTGGTGAGGCAGAGCGGATATATGGGAGATACATACTTGTCAACTCCAGCTGGTTAGCTGGTAGTCTAGGGACTTTGCTCTTAGATCTAGGCATATTCGCTCAATTTTTCATCTATAGTAAGGATAAGTCAGCAGACGAAGAGGCTATCGATGACGAAGAAACTATTGCCGATGATGGGTACATCGAGGATCGGCCGCTTCTGCAGCGGACTGGTTCTGGTCTCCCATATATTCCCTAAACTGGAGGGATAACAGCACTCCGTACTAATAATTGCATTCACCGGCTTACAAAATGGATTTGGTACTGGAACGGAAAAGGATAATGGAGTTCGGGTTTATATTTATTCTCCCTTCATCTAAGAGAAAATTTGGAAGTGTGTAGCCAGGCTACTGACAAGACGTTGCATTCTTAATACCAAACAGGGAGATTCAGGCCGGTGTACTATATTATTCTTTGAAATACAGTTGGGATATGCAGCAATGCTTCAAGGAAGGTGGAACTAAAGGCTGCTTTTTATCATCCAATCCTTTATTTCGAACAGTTATATACTCTTGCTCCTAGGCAGACAGTTTAACCTTTTCATATACAATAGTGAATACTGTCAATATATCACCTAGGTTCTGCTTCCTTTCTATAAGTTGTATGATACGAGGTAACTAGGTACCTACTCATATATTCGAAACTGTCGCCGTTGAGACCATTTAACCGCCAGGTCTCTAGGGACCGTTGAGATATATACTATCGAATCTGTTTTGCAGCACCCTGGAATAGACATGACTATTTATAACCAAGGATCTTGTTCTAGGTGTCGATAGACTTAATCTAGATCATATGCATTACATGGCTAACCCTTAACATACCTAGAACTAGGAACTACCGCTTAACTCTTCTCGTAGGTTCCATCTACAACTACCTCCTAACCTATATGTAGGGAATTTTAGTTGCTCAGAAAAGACAGAATCGAATATCACCTTACTTAAAAACAATAGCATAATCATTCTCGTGGAACACTACTCTGTGCTTCTAAAGACGGCGAGACGCAGCCAGACTTATCTTATCGAAGATAGTACTACTTGGTACCTTCACTGTAAGTCATGCTTGAATATACCATGTATCCTATAGAGCCGTCCGCATTCAAGGTTACTGATCGGTTAGACTATTAGTTGAGTTGAGTACCTTTCTTGGTCCGAAAACCTAAGGATCATACAGGTCAAAGTTGTTAGATACACCAAGGTAGGCGGATAACATATAAGGACAACAATAAGCTTAATTCACTGATACATACGATGCACAAATTGATGCTATCAAAGCGAATACTCCCGGGCATTATTATTGGCTCGTCAAAAATCCGTAATAAATCAAACGTCATCGGAGTTTCGTATCTCGTAGACTACGGAGAAACCTTGCACGCACGTATGCCTGTTTCACGACCTCTCGCCATATGTGAGTCTATTGCCTACGAAGTACTATTCAAATGCTCCTGTCGTGGTATACCGAACCGTCGCCCAAGTTAGTCATAACTGTAACTACGATGCGTTTGCTGTACCGCCGTTGTTCAACGAAGGCGATGTGTTGGACATTACCTTAGGTAGTCAAAGTGATAGGAGATGGGGTGGCGAGTAGGGGGAGGTTCAGGGGGGGTTTACTAGTGTAGGTTCAGCCGCTTATCGACTCGAGTGCCAAATGTCAACGACGCCAAGTGGGTTTTCGCTGATCCGATCGACAATCCAGAACTGCCAGATTACTACCTAAGCTGACTCGGCTCGAGATTGCGACGCGCCGCCGTTTTCGGCATCTCCTTCAAAAGTCCGTTTTAGTATTTTTAATCATGTACATACCTACCTAGGTATTCATCCCTATTTTTTTCGCCTCTTTCTGTTTCCGAAAAATCCCCAAGGAGCCGTCGATATCACGCCACATACCCTGATGTGGAATTCTAGCCCAGCGATGGACTTAAGACCTAAGTCGATCATTGTCAATCTCTAATTTTTAAAACGTTCCAGCACATCTGTACTCGGACGGCCCAGAACTTAAAGGGGGTCGCAGTTTAGTATGTAGAACTGGCAGACCGGCGGACTGGCTGAACTGGCTGAACTACTAGGCACAACTACCGGCCCTGGTCTGAGTAGCATCCACCGATATTGGAGCCGACGTAACCAAGCATCGGACATGAGAATAATACTACATACCCATACCCATACCCAGACATACCTAAACCTTACGAGCCTCCTATCCAGTGGAAACGTGCGTGAGTAGGTCGCCTTGTTACTTTTCTTCTAGCTACGCTATTATACGCTGCTGGATTTATCGGCTTGCATGAGCTAGCATTGTAATACAACAGCTCGTCGGGGATTCGTCAGAGATGATCTGATTGATAAAGGAATACAGAAGAGAGAAAAAAAAAAAAAATAAAAAATAAAACATAAAAAGGATTGTACCGTTAAATGGATGGGTACCATGTAGGCACCCTTGTTCCCGACAGCACGGAAGTCCCGCCATCGTTCAAGATTGAACAAAGTCTGGGGACGGGGGCCCACGCTCTGCGCTACCTTGGGTATTGTACATAGACTAACTACTAGCAGCGCTACTGGAAGCGCAGATGTTGTGCTGGGACCACAACTTGGGGCTGTATGACTATCGACATCATTTTCTGGAGTTGACGACGAATGGAAAATAGGTTAGAGAAATAGTGGTTTAACGCTCACTTCGACTTGTGGTGCCATGGCATTGCTTCGTTCATATATGGTGTTCCGTCTAGATGCAGACCATTAACTTACATGGCTGTAGGTGATTGGTTTGTCTTGTCATGCCGTCTTATAGTGTATTGTACACTACAGGATATACAGATGCGATGGCGCTAACGGGGTCAAAGATATTCCCCACGGCTTCGATTCGCAAGCCTCACGACGGATCGGCACCTGAGCTCGAGGACAAAAAAAAGGAAGTACTGTAAGTATTTTATGATATGTATGTATGCGAAGAATCATACGGGCATACGGGATTACATACCTGGTTACGAGGTAGGGTTGGACATGTTACTTTTTATTTTTTTTATTTTTTATTTTTTATCTTTTATAACTGAGAACCCGGATTCCCGTATTCTGACTGACACTGGCACGGCAGAACCTGCGATGTACATACATACACTACATACATAGTACCGTACCCATGTGGTAGTTTCGAAGTTGAGGCTTAGGCAGGCTGCCGGTGGGACTCGCAAGCGAACGGTGTCGAGATAATGCAAAGACGAGATCACCCGACCCCCTTCGCTGACGAATTGAAAGATTTGTGGGGGGTGTTGAGGAAACAAGAAGTTGGCACGGACTTCCTGCGAGTAATACTATCTGTACTATGTAATACCTACCAAGCAAGGCTTCCCCCTTCGAGTCATCGCTTAAGTATGTATTACTTTGTTACTGTGCTGCGTTTTACCTACAAGTCGAAATTTCTATGTATGTAATAAGTAATAAGAAAGTCTCCAAATCAGGCCTTTTTCTTTCTTTTCTTTTCTTTTCTTTTCTTTTCTTTTCTTTTCTTTTCTTTTCTTTTCTTTTCTTTTCTTTTTTCTTCCTCTTGTTGCGTGCTTGGACCACCCCGGACTTCATTACGGAGCGTGCTTCTGCACATCTACATCCACCACCGGATCTGTGTTACCGGGGCTTCGGTACACTACACCGTATTGTATTGTACCGTATCACAAATCTAGAAGTCTAGAAATATTCTTAGCCCTCTACCTAGCAGCCTAGGTTAGGTACACTATCAACTAATATTTAACTAATATGGCTTGTTTTTCGCTAGTCTATGTACTAAATTTGCGGTCTAGGACTGTTTGCTCAGTTGCTCTACAGTAGAATTTCCAAACCACCCCTTTTTTTCTTGAATAATGGAAACTACACTAGTGTAGGTACATAGTGTAAAAAGCCTTGGAGAGGACCCTGGCGATCCCGGATCTGCCTGTCTGCTTTTAGTTGGCACACTATCCCCGCCGGTGATCGCTCCGCCTGGTCTCCACCCAGGGGTCTAAATCCCCCAACGAGAGAGTCAGTGAGTCGGGGAGTCAGGTTAGTTTCTAGTCAGCTACACTAGTGCCACTAAATTATGATATTCCGTACTGTTTATGGGTATGTACAGACCGCGCCCGTTACGGCTTCGTGCGAGTGCGGTGAGCCGTCCTGCGTTGACTCGGCAAGCCGGATCTGAATCCCTGCTCAGCTTCCTCTCCTCAAGACCCCTTGTCGAGCCTCGCCTTGCAAACCCGGCCAGCCTCTCAGGGGTCCCTTGGCCGCTTGGTCCCTTGAGTTGCTTTGCTATGTATCGTGCATTACCTACTGATCTGATAGGTTGATACCTAAGTACAATACATAGTATGTATAGGTAGTGTATGCATGTATCTTACTTACACTATATACGTACCTTATAATGTACAGTATTCACGACAGTATCTACATATGTAGTGTAGTAGTCGTATCTAGAGAATTGCGCCAGATGCGCGCCTTGTCCGCCTGGTATCATCTGGCACAGGGGAGTATCACCCAATCATGGTAATCAAGCGATTCCGGCACTGGGTCTTGCCCTTTTCGAGCCTCTCTTATGTAGGTAACAGTCTGCCTCATTGTCGGTGAGTGGTTCTGCGTGATTCATTCTTCTGCATGCCCTCCTCCCGTTCATGCTTACGCGCCCCATCGTTGCCCTCACGGTGGTAACTGCTTGACTGTACGAGTTTCGAGTCAGAGGCTCCATTGTCAGCTGTCCGTCGTAGACTAGAATTGTAGACTAGAAAGCCCTTGTGTTTTCTGCTCCTTCTTTTCTTCGAACACCTTCCTGGAGTTGGGCGTTTTAAAAATTCTTACTGTCCATAAAAATTCCTTATTTACTGTGATCATTGTAAGTCTAAAGCGCATAACCGATTCTACTTCCTATTACATACCAAGGTCCAACTCTTACACTTTCAACTTAAGCTAATCGAGTACCAAAATAGACCCGTCACATTCACCAAGGTTTATGAAGTTATAATACACCTGAGGTTGACTGGATATATTTGGTGGGACAACGCAAAATTTACCGGACCTCATCATGTCTCGGCTGCCAGACCAGCGGGACCTCACCAGATTCGGATACAGTTCCTCGAGCGAATCCGACGAAGCCCCGCGAAAAGCGACCACGACCAATTCCAATAACCAAAATCAGAAGAAGAAAAAGAAGCGCAAGCCCCCACCTCAGCAGAGCATCAATAAGATATGGAGACGGTTCACTACGAAGGAGTTTACCAAGGCGCTCGCGGTTCTACCCTTCGACCCCGTGCCACTTCCAAGCACTCCAGAACGTCCGAACGAGCTTCTAATCACAGGATATGAGCGTGCGAGAGAAGAATGCTCGCGCAAAGTCAAGAAGATCATCGCAGAATGCAAGCGCGTCAACACACGTTATAGAGATCCAGGATTTGACCTAGTGCGTTCCAGTTCTACCGTTCTTCTGAGACATTGAAATCAAATACTAACAATTATCCCCGCTATTAGGATTGGGACCTTAAGTGGCTCAAGGGCAATTGTCTGAATTACTTAGGATCGCGCAAATTTGACATCGGGAACTCTAGGCTTGGCACTAATACCTCGGTCCCGAAAGCTGTTAAGCGAGTACACGAGATCTTCGAGAAACCGACATTCATGAAGAATATAAGTGCCGGGGATGTGAAGCAAGGCTCACTCGGTGATTGTTGGCTCATTGCGAGTTTAAGCGCACTGGCCAACGTTGAGGACGGGATCAAGCGCATGTGCGTTGAATATGATACTCGTAAGTTGTAAACATGACGTATCACATTCTCTACTATTTTACTATTTTGCTGATACGAAATAATAGGCATCGGAATCTATGGCTTCGTCTTCTACCGAGACGGCGAATGGATTTACTCTATCGTCGACGATAAGCTGTACCTTACTTCGCCATGCTGGGATTCGCCAAGTATGCAGCGCGAAATGCTCCAGCAAATTGACCGTGAAGAGCCCGAGAAAGTGTACCGTAAGACGTACCAGACGGGGTCTAAGGCTTTGTTCTTCGGCCAATGTAAAGACCAGCATGAAACCTGGGTCGCATTAGTTGAGAAGGCGTACGCCAAAGCTCATGGTGATTACGGCTCGTTATCTGGCGGTTGGATCGGCGAGGGGTTGGAAGACCTTTCTGGCGGCGTCACCACTGAGCTTCTGGCATCCGATATCCTTGATGTCGATGCCTTCTGGGAGGACGAACTCTCCAAAGTGAATCAGGAGTTCCTCTTTGGTTGTTCTACCGGCCTACTCGATGGTGGTTATGGCGACCGCAACGGGATCCGCGAGGGACACGCCTACGTTGTGATGGATGCTAGGACACTCAAAAATGGACAGCGACTTGTAAAGCTCCGGTAAGTCTATTCATAACCTTCTAACATATTGGACAAACCTAATTAAAGAACCAGCAACCCTTGGGGTAAGACCCGTAAGGGTATTTGGGAGGGGCCATGGTCAGACGGTTCTAAAGAATGGAACAATGATGTCAAAGAGGAGCTGGGCCACCAATTTGGAAACGACTCCGTCTTTTGGATCACCTATGAAGATATGCTCGAGAAATATCAACACTTCGATAGGACTCGTCTTTTCCGAGATCCCGACTGGAGGTGCTGTCAACGATGGATTGGTGTTGAGGTTCCGTGGAAGGCCCAGTGGAACGAGAAATTCCATATCAAGTTGACGAAAGAATCTCCGTTGGTACTAGTGCTCCAGCAGCTTGACGACAGATACTACAAGGGATTGCACGGACAGTATAGCTTCAGGATGCATTTTCGGGTGCACGAGCAGGGGCGCCCGGACAGTGAGGATTACATCGTCAGGTCCCATGGCAACTATATTATGGAACGCTCCGTCTCGATCGAAATACCATGCATGGAAGCCGGTAACTATTCGGTATTTATCAGTGTTGTGGCCGAGCGCGACACCGACATACTCTCTATTGAAGACGTTGTCAAGCGTGAATGCCGCAAGCGCGTGGAAAACGAGAAGCTAGCCCAAGTGGGTTATGCATACGACTTGGCTCATAGCAAAGGCGTGGCGCATCTTGAACAGGTTGCGAAGCTCCGTAAGAAGTCGGACCAGAAGAAGGCGAGTTCCTCGCGTATGCAGGAACGTCGTAAGATGTGGGAAAAGCGACATCTGAACCGCGACATAACGAAGAAGCAGACCAAGAAGAACCAGGAGAAGCGTGATAAGTGGCGCGCAGCAGAGGACGAGAAGAGAAAAGCCAAGGCAGAGGCTGAAAAGGCCAAAGCTGAAGCCGAAGCTGCCGAGAAGAAAAAGCAGGAGGAAGCGGAGGCCGCCGAGAAGAAGAAGAAAGAGGAGGCCGAGGAGGCCGAGCGCAAGAAGAAGGAAGACGAGAAGCCTAAAGATGTAGCTGTTCAGACAGACGACCATAAACAAAGCGAAGATAAGAGCAGCCAGACTGAAGAGGCGGTAGATGCCAAAAAGGAGGAGGCTGGTTCCGACTCTGCTGACAAGCCGAAGGAGGAGTCAGATAATACTCCAAAAGAAGCCACAGCGGACGGCCAAACAGATGCTCCAAAGGACAAGGACAAGGACGAGACCGACGGCACTAAGAAGGAAGATAAGAAGGAAGAGGATAAGTCTGCCGATGAAAAAGCCGCCGAAGCGAAAGTTGCCGAAGAGAAAGCTGCTCAGGAGAAAGCCAATTCTGCTAGCGACACCACCCCTGCTAAGACCAGTGGACAAAAACAAAAACAACAACCCCCTCCATCCCCTCAAGCATACTCATCAGAATGCGACTCGTCCGACAGTCCGGTCGAGGACTGGGAGCTCCTCTACTCATCGGACGACATGTCCAAGAAGCCACGAATGGCCACCGCACCACCTGCGACCACTAATACTGATAATGCCGTAGAGAGTGACGGTGAGTCAGGCATGCCGGACCCGTGGAACGCCATCTGCATCGTCGGGTTCCGGGTGTACTCCAAGGACGAAGACCTGGACCTGCGCGTCGTGCTCGAGGGCGGCGACATGGCGGAGAACGGCATGGGCGAGAAGGGCCCCGCGGACATCGACAACGCGCAGATGAACGCCGGCGGCGAGCGCGCGAAGAAGCAGAACAAGGACGTCACGGACGAAGTCGAGATCGTCGACGGCGAGCTCGTTCATAAGAAGAAGATGGTCGTGCCGGATAACGATGACGACGAGCAACAGAAGAAGAAGAGTGACGATCAGGTTGATGAGAAGAAGAAGGATGAGAAGAAGAAAGATGAGGAGAAGAAAGATGAGGAGGAGGTGAAAGATGATGAGAAGACAAAAGATGATGAGAAGGTGAAAGATGACGACGAGGCTAAAAAGGAGGATGAAAAACAGGAGGATGAGAAACGTGAGGATGAAGAGGGCGAAGCAGATGCAGATGCCCACAAGTCAGACGATAAAGACGACGGTGCCAAATCAGACACCTCCGAGTCGTCCGTCGACTCGACGCCGATTCCAACGCCTGATTCCGACTCGGGCTCGGGAGACTGTAGCCCGCAGTACTCGGCAGCCGAGAAGACATCCGGCGACTCATCAGCAGCCCAGCCCCAGCCCCCGGTCTAAGAGGGATATTATCTTCCATTCCATCCATCACACTTTCCTCGACAACTCGATTCCCCCCCCAGCATTGCGTGCGTGTGTGTTTCTTTCAACAATTAATTACTCCTTGTTTTTCATCGCGTTTGGAGCATGATGGATACCTTTTCCTTTTTTTTTTCCCCTCCTCTTTTCTCTCTCTCTGTCTCTCATATTCGCGGGCATTGATGATGATCTTACGATTCCCGGCTGTATAAGTCGTTACGAATAGGACGGGCCTGGCTGGCTGGCTGGCTGGTTGGTCGGTCGGTCGGTTTTACGAATCGGATAGGGCTCCTGTTGGGGGTGGATGTGGCCTGGCTATTATGCATCGGTAGTATGGATGGCGGTGGCGACGACAGACGGCCGAGAGAGGCTAGATAAAGCTATAGAGTCACAAAATTGTCACCTACTTAGGTAGTCTCTCTGAATATCTCTTTCCACTCCATAGGATCGACGACCCGACTCAAATAAAAATGAAAACTTCAACATCATGTCACATTCACAGAGTTTTACTAGATGATATATGACTTGTGCTTGTTCGATAGAGGTCATCCCTACCTTAGATACGGAGATAGATAGGTATTATTATCGACGTATGCGCTTCCCCTGAGCTGCCCAATATGAATGCTATCTCTATGGGTTATAAGTCACGGCCGTTCAACGGTTACCCACCGATCTATATCCCCGCTGCTCAACCCTCTACGTCGTGGAATGCACCATCAGTATCATCCGACGGCAACCTCTGCGCCTCGCTAGCAATGCGCCGCCTCTCGACCCTACGCCTCCAAGGTCCGTAGGCAAGGACGGAGCCAAGCCCAACCACGAGGAATAGTCCACAAATGGAGCCACCGATGATGTCGAAGTGATCACCGATCTCGCCGAGACCATCCCAGAAGGAGCCTTCGGGTTCGGCGACATTCTGCACGAGCGACAGAATCTGGATGATGCCGATAAACGCTGAGACGACGACCGTGATGCCCGTCAACACGATCGAGTAATACAGGATTGCGACCGTATCGCGCGCGAACGCCTTGGATGAGTATAGCGCCATCATGAGGGCCCCATCCGTCGTGTCTAACATGCACATTCCCGCTGAAAGTCCCGTCGGATGTTAGCCAATGTGAATCTAATCCGATCATTTCCTCTCTCCCCATTCTACTTAGAGGAATAATAAAAATCAGAGCGTACCTGTGAATAGGATCGGGAATATGAGAATAACCCAAAGACTTGTCCCCTGCGCTCCTTGAACGCTTGCGATACCCAAGATGGCGATCTCAGAGCTTGTATCGAATCCAAGTCCAAATAAGACACCAAGAGGATACATCTAGAAAGGGGGGGGGTCAATAAACCACGGCTATATTTTAATCTAATGAAAAAAAAATGAAAAAAAAAAGGAGAGAAGAGGTTGCAAAGATAGCAAACAAAACTTATCTGCGCATACTTTCCAAGGCCGGTCAACAATGCGAAATAACCTCCGAAACACAGTAGCAAGAAACCCAGCGCCCTCGAGCTGCAAGTTAGTCGCAGCCTGATCCTCGTCCGCCCCGTCCTGCTCCGGGTGATGCGGGTCTGCCTCGCGGAGGACGGCGCGGAGACGGCGCACAAGGCGATACAGGACCCAACCGTTTCCCAGGCACAGCAGGATGAGGAACGCGGCGCTGACGCTCGTGCCTACGATCCCGCCGACGTACTGGAAATTGTCGAAACGGTCGCGCAGGGCGCCGCTGGTAGCCGCTACGACGATGCAGGTGATAATGACGATGGTGGAGTGGCCCAGGCTGAAGAACGTGCCTACGGTCACGGGCCGCTGCCCCGACGCGATCAGGCGCCGGGTCATCAGGTCGATGGCGCTGATGTGGTCGGCGTCGAGGGCGTGGCGGAGTCCTAGCGTGTACGATAGCACGGCGGGAGTGATCATGGCCGGGTAGTAGTGCAGTACCACGCCGACCGCCGCCCAGACGATCATGTTGGCGAATATCAGCGTCCCGATGATTTGTACCACGGGCAGTGGGAGAGCTTTCAGCCGGCCCGGGAGCGGAAGGGCGCAATAATGCGAAGATAGTCGCGGCATTCTCTGTTCTCTACCTACGGCTCGATGCTGAGAAGAAAGAAAGAATAACCCGGTATAACCTAGAAACTCTCCCAGAGAGCACTGATGTTCTAGCAACTATTATATCTCTATATTAATATCAACTTTTCAACTCATTTTTAAAAGAAAAAAAAATCGCAGAGCAAGAGTATAAATAATAATACTAAGGTAAAAGCAGCAAAGTAATTACCTATCACAAGCTCGCCCCCGCACCCGCCGACAAAACGGGACATGAAATAATAATAAAATGAAAGACGTATCGGTATAAGATAGACGCTTGACCCAAGGTGCCGGTGCTAGCCCTAACCATCCCGGGCCCGATCTGGCAAAGCCCGCTTGGTATTTGTATTGTATTGCACTATAATATGCAACCTTCTATTCCGGCGTTGGCCGAGGCTGATAAGATAAAAGTTTAAATTGATTACTATCATCATTCATTATTATTAGTCATTGATGCCATGACGATTTTGCCAATTTAGGAGTAACTTATTAACGGGGCTTACTTAGTCTTTAGTATTCAGGACATACATACATATCAAAGGAGACATGTCATGTATATTTCAATGAAATAGGTATATTGCTTATAGTTAACTAGTCCAAGTTTAGCTCTATGATATATGATTCGCATTTTGCTCGCATTGGAATTTTATGCTATAGAAGCATTATTAGCGATGAGTTTGTTTGGTACCTAATGTTACCTACTTCAGGATATATTCAGGCTTATACCTAGTAGGTACGGTGTGTTCTCCTTAGTTGCCCATCTGACTCAACATGATGAAGAGACAATCCATCCATCACAAGAGCCGGCATTCGTCGATCCGAGTATTTTCGTAAAACTCCCAATTATACCACCGAGTTCAAGATCGCACGCCCACCAAGCTATAAGCACTTACTAACACCACTATTACCATTGCACGCATAAAGATGTGGCGTACACGGTCGAGTCACCAAATAGTATTCAGATCAAACAGTGAAGTACCTATATCTAGGATATAACAAGTCTCGACAAATTGCACCTTGTCAGTCGCAACTCGAACCTTTTGCGTATTAGTCCTAGATTGTTTCCCTCTCATCAAACATGAAAAAAAAGAAGTCATATACAGCTTGAGCGTTTTCATAGTTGAGGCAGAATGCCCTAACCCGATCTAGTTCGTTATCATAATATCATTCCGGTGTTCAAGATGAATGCCCCGTGTAAATTCGAATAGCGCTGCCCCCATGAAAACCCCCATGCTATGATGATGATATAGTAAGAAGAAATAATTTGTAGTCGCTTCGTCAAAACCGCAGCTAATCCCTGAAGCTAGCTGGTAGGTGTGGTTGTATGCAAGTACCTGGGTAGGTACCTAGGTGATTTCGCGTTCGTGGCCGTGTGAATTCGACCCGCATATAGAATTTGGTTGTCGTGTCCTTCTATTAGCACTATCGTAGTGCTTCTATTAGATTTAATGATGAAAATACCCGAAATATTCCGAATTCGAGAACTGATCGTGGGTGTTGGGATATTCCGCGAAACAAGTGCTTCTCCTCGAGCCTCCCCCCTGCTTCACTACGTGACGTAGCATTTGAAAAACACAACCGCGCCTTCTAATGATATCCGTAATCCTCCTCTTAGCCAGCCCAACCGATGAACTTGCTGCGTTAATGTTCTGGCTCGTGGCCATCTCCTCCAAATTCATCCTTCTGTTGGATAATGTGTATCCAGGATGGCTGCTAATGGCTCCACTTGTGTAGCTTTGGCCGTTAACGAGGTCTTTCTATCTTCACTAGGTATCGTGCTAGTATAACGTGGCCGACTTAATATTTTCCGCTCAGGAAGAAGAGAAGCCGGAACGAAGTCGTGGGGACTCAACGTATATTTATGGCCTCGATGGTGCGTACCGGGACGAACACTGGGCTCATACTCGGGGAAATATCTGACGGGTTAGTGACTCGGCTGGCCTAATAAGGGGTAGGGTTCCGTGGGATAGTTACTGGAAGTTTGGTGTTAAAAGATACCACACCTAAAGAGCTGGTAAATTGCCATTTTCAAGACAGCTCGATATCTGTGAGCCATACAGAAGCTTCAAACACGAAGAATTATCCGATGCGCAGATTTTATAGCACTTGTCATGATCTGTCCGAATAGAAGGGTTCTAGTTAGTTTTAGCGATGGCCACCTTTGTCTTTGCGGGATACCTTTATGATTCATCACTAGGTACTTATAGCTTCGTCTTCCTCGGCTTTTAGCAACACGAAATGTCTTGGGATGCTAGGCTTATGTGTTAGCCGAACTAGCTATCCTCACCCTTTTGACTATGCTACATGAACAACTTCAACAGAGATCGGGCGCTCGTCGGTCCGGGGTAATTAAGGAGGGCGACGTAGATCCTTTACTTCCTCCGACTAAAGCGGCGTCTTGTCCTATGAGGGCGCGTCCTGTTGGGACGACGTCCCTGGGAGGTGTTGGCGGTTCCTAACCCTTTGTATTAGAGGGCTTTGTGCTCTTGGGGGTAGTTGTTTGCTCATCACACAAGTACCGAGCTCTTGCTTACCTGAGCTCGCCAGTTGTGAACTCCCGAAATATCGCCAGCTCATGAAAAGCGCTCGCTAGGGTCTGTACTTGTGCTTCACTCGGGTTCGTCATCGCCAGCTCAAGGTCGACCATGAAGCTTGCTCGGACTGTAAACTGGGAATCATATCGTTGTCCTATTTTTCTCATGCCATTTAATACAGTATTCGCCTCGGGGGCAGATAAGAACCCGTTGCGTAAGGCCATGCTTAGGAGCCCAAGCATCGTCACCTCGGCCACCTGAAAAGAGCCGTCTGCTCTAAAATCAGTATTCCACCCGGAAACAAGAGGCGTTATTTCTGAGAAATACACTCCATAAATATGAATTAGTGTGATACATGTGTGCTCACAAATGCGTAATCAAGTAATGTAAAAGAGTGGGCGTAAGGAGACAGCATCACATACTGAGGAGAAGTTAGTATTTGCATCAACAATTCAAGACACAAGCTCCATGGGGGACATCAGATTCCCGAGGTAAAAGAGAGCCCGCGTTACGTACCACATATTCTCGTAGCCCGTCATGCAAAGCATGAAGTAGAACCAACACTCCGGGTTTCGTAGCTTACCAGAACGCACGGTTTCGCAGAGCATTGCGTTTGATAAATATAGAAGAGCGATATGCCACAACGTTGACGAGCACGCATGGTTGAAATTGATGCAATAAATGAGAACAAGTCGTTTCAGCTGGTTTACCGAGGATTCGTGCAAGTCTTTTATAGCAGCCGTAGTTGTGAGGTGCTTCATCTTTATTTCCTTGTCGGCCGATCCTTGTAGGAATGGCCAAAATAACTCCATCACGGTACAATGGAAGTAAAGACTACGCCGAGTTTATGTTAGAATGACGAGGTGGGTTGAAACAAGCAATCAAGAAGCCGAAATAAAGCACGTCTGGCCTGGAATTAACATATTCGGTAAAGGGACCTTACTGTAACATTAAGTTGGAATGGCGGTTGCGTCTCCCCCGCGACAGTTCAAGGGGAAGAGATGCTGCCCATTCGAACATCCTTAGATATATCTGTTCTGCGAATTCAACCGTCGCTCGGGCAGCGGGAACAGTATTGCTTGTCCCAAAATAGGCCCAGGTAATATCGTGAACGATCAAATTGAACTTACACACCGCCTTGAAGGCTTCGCTGACTTGGCTCGACACAAGAGTCCGCTGGTGTGGATATGAATAGTTTGTGTGTCCATGGGTCTCAAAGTATTGCCCCGGCATGGGAAGCAGTGGTGGGGTCTCGATCTCTGTTCGATGTAGATGCAAGGAACGTATGCTAGGATATGTGGTTATGAGTATTTGCTAGAAGATATATATATATTGGAAATAGATTGTAGATCTGAGCGGTAAGGCCAACTCACCAAGCGCATGAGAATATACCCCATGAGGTATGACTTGCAGCTCTAAGCCAATCTTGGTGATGATCCAACCAAGTTAGGGCCGATGCGTTCTCGGAACTCACCCCAAAGACTGCCGCGGTCGGGGTTAGCATAGGTAGCCAATGATTTGCTTCGTCTAGTGCATAAGGACCACAGGGACATGGGTATCTTAGTGACGTCGCCGCCGCCGCACCTAGTACGTGCAGACGTTCCGGAAGTTGACTTACGGCCCATACGTTTTCCCATTTGGATACCTTCATCAAGGCATTGGTTCGCAAATTCATCACGGCCTCGAGAGGCTGATGTACTATTCAGAAATTGAGCTGCTGCTGCCGCAGTTAGCGTATTAGTGAACTTTTCCACCTGCCATAATCTCTCAGCTTCTGACTCGAAAGCAATGATATAAGCCGTTGCCTCTGGCTGTAAACTCGAATACGATTGCTAGGTCGCGTCAGCAACCGATCGTAAATCATAGCTCATGGTATTTCCTAGATTCCCCGTATCTAGATTGAGACTTACACAGGTCCACCCTAGTAGGGCATTCATGAGCAGGGTAGAGCAGAAATGAGTCTTCCCCTGCATGCAGTCATCTAAGAACAAATCGGCATCAAATAGGGGACACCATGGATGATCAATCTCCAAGTACAACGAGATTAGGGTTGCGGCTAGCTCGTTCGTAATAGGCACGGTGGTCCAGTTCAGGAAGTTCACGTTCTTCAGTCGGTCGTCAACAATGGTGTGCATCGATTGCAATGGTTCAAAATTTCCTATTTCGCGGTCATTCGCGTCTAATACAGTTGGCGTCACTCCACTTCTGAGGCCGCCCTCACTCGGGCCAGCAGGAACGCTTGACGACGATGGTGTGTCTCCTTGTCCAGCGCTACGAACGCATGTTAGCATTGAGGTCGCGAGGTTATAGGGCTCGTAAGGTATGGTCTCCACAAACCCAACCGTAAGGGAAGCATACAAGCTAGGCACTCTTGGCTGCTGAAGAATAACTGGGCGTAATAGATCGGCTAGGTTAATAAATGCAATCTCAACCGGAATCAACATCGGGTAGGTGGTTGGACATCGCATCATGAGTTCGTATTCGGGCGTCTGTTGGGTCTCGGGTATGAGGCCTGCCATTAGCTGCCGATTGGATAGCTTCACAGGCAAAAGAGGATCGTCCTCGAGGTCTTTTTTTACGGATGCTAAGATATCGGAAGTGTCGCTCGCTCCCTCGGCAGGATTCCTGGTAGCTTTTAGCCGTCTTAAAATGTCTAGAGACACGGCGTCAGGGGCCGATTCAAGCAAATCGAATATCTCTAGCATGTCTTCTGTGGATCTCCTGAGGGATTCGACCTCCCGCTTCAAAGCCATGAAGGGGGTCTCGTCGCTGCTGGCGGTGACGAAGTTGCATTCCACGCCGGCCTTGCTGCAGGCCGTGCAGGAAGGTCTTTTGCCATCACACTAACGGGTATGGGTCAACGACTCGAAGGGCTCGACACGAAAGCCTCTGGAGGCAGAAGACAGAAGGCAGAAGGTGCGGTTACTTACACGGATCTTCTTGAGACGGCAGTTATTGCAAGCAGCTTTGGAAACTGTACGTTTCTTGATGGGCGGACCGGTCTCCTTCTGAAAGGCAGATTCCGGTGCCTTGGCCTGAGAGCCGGAAGGCATGGGCGCCGGAAGTAGTCGTTTGTAGTTTTCGGACATTGGATTCCTACAAGTCTTTTTCGACTTACAGACTCCATAACAGACCTCATGTCTACCTAATATCGAAATCGGACATTTTGGCCCGGATGTTCTGCGACGTTAAAATTTGTATCTATGGAGAGAGGAGTCCTGGCTGTTTCTCTCGACATCGGAAACGATAGATCAAATGTAGCCAATCATACCTGTGGGATGGTTCGGGCCTCACTCCGTGAAGCTTGGGGATCTAATCTCTCTCAGACCCGTTGCGCCTCGTGTAGTCCGGCCTCGATTAAGCGTAATTGATAACTTGAGAGAGCAGGTAGGTAAGGTATGAACTATCCTAAGGGAATTATAGCCAGTGTCAACGTCCGTCCGTCATCTGGCGGAGACTTTAGATTGGAACGTAGCTTAGTTCCGGTTATACCATGTAACACGCAGCGCATGATTATCGAGTACCTTCTAGGTAGATAATCGGCATCCCTAGGCTAAAAGTAGGTACCCAAGCCTACCTTACATAGTTACTCAGTCAGAAGACAATAAAGAAAAGCATTTGTAAGTCAGCCCAGAGAGGGAAACTTAGATCAGGTACCATGTTCTCATGTCGAACAGAGGCTAACTAAGCTACTATTGGTTAGACCAACACTGCCAAGAGTTGCACAAGCTCTCCCAATGGTCAGGTTGACTAGACTTGCAGGGAGAATCTAGCCAATCAAAAGAGCCTGGAGCGAGCTCCGAGCCAATCAAATATCTTTCTCAGCGATTATTATCCCGTTTTGGGGTGTACCATAGACTCCATGGGACTTCATATCGCATCCTATCTTAATATCCTAAAACTACTTGACTACACCTTAGGTCTACTTGAAGCTCCTTTATACCTACAATACATACGTGTAGGCAATCATCTAGTAGTTAATAACTAGTTAATAACATATAGTTAAGAGATTCGTCATCAGCAATAATTTATCTAACTCTCGTTTAGTTAACTATAGTTAAGAACATTTCCTGAGACTTCGGTCAGAAGTGACCTTACCCAGGTAGCTATCTATTTTCCTCGTTGGTGTTTGTTCCGAAAGCGAAGTGGCATGATTGCGCTTGTTTGTTACATAGATATGTAAGGTATATATTATATACGCATATGTATCGGTTTAGTACTCTGGAATATTAATTTAAGCCTTAAGGTACTCTTCCCTGTTCTAAATGTTAGGCCTCTGCCGAAACTGGATATTTGTTTTACATAGGACTCGACGCATACTAACCTATGTACGTAGAGACACGCCTCTGATTTCTTGACTGTGGAATTAACCTGAGGTAACTTTGTGGTACCTGTAAACAAAGCCGCGTCTTCCTTCGCATAAGCTTGATACTATCAAGCGGGTGACCTCGTTGATGACTTCGTTGATGTTTGGGGACAAGTTAAAAAGTAAAAATTCTGGTTCGAGGTGTCATTGACTTAAGGTGTTATGCTTAGAGCCACCCAATCTAAATACCATACCTTAGGTACATAAGCTCCCAATACGACTGTAAATACCCATATAGGTTACATGTAACCGACAACTCATTATAATATAATCATGCATATTTTAATATCTCGCATAAATGCATATGAATAATGGTGGCAAAAGCCTATGAGGACTCTGTCGCATGACGCCCGACGAGATTTTAAAATCAAGAGATCAACTCTGACTTTACGCAACACGGAAGTATATATACGTAGCAGTTAGTAGTGGTTTACGTATGTATAATTGCCATACAATATGTTTGTATAACAAAACATCTCAGTGGTAGCACTTACAAGTTACTATCAGGTAGTTCAGGGGGGCGGTAACGGGGCCCCTGGTATTTAGTGTACAATACAATACGGGCAAACGTTGCCGGGTTCTATCTATTTCTATCACATATATAGGTACATACCACTATTTCCGCCTTCAGACTCAATATTCAGTACATACCTTAGGCAGATACGTCGGCTCCCGCCACTTAGCGCCGTCCTTTGGTCGCGGAGATCAACCCGCATCCAAGAAGACATATCATTGCTTCGAAGGTTCCAGGGGAAGGAAGAGGGGGTTGATCTACTAGCCGTAATCTCAGGGGGGCTACACGCCGCCCGGGCGCAAGTCCTCTTTCACTAGAGGGCCCCAAAAGTAGACAAAAGCCGCCACTGATATCTAAGTATCTTGTTTACAACCTCGCAGGCCTCTCCGCCACCACTCACATCTTGCCGTGGCCTTCCGCATCCGTACCCCCTATAGAGACCCGACACGACAATCGAGTAGTCTCGGAACTTCCTCCGATCCAGAATTTTCATCTAATATTTACATCGATTAGCGTTCTTCAAAGGAGTGAGCTTCGTGCCCTGTACAACTAGGACAACCATCCCAAACACCAACTAAGCCCGCCGCATGCAACACCTTTCTGCCCGAGAAAGCACCAGGACGCAATGACTCATATTCTGAATGACGAGGCTTTTGTATTAAGAAGTATGCCTGAACGTATCAACTCGATAAAGCCGTAACGCGTCGCAGAGCTGCCGAATCGAGCACCTTGCGTCGTCCAACGTTGTCGAACCCATCACCGATAGGTATTGCCGAGCCCTTTACGCAAGGAATAAAACGTATATGATCGAATAGCAACACGGGGACGACATTTATAGATAAGTACTGGTGGGGGTAGGTCGGATTTGTAACCGTCACTGACAGCAACAGGAGGGAAAAAAAGATAATAGAAAAAAATAAAAAAATAGAAGCCATAGATGTGCACAACAGCTTGTTCCGACTTCAATCTCTCTCTTCGAATCATGAAAAACATGCCTCGATCGAGATCCCTCTCAAATATAACCGGTATATCTCCATTCGTTTACGATCGGAAAATTTGCCTCTGAGTTTAGGCTTGAGGCAGCTGAACGGCGGATTGGAAAGCGAGCACGCGCAGATACACCGAAAGATCATCATACGTTATACCCTCTATCATTCCTCGGCTACAACTGTCGTGTTTTCCTAATTTAGTATATGTCGATATCTCTACCAAATCATAAGCAACCCGAAATACGCCGGCGCTAGTAAGAAATATATTCATTCGTACCAGGTGGTCTATATTACTCTGGTGTACCCATACACATTCGAGCGCGGGATAAAATGTAAAGAGGCATATTTGGCACCATTGCCCGGAGTAGGGTGGGTATCAGGCATACCACATCTTGGCTCAGGTTCTCGTCGGTGGTAGAAGAGGAACCCAAATACCGCGTTTACCGGAGGAATTTGTGTCACATACGAAAACATACTCCGTTGTGTTGGACTATAGTTGGACTATACAACTCCAACGCAAAGTATAAGGACATGAAGTGCTTAGGAGGTCGTCGGGTCGAGACGTAAGAAAGCCACACTGCTTACCAACGAGCCACCAGGTTTTGTAGTCGAAACCGATTTATCCTCGATAATCAAGCATCGCCAATCCGAATACTCCGTTGCCGTACCAATACCATAGGGCATATGCTCAAGGAACAACAAATATTGGGACTGTCTTGGAGGTCTGTCAGATCAACCGTCATTTCTTTGACTAAGGCATTAATAATGGGCTTTCATCCTATTATATCTTCAGTTTCCTAAATCGTGGTCTCAGTATGAATAGTTTCTTAATGCTGAGCGCTAATCGTAGTGGTAGTAGTAGTAGTAGCAACACTCCATTCTACTATTATTAAGTATTACCGAGTGCCATCGGCCGTAAGTATCATGCATATTCGGTAACACTCTTACGCCCACCGGCACCGGACTGCTCGAACTCCGCTTTCCGTATCCTCTCATGTTTGGCAGTCGTGTACGACAGTACGGCAGTCCAGAGTGCCAACAAGATAGACACGGCAATCATAGCCCACATTCCCCTCTGTAGTATGGTTAGTGTGACAAGTCTTCAACGACGATATCGAGATGTTGTATCGAGATGTTGTAAGTAGTGCAAGGACTTACAGTAAACCACGGTGCCATCGACGCCCCGTAAAAGACAATGCTCCACCAGGCGTTCACGGCGTTACTTCCTAGGTTCATACCAGCCAGAACAAAAGCTCGAAACATGTGTTCCTCGTAGCGGAGAGCATCGTTGGCCCACGCGAAGAAGGTAGCCTGGCAGGCATATACGGCGCCTGCCCAGTAATAAGCGCCAAATACCACAGAGGTCGATGCCGAACTCGTTGGATCTTTGGAAGCGGCTAGAATCATTGCAGAAGTAGCCACGCCTGTGACGCCGATGAAATAACCGACGAGATAGCGCTTCCCACTGAGGTAGTCTGTGAGCGTCGCCCAGAATAGAGTTGATATAATGCCAACAGCAGGCACACCAGTAGGGTAGTTGTTCAGCTGAGGGACCGTGTATCTGTTCGTCGGGTGGCTCTTCATGTACAAAGCCAGTAGAGCGTTTGAACTGAAAGATTCGGTCTCGCCGGCAATGATCCAGAGCACGACGAACCCCCAGAAGAACCAGGACGAGAAGGAGTTCTTGAAGAAGGCCCAAGAGATTGGCGATCGATCTTCTACCGGTGGCACGCGAGATACGGCTAAAGCCTTCTCGGATTCGGTAAGGTAGAAGGCCTCAGTTGTCGACGGCGTATCCGGGAAGAAGATGAAGCCGTAGAGTGCAACTGGCAACGTGATCTGGAAATATACATCAACACCTTACATACTCGCGTTTCTATCTCCCTTTTATGCCAAACACACACGAATAAGACACACACGAATAAGGGGTCCCATAAAACAAGGTAAACAGCAATTCTAAATAAAATAAAGTAGAAAAGGGGCTAACCAAATAATGAAAGATAGAGAAAAGCTAAGACTTACGATGCCGTCCATAATGAACAACCAGCGCCATCCACGGAGACCGTTCCTACCGTCCAGACTGGAGTGAATACCCGTCTGGATAAAGCCTCCAATCATAGTGCCAGCCAGGCCAGAGGCAGTGAATATGCCAGAGCGCTTCCCCAACTCTCGCTCCGTGTACCAAGACCCGAGGATGTAATGGGTGCCGACGAAGGTAGTGGCTTCCACTATGCCCTGGAAGAAGCGGATGGCCATGATGCTCTGCGGGCTATGCGCCGAGGCCGTGACCATAGTCAGGCAAGCCCAGATGAACATGCAGGCCGGGAAGAAGTATCGCGGTTTGACATAGTGCAGCGACAGATTGGCGGGGATCTGGCCGATCACGTAGCCGACCGTGAAGCAGGTGTTGATCTGGTTCAGCTGGTCGCCTACGAAGCCCAGATCCTCTTTCATGCCCGAGACGTAGGCATTGTTGATATTAGACCGATCTAGCTGGAATTATTTGTTATATTAACAGAATATTCCAACCAATCAAGGTCCGGTCTATCCAACATCGAGGAAGGCAGACAGACTGTATAAGAGGGGGGGTGGAGTGTTGAAGAGAAGGGGAGTTATTCCAAATACATACATAATTGGTGAAGTAACTCAAACAGCAAAAGGTCAAGATGAAGAAATCAATCTTTTGCACGAGTTTTTGTTCTCCGGGTTGATATTCGGTATGGAAATACTCCCGCAGCTTAGACCTCGTCGGTATCGTCGCCGCCATTTTTTTTTTTCGGATTTTGGGTCGTTCCCGTCCAATCAAAAGGGGAATTAAAACAAAACCGCGAGGTTTGCGGTTCCACAGTAGCAAGACTTTTTCTTTTCTTTTTTTTTTTTCTTTTTCTTTTCAGCTTACGTCGCGGTAATAAGCAGCGACCGCCATTATATATATATATGTAAGTAGGTAAGAGATAAATATATATATTTGCTTACCAAGCCTGATTGAGCCAGCGAGAACGCGCTACGAATGATAAGTTATCTGGGATTCTCTATCTATCTTGGCTGATTGCTGCGTTTGCCGAAATGCTGTTCCTGGAGAGATTTGCTAGATACAGACTAGAATAGTAGATATTACGTATCGGGCAAGCTAGGGTATAACCTAGGGGGTGAAGATCCATGATGCTGGGAATTTGCGGGGAAGCCCGAGATAAGAGATAGCTCACTAAGAGATAGCTCACTAAAAGATAGCTCACAGGAACCGAGCGCTTTCAGGGTCCAAGAAAAAGAAAGGGGATCCACAGGGGTGAAGGTCCAAAGTCTTTTTCTCCTCGCCTCGACTTGCTATGTATTTATGAGGGGTTGGTTGCTAAATCGTCTATCTTGGGAATAATGGGATAATGACATCAGTTTTGGGGTTTTGGGGTTTTGGGGAAGATAGCCATAAGATCCCTCGGCTATGATAGACGTCGGATGTTGTCTTCCCCTTTTCGTTGTGCCCTCGTCAAAAGGAAGTAAACCTCATAAGCGGAGAAGACGGATTCCAGTTCGGGTCGTATTAGACTATTAGTGCAGGCGGAGTTAAGTAACAATACCAACTGGCAACGATATCGGATGCGTTCGAGGGGGGAATCGAGTTGAACGGCACCCTATGGGCCTATCTTTCCAACTTTTACCATATTATAACTACCTAATATAATGTATAATGTTGAAGATATAAGTACATTATGTTATATATAATGGGTAAATCACCATCGAACAATTGCTCTTAGACAGTCACTTAGTTATTATATGCTAGAATTCGCGTTGTCCATAATAAGGTAGGTTATGTACCCCGTGAAGTTCTAGACCACTTACACCAACTAATTAATGCTAGGTATCTAGACTTTTATATCATTTCATTATACTAGACGTCCGTCCTATAGAAGGCCAGAGGGGGAACATTATAGAGTACACACAAGATCGCAACAGCAAACATGTCCAAGGGAAAATGGGAAGAACTCGCCGCCAAGAAACGCCGGGACCTGGCCAACTCCATACCCCAAGAGTGGCGCATCCCGAGCCATCTCCTGCCGCCCGCCGACCAGGACGACGTTACCGGCTTCCCCGAGGCATCGGGATGGTTCACAGCCGACGAGCTGTCCATCACGAACCAGACCGCCTTACAACTTCTGCCGAAACTCGCATCCGGGGAGCTGACATCCGAAGCCGTCACGCGTGCTTTCTGCAAGCGTGCCGCTGCAGCGCACCAGCTGATCAACTGCCTTTCCGAAACATGCTTCGGCCGTGCTCTCGATACGGCTAAAAAACTAGACGAGCACCTCGCGCAGACGGGCAAGCCCATCGGGCCTCTACACGGCCTACCCGTCTCGCTCAAGGATAACTTCAACCTGGTCGGCCTAGACGCAACCGTCGGCTTCGCATCGCACATCGGCGACCCGGCCAAATACGACGCCGTGCTAGCCGACCTCCTCCGCGAGGCCGGCGCCGTCTTCTACGTCAAGACGAACGTGCCCACGGCCATGATGATCGCCGAGTCCGTCAACAACGTCTTCGGCCGCACCGTCCACCCGCGCAACCGCAAGCTGACGAGCGGCGGCAGCTCCGGCGGCGAGAGCGCGCTCGTCGCCTTCAAGGGGAGCCCCCTGGGCGTCGGCACCGACATAGGCGGCTCGCTGCGCATCCCCGCCGCCTGCACGGGGATATTCACGCTGCGGCCCAGTTTCGGCCGGTTCCCGACGCTGCGCTGCCGCTCCGGCCTGCCGGGCCAAGAGGCCGTGCAGTCCGTCAACGGCCCCCTGACGCGCACCCTCGCCGACCTCGAGTTCTACTCCAGAACCGTCGTCGACGCCGAGCCCTGGCGCTTCGACCCGCGGTGCCTGCCCATCCCCTGGCGAGCCGTGTCGCTGCCGCGGAAGCTGAAACTCGGCGTCATGTGGCACGACGGCATTGTTCTGCCCACGCCGCCCGTGACGCGGGCGCTGCGGCACGCGGTGGCGAAGCTCGAGGCGGCTGGCCACGAGGTGGTGGAGTGGTCGCCGGAGGACCAGGCGCAAGGCACGAAGCTGCTAGGCCGCATGTTTTTTGCGGACGGTGGCAAGGCGATCAAGCGGGAGCTGGAGAGGACGGGGGAGCCGATACGGCCTGAAATGGCCATGTATGCCAGCGCGCGGGAGCTAGGCGGGCTCGAGTACTGGGAGCTGCATCTCGAGCGTCAGGAGTTTCAGAAGCGGTACCTTGATCGGTGGCTGAGCGCAGGCATCGATGCGATCCTGTGTCCTACGACGCCGTATAGCACTGTTGAGCACGGCAAGTTCGGACATGGTAAGTCCTCTAAATCTCCTCGAAAAGGACTAGGCGGCTACTCGTTTCTATTCAGAGTAATGATGGAGAGAGCTTACTGTCTATTTAGTTGGCTACACCGGCGTCTACAACGTGTTAGATTATTCCTGCATATCCTTCCCTACGTGCGTCATTGTCGATAAGTCTGTGGATATTGCGCTTGACGATACATATAAACCCCTTTCGGCTTTAGACAAACTCACCCAGGCCGAATGTAAGTACTGATATTCGTAACCCCCGACTACTTTTCAAATGGGCCACATTATTGACTATTAAGTAGATAACCCCGAAGCAGTGCACGGAATGCCCGTAAGCTTGCAGCTAGTAGCACAGAGATTGGAGGAAGAAAAGTGTGTAGAGATGTGTAAGGTTGTACTAGACGTATTATCATAGACATTAGATCTGGCCCGAGGATATATCTATCTAGATCAAAGCCAACATGGCAAAGATAAAATAAGCTAATATCGTTTGTCCAAGCGGTAACTAACAAATTTGTACCTGGCGATTGATTCCGAAATGGCAATAGATATAGATACCTAGGTAAAGAAGGATATCTGAGGCCATAATATGAACATGTTTACAAGCAAGAGACCAGTAAATATCCGTTGATCCTGGTCATGAGATCCAACAAAACTCCGATAGGCACCAATAGAGTTCCCTCGCTAAGCCATGATCAAGACAGACTTTTGTGAACCATAATACCAGGTTCAAAAGCCAACGTCGTCGACGTGAAAGAATATAGATATGATAATATAGCACATAAATCGTCTGATAATCCAGCTACTGGTCGCCATGACTCACCATATAAACCTAAAAGTAGAATTGTTGTTGCGATTGTCCGGGGGGAGCTTGTGGGAGGAAGTCGAAATTCATATTGGCTTCGGTATAAAAGGGATCTGGTGATTCTGTAGAGGGTAATTAGGTAACCTATGAAGGAGGGGATAATAGATTTGACTACTTACCCCAGAAAATTGAATCATAAAGGTCCATGGGCGCCAGTGACGTAGGATCTAGTTGGTCCATGCCTGGCATTCCAACCTGTTGTGGGATTGACGTTTGATACGGCATCGTCCTACTAATTAGTAAGTAACTTGTTTAGCGAAAGCCACAAACAACTCACGTTGAAAAATCCGGCATGTTGTTTCCATTCTGCAGCTCTGCCATAGCAAGAGCTGCGTCTTGGTGTCTATCGAATCCGGGCTGTAAGCGAAACTGTTGATTCATATTTTGAAGCCCCTGGGGAATTGCTGCTCCAGTTGGTGTGCGAGCCCCAGACGCGCTCTCGCTCTTGATGCCCGATGCTCCGTGTAGAGATCCATAGTCGTATATGTTCTTCAGCGCCGCCAAAGCTCTCGATAGGGGGCCTGATAGCTCAATATCCCTGTCAATCTTAGGAATGTGCTCCGGGGTAGGGCTTTTCTGTTCCTTTGCCGCCGCAGCCGATAGAGCTGAGATCAGATCTCCCTGGAGCCGACGAACTTCGGGATCCTGCTTCGTCTCACATAATATGCCGAGGAGAACGGCGGAAGAAAGTCCGTGATAGGTGAATGCCCAACTTCGAGTCGGGATGAAGGATAATTGGTGCATCGATAAAAACATTCGCACCGTCTCGGTTAGATTATCCTTGCATTTATCGGCCAGCGCCTTTTTCTCGACAGCCTCTAGCCTCGTACAATCTCGACGGAGAGCCGGGCGGCAACACACAGATACCACGAAAGCAGTGTGCAAACGTATGGCGTAGTGCTGTAATTTATCAACCACACTCTTGCATGCTTCTTTGCTGCGTAACTGGGGGAAAACTCTTTCTCGAATGGATTCGATAGCTCGGCAATTTTCGAGGATCGTTTCGTACGAGTAGTCGGCGGTAGCGTCTGGGTTGAGTTGCTGCGAGATTAATTGGCACAAGGTATACATCGCTTCAAGATAGGACAGCCCCTCTATGTTAGAGCTAGGCGACAACGGAATCGGACAGCATTGAATATTGGTCATGTTGGGGCTGTAATAATCATAAGCGACCGCGGTTTGGACTATAGCGGGTTGGGGTTTATTACCGGTCGAAAGACAACGATGTTAACGTATCATGCCATACACAGGTCCACCTAGATTATATATTAGTGGCTAGACTAGACGAGCACTTGGATTATTCCTACCATAACTTTCTTCGCGCGTATGTTTTTGACGATAACTCGGCCGAACTGGACTCGTCTTGTGCAACAGCCCGGTGAAGACCAAGCGATTGTGCTAATCGGCATGTCATCCCGATCAAGGCCCACGAAGCCTCGGCTTTCATGTCATTTAGAAGACAGAACCCCGTCAGCAGGAGCGCTTGGATAGAATCTAGGTTGGGTCTATTTTAAAGACGGTTAGATCAAATATGAGTATGTTTAGCTGATTGCTGGCATACCGTAATAAAAAATTCCCGAGTCTAAGGAAGTGGAACGATATCTGAACGTATCTCTGGGCATCTCGCGTCCGGATATGGTATGGCGAATCGCGGTATTGCGAACCGACGGCCATTACGGAAAAGAGGATGGCTAGCCACGATGCGGAGACACGCCGGCTTGATCTGCTATGCTCCCTAGCATTTTTAGCTCGTTCTTCGAGATATATCATAATGCGAGATTCTAAATCGTCGATGTCAATGACAAATCCCCAGAATGGGTGCGCAATCTCTTTATAAGCTCTAAAAAGACTATATCATTGGTGCATTAGCATACTATTTCCGAGAGCTGGTAATAATCTAGCCAGTATTTTATCTTGACTACTTACATCATTACTTCTCGATCTGAAGGAAGCTCGGAGAATATGTCTTGTGTCAGTCGGTCAAGGTGCTTCAAGGACATTAGCGGGAACGGCGCAGAGTTGTCGAGCCCGAGGATTGGGCGCATATCACGACGAATGTCAACCCCATCTTTAGTATCTATTGGGGACGGCTGGTCTCGCAATAACGCAGGAATACTATTTTGGCCAACGTAGCGTGTCATCTCTACAGGCTCGGGTTCATCTTCCGACATATGCCAGTCAGCGCATTTAGATGCCTTGGATATTTGATAGAGCACACCTATAGCTTGAGCCCAACCCTCAGGCTGATGATCACTGCCCTGGTCATTGTTGATACTATCGACGGGAGAATGAGGTCTTTTTCTTCCCTGGCTACCCTCGACCGACATGGAGGCCTGCTTAGAGGCGCTCGAACGATTGGGTTTGTAGGAGCATAGCTGTGGGTGCTCCCTCTTGACACAATTTTCACAGGGTTGCTTGTTGTCGCATTTCACCTTCCGCTGCCTAAGTAGATATTTAGTTTAGATGTTCACCTATAATACAACGAGGATAGATCGAGTTATTTAGTCGTAACACACCTGCATGGCCAACATGCCGTACCTAGAAAGTGCTTGTAAGCCAACGTGAATGTATAGGTTCTGCAGTGATAGATACTGCAGATATGGCCCGATACAGCGAAAAACCAAGTGCGGAATGATTGAACATACCATATCGTACTTTGCGATGAGAGTGGATAATGTGACTAGCTTGTTCTGGGGTCAGGTCCTGAATAGGGACCTGATTGATGTCTTGATCTGATGACATGAGCGATGATTCTGATTGTCTACCTATGAGACAAGGACCCCGCCACGCAAAGGCTCAAGCTACCTAAGGCTTGGACTTGGATTTGGACTTGGTTGGAACTTCTTCGGGTTTTGGTTTGGAACTGGTAGCTTTCCACTTCGCCCCGAAAAAAAAGCCAAGGCTACCAATAGACGAATAGAAAATAGGTACAATTCGGTTATAGTAGCCGATCAGGGATACGTAGGTAGTTAGCGCAGAATGATTAAAAGGTAATGTTAAGCAGGTTGGCAGGTTGGCGGGTTGGCAGGGTCGGACAGCCTTACGCGATGATGATCGTAAATCGAAGGAACAATAAGACAAGAAAAATACCGAAGACCGAAGATCCTCTGGACCGCCGTTTTGACGGAGCGGGGCAAAAGTCGTTAGAATAATCTTTGCGATTTGCGAATTTTAGAAGTGCCTTAGCCTGCCAAGACTTCTAAACACTCCGAACTTTCCGAGTCTGCCAGAATGGCTGAATGGCCGTTGCAGCCCGTTTGCAGCCCATTACAGCTGTACATACACTATTCATGGAAGACCCCGCAGTTCCCCGCGCTTACCTACACTAGGCTGGGACAGAGCAAACAAATTGGGTATCCACTCGAAGAGCTCGGGCCATCCCACAACCTTGAATTCAAGACCTAAGCAGTTTACCTCCCACATCCCACTTTCTCTTTTGGCAAGGGCAGCTGAAGGGATTACTTATCCAACACCAAAAACGTGCGTCCTTAAACTTTTCCAAGTTTCCCTAGACCTTTTTGGCTCGATTTTGCGTCCCTAGAACATTCACTAGAACATCCTTACTAACACTCTCGTTATCACGATCGTTTTATTGCCAATCGATTGGATGTGTCTTACTCTCATTTATCCTTAGCTGCCCCCACACCTATCGGTCGTGTAGTCGACATCCAATTGAACTGAGTCAAAGTCGGTTGTTATACATGAAACTATCCTCCGCAGTGGAGATTCGGGATTTGGTAAGGATCACTGTCAGTCTGACAGTTTTCCTGCTGCCTGTGCTTCTTCGCTACCGTCTAGGTTTGCTACCGTCTCGGCTAGTGTTGTACGTAGGCAAGTTGTGTGATGGTGGACGACACTGATTGGCCTAAATGCTAATATGACCTACATAGTACCTACTAGCCCTTCACTTTAGCCTCTCAGTTACATCCGTGGAACCCATCCCGTCATCCTGTCAGCTTGTCCCGTCTGTTTGGGTTGCCGAGTCATAAGGCAGTATATGCAGTAATATGGCTCCGCAGCCACGGCTTGAACCGATCTCTACACGCCCAGTAACACCGTCTAAAAAAAGGCTCAACGTTGCTGAGTTTGACATTTGGTTTCTCGAATTTTCTAATACGTATAACCTTAATTTAAGACGAACTCCTCCAGACTTGTCTCCGCAGAAGAAACGATCTTTACCATACTATCCAGAACTACGATATTATGAGCTCCTTAAAGTTCAATACTTCAAGGGAAAGCATGTGGTAATACAGGACTTGTTTGCCCAAGGAGCGAAAGAGATTCACAGCAAATGGATTAAAAAGCCACATGCAGAACCTGGGGTTACCCCTTTCCCCAGCCAACTCCCTCGGGCAACTACTGAGCCTGAGCGTTGTCAATTGCTGGGGCTGCTCGGGGCAATTTTGGATGACATTGGCTCACTGAACGTGTCACGATGCTCTTCCGTCGCACCTTCGATCTCTTATCAATTCTATGATGAGCCTCCGTCTCCCACGAGGGATCGACGCTCCAAGCGCTATTCTGATGAATGGCGGGGAAGTCCTTCCCGTAAAAGGAATAGGAGCGCACCCTCAGAAGTTGATACAGAATGTGATCCTGACGACGAACCGCCACCTAGCGTGCTTTCTGCTCTTGATAGGGGTCGTGTACTCACAGCTAGTCCTGTACCTAGCCAAGTATCATCGATCCAAGTGTCGAGTAATTCAAAATTAGGTCGAAATAGAGACCCATACCGGGTAGACGTTACCGCGGATACAAGTAGGTCAACATTTGCGTCTCGAGTGTTCTCGGATCATGACGACGACCAACCTCTTCCGGTCTCTCAAGAGACCCAAACTACCGTAATTGCGAGCAGCTTGGGGAGCGCGAAGTTTCCGTCATCGCGAGTAATCGGGTCTGATTCGGATTCCTTGGCGCCGTCTTCTAGCACCGAACGTGCCCTCCAAATCTCTTTCGATCGCCACCACCAACTGTTTCAGCAGAATGTGAGCGAGCTTCTTAGAGACAGATCATCGATATATTCCGACTTCAGCTATTCGGAGCAAGATGTTGCAGGTTCTATTACTCCTTCTCAACCTTCTCCGTCTTTACGTCCAGCTTCGCCACCTGCAGCTATTCAACACCCGGCGCCTCCCAGAGTTCCGTCTCCGCTCTCTCCTAATAATGAAAATATAAGGAATACGCCACCACGTATAGTATATGGAGGCAGCCAGGAATTTGAGCATCGGCTTCATGATGTTTGGGGCAAGTATTGCCCCCTCTCGAAATGGAATTGTAGTTAACTCTTGCTAGCTCATCTTCCCGATCATTTTGATCGTGCGCCATTCGTGGTTCGCTGGGAAATTTTACGAATTGCCCTTCACTGTGAAGTACAAGTGCAGGACCTGCGGGTTGAATACGATCCATCATGGTCCGACCAAAGGACACTATGGGCGAGGCTTCAATCTTTACCTGTATTTCGGGGCAAGTCCTTTCCTGAAAAGTCCCGACCTGAAGCTTGGACTGCCGCCCTAAATGATAAATTTGGTACCAGGGATCAGGTGGTTGTGCTTACCGCCTCGCTCACGGCGAATACGTCAAAGAACGGACCTCCATTCCTTCTTAGGCTTAATCCTCTTAAACTGGATCTCCCCCATCGCCTAAGTCGTAGATTTGGATCAGACCGTTTCCTTGAACTTGTGATACCATCTTTAGGTTCCCAGGATATAAGAAACTTCGGTGAATCCGCTATAGAGAGTATCCAGCAGTGGCTAGTCAATGGATCGCACGTCCTGCTTAGTCGCGTGTGGGCTTCGTTCTATCTCAAATCAGCCTTGCCCAAAAGGATTACTAACGAGAACGCTCTGGGGCCCCAGTCTAAAACGATACATCAAGAGCGGATATACCTCTTCGCTGAAGACGGTAACGACTTTCGCCGTCTAAGAGCGGAAGAGCATTATTCACCAAAGGGTGAGCCAGTGGGAATGCATAGCAAGATGGGACGTGGAGATCTTATCGAATGGCTCTTACAAACCCCCAATAATCAGACCCAGCCAGTGCTAAAGCTCTTTTCACGTATCGCGCTAGGTATGATCAGTTAACACCCATAGCCCCCCATCAAAACAGTACTAAGAGCGTTTAGGTCTAAGTCGTACACATCCGACTATTATTCTCCAGCCTAATCAGATTCGACACCGACCCAATGACATCTTATCACCCGCCAACAAGGTTATGAATGACGGCATTGCCCTCATGTCTCATGGCCTTGCGCGAGCTGTGCGTGATATGATGGGTTTGCAAGACGTACCAGCAGCTTTTCAAGGCCGATTCGGTAGTGCAAAAGGTGTTTGGCTCCGAGATACCAACGATACCAGTGATGCGATATGGATAGAAACAACTCCGTCCCAGCGTAAGTGGAATTGTGATTACGTCGAGGACGATCACCGAACGTTCGAAGTTCGTAACGAATCCAGAGAGCTTAAATCTGCCAATCTCAATTTACAGCTCCTGCCTATTCTTGAAGACCGGGCCATCAACGCAGCTCAAATGAAGATTCAGGTCGGGAACTTTATGAGAGACAGCCTCATGAGAGACCTCGATGCCCAAAAGGCCGCTATGCAGAGCCCTACCCAGTTTAGACTCTGGGTTTATGAAAACTCGCCGTCGAGCCGTCGGACGGAGCGTACAAAGCATTGCCAGGTGCCGTTCACGGCCGGTCTCCCAAATAGCCGGGAGGACATAATGGCCTTTCTTCTAGATAGCGGGTTTGACCCCACTAAACTGAAGTTTCTAAGCGACATTGCTTGGAAGTTACGGATGGAAAAATGCCAGGAACTCCAAGAGCGGCTCAATGTAAGGGTTGGGCGCTCTACTTACGCATATATGGTTGTTGATTTCCTCGGAATTTTAGAGGAAGATGAAGTTCACCTTGGGTTCTCCTCCAAATTTACAGATGAACAATCCGGGTTTTCCGAAACCTTCCTCCATGGATTTGACGTCCTAGTTGCTCGTACACCTGCACATTATCCTAGCGATATCCAAAAAGTAAAAGCAGTTTTCAAACCCGAGCTAGGCTCGTTGAAAGACGTCATCATTTTCTCAACAAAGGGTGACATACCCCTTGCTGAGAAGCTCTCCGGTGGCGATTATGACGGGGACATTGCCTGGGTATGTTGGGAGCCGACGATTGTGAACAACTTTCGTAACGCAGACATGCCTGACGTCCCGGACCTATTCGAGCAAGGTGTCATACGCAAGGAGACTCTAAAGTATAATGAACTTGTAGCAGCCGACGATATTACCTCGGAGTTCCTTCTAAGAGCGTTTAAATTCAACTTAGAACAGAACCTACTTGGTGTGTGCACGAACTACAAAGAAAAGTTGTGCTACGCCCGAAATTCAGTCCAAGACGAACCTGCGATCCTCTTAAGCACGCTTATCAGCAATTTAGTAGACCGGGCCAAGCAAGGCATCGTTTTCACGGACCAAGACTGGGCTCGGCTACGCAAAACCCTGAGCAAAATCGATCCACCAGATCCCCAGTACAAGAAGAATAACTGGAGTGTTCAAGGCAGGCCTATACATATAATCGACTATGTGAAATTTGGCGTTGGTCAGCCTATAGTCGAGAGAGAGCTAAAGAAATTCAATGAATCTCTTAGCCAAGCGGAGAATTTTGATAAGGACCTCGTAAGGTATTATCAATATTACGAAAAATTCCAAAGACCATTCACCGAGCGTAAAGACGCTATAAAAAAGCTGACTTGGGAAAGGATTCTGGAAAAGCTCAAGAGGGATATTGACGCTGTTGCCCAAGAATGGCCGAAGTCTCGCGGCGAATGGGACGCCAAGCTTGCCGGTATTTATGACAAATGGCAAGAAATTGAACCGACAGACAAAGTTAAGTCGGATACAGTCAAATCTCTACTTCTGCAAGAAGACCAAGCTAGGATCGGCCTTTCAAGTTGGGATCTATTAAAGGCATCATTCGCCTTTAAGATGTACTACAGCAAATTCCCGAAATTTGTCTGGTATATCGCGGGCAAGCAACTAGCGTATTTAAAGGCTACATATACCAGTCAAGAGTTAAGCGCCCCGCCGGTGCTCATGACTCCTAACATGTACGCCGGTTCAAGGCCTGATAACAAATATGCCCGGGTCTTGGCGGCTAGAAACGACGGCCGTAACCTAGTCGAGGACGAAGCAATCGACGAAGAGGCGGCTACGTCCTTATCTGATGAGGAGGTTTAGGAGAGTTCATCGACTAGGGACAACACGTCTCGTTTATGGATTGTTATCATCCCGGTCGTTCTTGGCCGTTGGTTACGTTACGTTTTATGAATGAATGATGCCCTTTGATTTATTTGTTTCTTGTATTCGATGCGAGCGATTCACTAACATTTAGCCCTGCGCCACTGAGACACCTTAAGCTTTATAGCATATGGTATTAGAGAAATCGTTGGTAAGTGAGCATGTTCTCGTTAATGGCGGCTCCGTGCTTTGCGGCACATGCTCGTATATAAATATATCCGTCGCTAATAATTATCTCGGCGTGGCTGTGAGCGAGATGCGTTCGCCGGAGACGTAGTTGTGTCTTATCCGAAACCCATCTTAACCCACCATTAAGCAGATCCAATATGCCCCCAGGTAAAGTTTCTAAGCTTATGCAGTACTGTATTCTCCAGCTATTCGAGTTATTTTTGATGTATTTTTTTCTTGTCGTTCGAGATGGAGCCTTATGTGAACGTCATTTCTATTGGCTGGCATTACGTGACAGCCGTAAACCACGCAACGTGAACCGTGCCATGACAACCGGCAGATACGGTAGGTAGCCAGCCAGCCAGACTACAAGGTTGGTAGGATCTTCGGTTCGGCAACGACGCTGCCATGGCAAATCATGATCCAACCATCCGGCTCGGTAACTTACTGTCAGCATCGGAGGAGTGGATCATAAGACAACCTCATCTCGATGATCATTGGACCGTCGTACTCTTCAAGACTTTGCTCTTCAGCTTGAACCTCGTATCAAGTATACCTAGGTATCTCACCGCCCGTCGGGTGTGGGGATTCTAAGGCCGTCTCCCCTGTGACATAGGGCAAGCGAATTGCGCCCGCAGGGACGGGAAGCAACAACGTCCGTTGCGGTGGCGCTGCTCAGGTCTATTGACTGTCGATGGCGACTATAAATATAAGCTACCTACGTTTCTCGTTGAAGATGTTATTTGGATATCAATCACATAATTCCAGTCAACAGTCAACTCTACATCTAACATTTAATAAAAATATTTAATAACAACTTATAACTTCGAGTCTAAGAGCAATACCGCAAACATGTATTTCAAGTCCGGAGCAACATTACTCGCCGCCACCCTCTTTTCTCACCTGGCGGCATCGCAAGGAATCTTCAGTTGCCATACTCGAGAGGAGTGGGGGTATTCCCCGAAGTGCTGTATGAACATCGACGGCCAAGTGGGAACAAACTGTGAGTTTCGCATTGCGCGACGCTATTTTATACCCTACGAAGAAAGATGAGCGCACGTGCTAATATATTCTTCAGGTGTCACGGCGCATCAAATGGGTGCAACGGATCCGATCTGGGAATGCAACTTGTTCGTATACAACATCACGGGATGTTGTCAGTCGATTGTAAGTTCATAAACAGCCCACATGCATATATTTATATGTATAAAGAATGGTATTCGGAAGTGTTCTAGTACTAACCAGTATGCAGGGATACAAGAACCCGTACAATAATATCACGATCGATCTCTGCGCAACTTCAGTAGATCCACGATAAATACCTGTTATTAATACGGGGCCGGAGTTAAATAACAACTAATCGGGATTTATTGTGGGTTAATTAGAGCAAGACGGAGATAAACGTAGATACATAATGTGATTTAGGTGATAGGACCGGTTAGTAAAGACTATGTAATAAGAAATATGATCCATACATTGTTAGCTTGCATATTTTACGCCGATAGACTTGGTGATGGTGTGATCGAATTTTTACATCTGATCCATAAGGCATGAAAACCTACCTATCATAACTGTCATAGACCTTTAAGCAGGTACTTCACTTGAAGCCCTAATGGAGAATGGTGATAACTTCACCTTATCAGCGTTAACCCCGCCGCTATGTTACAATTATGCCGTACAAAGGGCCGGTTAATGCAGGGGATGATTTGGAGTTCAGCCAGAAAAGGGGGGTAGCTTGAGCATATCAAAGTAACCTTGATATCATAGAAGTATATATATAATACCCAAGATCGACTTGAAAGGAGCATCAACTGCTTCCCATCATCAATTACCATCTACTAAAACGTCCCGACCTGTTTGTTATACTACTCGAGCTTTAGTCGTATTCACTATGTCTACTTCTACCCTTTCTCCATCTTTAACTGCCATTCCTTTATCTTTGAAGGAGTCTCTAGACAACACCAAAGTCGAATACCGTCGACTCGGCACAAGTGGTCTCAAGATATCAGTCCCTATATTCGGGTGCATGAGCTTTGGTGATACTGAAGCGCAATCATGGGCTATCGATGAAGCAGATGTAAGTGACATTGGACGAGTGACTGGGTACTTTAGGTACTCATCTATGGCTCTGCTAATATTATAATACAGGCTCTACCTCTCCTTAAAGCCGCCTACGATAGGGGCTTAAATACCTGGGACACAGCTAACGTCTACTCCCAAGGCGTCAGCGAGGTTATCGTGGGGAAAGCTCTCAAGAAATACAACATCCCGCGAGAGAAGGTCATCATCGCGACCAAGTGCTTCTGGGCCGTGGGCGAAACTCCTGACGTCCGTCATTACTACTGCGGAGAAGCCCTCCACGGCTCCAAGGACTACGTCAACCAGTTCGGGCTATCCCGCGCTGCCATCTTCAACGCCGTGAACGCCTCCCTGAAGCGCTTGGATACCGACTACATCGACCTGCTCCAGATCCACCGCTTCGACCCCAACACGCCGATCGAAGAGACCATGAAGGCGCTCGACGACCTCGTCCGGTCGGGCAAGGTGCGGTATATCGGGGCCAGCTCGATGTGGGCGGTTAACTTCGCGCGGATGCAGTTCGTCGCGGAGAAGAACGGCTGGACCAAGTTCATCTCGATGCAGAACCACTACAACCTGCTGTACCGCGAGGAGGAGCGCGAGATGAACCGCTTCTGCAACGACACCGGCGTCGGCCTGATCCCCTGGGCGCCGCTGTGCCGCGGCCACCTCGCCCGTCCGCCCGCGGCCTTCGGCTCCACGGAGCGCAGCAGGCTCGAGAAGGAACACATGCCGGGTTCGCACGGGACCGTCGAGCCCGATCTGACCATCATCAAACGGGTCCAGGAGATTGCCGACAAGCGGGGCTGGAAGATGTCGCACGTAGCCCTTGCCTGGATCAACAAGAGGGTCTCCAGCCCGATCATTGGGTTCTCGAGCATAGCTCGGATCGACGAGGCCCTTGGTGCGAGGGGCTATGTTCTGACGGATGAGGAGGAGAAGTACTTGGAGGAGCTGTACCAGCCGAAGCAGATTGCTGGCCATGCTTAATTAAGAATGTGTAAAGTGTTAAGGATAAAATAAGGCTAGTTATATAAAGCTACCTAGACACGGTCTCATTTTGGCCATTCATTTATGTTTACGTGGAATTGTTAGATTTTGCGTATGATTTGATATGTCCATGACAGTTCTTGTGACTATGTCCTTACGCCTTAGCCCCTTTTGGTACAATTATTGATGATGATATCTACCCTGGATCGTGTAAACATTGGAAGTCGTACCTAATAACTATAGCTTATTAGTCTATTTACATGTTAGTTAGTAGTGGTCCTTTCTGTTTCACGAAATATCAAACAGAGCACGAATTACTTCTCTGCTAAAAGGTGGGATTGCACTCCACCCCTATCCTATGTAAGTCGTAAATTGGATCTACTTGTATACCTAGTCATATGCATGTTCTAAGCTAGCAGCTGAATAGTATCAATGATATTATTTGGGTGGCTTTTCAGAAAAAGGCCCTTTTCGGTTTGTTATGCGACGTTGAATGTCCTCATGATATGTGGTGTCCAAAATGTAGTATAGAAAAATTGATTGCCGACAAAGACATGTTGATGTCTAGGTACCTTCCAACTTCTTCCCTTGCCCTACCACTTTTTAGAAACAAGACTGCTGAACCTAGTCATTCACACGCACGGATGGTTCAATATGTTTATGCGCAAGAACGAGCACTTTGCTCCTCCCTTTATGTGCCAAACAAGCTTGTTTTTAAGGATACTTCCTTTCTTTGCTATAGTTTTCCTGTGATGTCTATATAAACCATTGGACATCCCGAATAGAATGCTCATACAAGCACTACATATCCAGCAACCTCACAGCTTATAAAAAGCCCTTTCTACACTACCTTCATATTAAACCACTATTTCCCACAAAGTTCACAGCAAGAAATTAAGATACAACAAACATCCATCATGGCTTGCGTGAAATCAACTACTGACAAGACTGCGGTCCCCGAAATTAATGACAGAGACGCCCTATACCGAAAGTTCGTACAGCTCTGCGGCTTCCGTACTGAAGCAACTGGCTCTCTCCTCACAAGCTTTGCACAGCTGCTTGTTCGCTCGTATCCAGTCAACAAATTCGTGATAACCCATCCATCCGTGACATTTGAACCGTTCTACTTCTTTTTCTACGGCTCTCTCCAGGCCAAGAGCACTCTGGTGCGTGTATGTGGCCTAGATGATAAGAACCCAACCCTAATCCCGGCGTCTATCAAAGGCTGGAGAAGTAAGTAAACATCGCCCCTGTTCGTACACGATAACAACCGCTAACTTGATATCCTTTAGTTAAGATGTGGGGTCAATTTCCCGCTTTGGTTCCCTCGGAAGGCAATGAGGTGAAGGGCATGTGCTGGAAGTGCGAGTCCCCGGAATACGTGGGCTCGCTCCGCAGATACGAGACCGATGCCTATCGTATGGAGTTCTGTGAGATCACCACAGACGAGGGTGAAGTGATTGAGAACGGACGGGTTTTCGTGTCGACGGAACTAGAGGGGGATCTAAGTGAGGGCAGCTTTGATCTCAGGTCGTATATTTATCGCCATTCGTATATGTAAGGGCCGTTCAAAGTCCCTGGGATGAATAACCCGGCGAAGAAGTTAGCCATGCTGCAAAGCTGCCTATAGGATTGGTTCGTAATGCGGCTGTAGGAGTATGTTATTCCTAGGATTAAGTATCATCTTGTTATCCACCGGCAGTGCTTTTCGAATCATTCTAGGTGGAGCTGGCACCTTATCATTATGTATCATTTAGAAGTTAATTGCACCTATTACACTAGTTAATCCAAAGTGATGAGAGTTTTTAATACTAAAGGATTGTTGTTTTAGTATAAAAATGAACAAGGGCATTGTTACGTGAAGTTGCAAGAAGTGTAAGAGGGATGTACCTAGGTACCTAAGCACGTACCCGGTAGGTACTTCTGTAAAGTGACTGGTGGGGCTAAATTAGGTTGAACAGTGGATGGAGGTTGCAAGAACATTCTCGATAACGATAAACCCCCCATCGTTAAATCCCCAATCCCCAATCGCGGGGTAAACATTCCACCTTTACATACAAGAGGCGAAAAGGAGAAAGTAGAGCTTTTGTTTACAAAGCTTCTGTTTACGAGTTTGTCTTTTATACCTTTCTACCATTCTAAATTGCAATCCCCGAATACCGAATATTGCAGGAAGAACCTACATTTTTAGATACCCAACTACCTAACTACCTAATATATCTCCATCAAAATGCCCGTGGATTATAGCAAGTGGGTAAGTACATGAAGCTATCTTACCTCGTGTCTCACGAGAGAGCCTGGGAGCCTGGGAGCCTCGAATGATGCTAATATATATGCTCCTCTTAGGACGCTCTGGAGCTCAGCGACGACTCCGATATCGAGGTCCATCCCAATGTCGACAAACGCTCCTTCATTCGCGCCAAGCAAAACCAAATTCACATGGAGCGACAGCAACGTAAACTCCAGATCGAAACTTTAAAATACGAACGTCAAGTCAACGATGGATTATTGAAGAGAATATCGAGCCTCTTGAACGCCCTAAAAGCTCATGCTGCCGAAGCAGAGACCCGGAACCCTGCCGAGGTCGCTTTCCAAGCTGTCATGGAGTCCGCCGGTAGACCAGAGGACGACAAGCCTCCCGCTCGACCCGAGGGTGTCCACGCGCAAGAGGAGCAGCCACCTACATATACCAAAATGATGGCCACTTTACTAGACCAAGTCAACAAGGAACTCGACGAGAAGAAACCCGAGAACCGTTACAATGCCATGGTAGAAGAAATCGGTGTACATCTAAACAAGGTCCAAGACTTACAACAGCAGCTATTAAGCAAGTTGGCAGAACTAGAGAAGGAAGAAAGCCGCAAGATTACAAGCGATAGCATCCACACGGGGTTTGATAGTTCGCATGTCAACAAGTCTACACCCTCTGCATCCGGGGCGAAGAAAGCCGACGACTCCAAAGTGGAGCTTCTAAATCCCGGCTTCTCGCAGTCTAAGTCGGAGGAGTCCAAGTCTTCGTCAGCCGCGGAAGACGACGATGACAAGGAGATCACGGCGTCGCCTGACGCTCAAAAGTTCGCCAAAATAAAGGCGTCTGATTATCGAGAAAGTCATTCCTTCATTGGCGCACACCCACACATCTTAACCGAGAAGGAAACAGACGGTATCCTGATCATGGCATTTGATGCCCAGCTGGAAGGGAAGGATGATTTCGCACGACAATGCGTCCACCAAGCTCTCCTGTTACAGTATTGTCGCGCGTTAGGCAAGGACGGCGTCGCGCTCTTCTTCAAACGCATTACTACCAAAGGTCACCAAGCGCAGGACGTCTTCTATAAAGATGTACAAGATACGTACTATAGGATCAAGAACCGTGCGGCTCAAATTAATGCCCAGCGAGAGGCTGAAGGTGGATCCGGAGAAGGAGTGGAACAGATCCAATTGCACGCTGTGGAGCCGGGCACCGAAATCAAGATTAGGATCCCACCTGAGAAAGGAGAGGACGAAGGCGAGAAGAAGGCTCGTGAAATTTTTGAAGGATTCACCCCGGAAATGCAAAAAGCCTTAGAGTCCGGTAGTTTGGATAAGGTGAACGAAGTGCTGGGCAAATTGAAGGTTGAAGATGCTGAGGAAATCGTTGCCCTTCTGAGCGAAGTAAGATGCTTTACCCATTGTCTACCTAAAGTATACGTACGATGGCTTACTAACGATTGCATAGGCTGGAATCCTGAGCGTAGAGGAACAAATAATAGATGCCACTACGGAGGCAGGACAAAAACATCTGAAAGAGATGGAAGAACAAGCAGCACGGGAGTCGTATGCGGACGATCCCGAGTAATCATGTCGCATTGGCTATATCTTGGCGGCAGCGAGGCAGGTTTTTGATGACAAAAAGCATGAGGAAGTGATAAACTCAAGGTAAAACTTGCAAGTATTGACGTCCCTAGGATTATCGCGACTGTAATGGTAGGCGTGCAGGAGAATTAATTAGGAATACCAACGTGGTTTAATAGAGACACTTGGATGGCAATGTACTATTGCTCGCTCTCTTGAGTCTTGACATATGGTGCTTTTTGAGATATCTCTTAAGGATAGTAGAACGACCCTATATGATTTAATAACCCCCTTTGAGTTTACTCGAGACTTAGCCTGGAGATTAGTGTACGACGCATTTTATATTACCAGGACCTACCACAACACTGAAAGGGTATCTAAACCAGTGTGGTCCAGAGATGTTAACACCCACTCGGGATTATCTTTAGATTAATGATCCAAGTTACAGAGGAGCAGCTACATAGTATCTTCAATAGTTTGTAAATGGCGTGAAAATGCATAATAGCCAACGAATAATAACTATGATTACGTACGGAGCCGTTTTGACGACGAACTTGCGCGGCAATGTACATATGTACCTAGGGGCTGAGGGCTTGCGTGGTTTTGACGGTTGGGGACCCTGAATATCGAGATGTTGTCCAATGGGAGAATTGTCTACATACTAGGGAGAAGATAAAAATAGGACAGGGGTCAGGTACAACTACGTAATACATAGCGCTGTACGTACAGTATGTGCAGCGTTACAAAAGTCGTGTATGCAAGTAGCAGGGGGTTATCTTGTACAACTCATAAGTAGGTCGCACCAGCCACTTAAGTGCATAACACAGGTTGTACAAACAATAGTTACCAACCATTCAACTTTTTATTCCAACCACATTTTTTTCTTTCTTTTCTTGTTACCTCTGCGTCTTTTATGTAGGTACCAAGGAAAACAAGGTCGATCGTTGTTGTCTTCGCCAATCCGAGTTCCGCATGGTCCGGAATCAACGGCCGAATCCAAAACTGGTTAACTGTTGCGGCTTGCTACGAAATCAAGCTTGGGCCGGCGGGTCTTGGTTCGTTTCAAGTTGCCAAAGAGGCTGACGACGCAAAAAGGCTGGACGACGCTCGCGTCCCGTGGAGGCGCAGTTCGATCGGTTGCCGACCACGAGCTTGACCACCCCACAAAACACGAACCATTCATGGTCGATCTAGAGCCTCTTGATGCTTGCTGCAGACAGGGATCGTCTTGATGGACAATGCATAGGTATTTTCTCTTTTGTCATACTATGGTACGGAAGTACTGTTTTCTCTCTCTCTCCCTTAACCTCCTGGCCAACTTTAAAACATATACGATACGAAGTAGATCTCTTAGTATCTAAGGTAATAAATAGGTACTTACTCCCCGCTACCTCTTTTCCGGTAGGTATATCTCTCTTTTCCATTTTTCTATTATTTCGTCGTCTATTTTGTCTATATACTATTAGAACAGTGAATAGTAGTTGTTCCTTTTTTCGTCCCTTTATCAGTACATAACCACCTATTCAAGACAATATGTTTCCTTCGTTATCTACGTTCTTCACTGTTGCCGCTGCTTTGACGGCAACAGTTCACTCCCTGCCGCAGGATGGCAGTTATGATGGTGGATACGGGGGTGAATACGGGGGTGGATACGGGGCTTCGTCGACCTCTTCCTTCGCTTCGGCCTTCGCTTCGGTAACACCCAGTTCGACGGCATCCGCGTCTGCCGCCTCTTCGACGACCGCTTGCAACAACTCACCTGACCTATGCAGTCGCTCGTATAGCGATATCACTCATATGGGAGCCCACGACTCTGCCTTTCTCCGAGACGCAAGCACGAGTAATTCGATAGCTGGCAACCAGTACTTCAATGCTACTGTTGCCCTAGACGCAGGCATCCGATTATTGCAGGCCCAAGTTCACGATCTAAATGGTGCCATAGAGTTATGCCATACGTATTGCAGTTTACTCGATGCTGGGACTCTTCAGGCTTGGCTAACCTCCATTAAGTCGTGGATGGATACAAACCCAAACGAAGTGGTGACCCTTCTGATCGTTAACTCCGATGGCAAGACCGCAGCCGAATTTGGGGCCGTCTTCAGTGGCTCGGGTATCGATACATATGGATACACGCATTCAGGGACTACATGGCCAACGTTACAGGAAATGATCAGTGCGAATACGCGACTGGTGACTTTCATCGCATCTATTACGGCGGATAGCCAATATCCCTATCTGTTATCCGAGTTTGACTATGTTTTTGAGACCGCGTACGAGGTCACATCACTCTCGGGCTTCAACTGTACCCTCGATCGCCCATCCACTCAGAGCTCAGCCAGCGCTGCCATCCAGGCTGGGATGTTGCCTCTCATGAATCACTTTGCCTATACCTTACTCGCCGCTTCGATCATGATCCCTGATTCGGACAATATCACTGTCACCAACAGCCCGTCAACCAATACTACAGGCAACTTGGGTCTACATGCTCAAACTTGTAACGAGGAGTGGGGTACCAAGCCCGTGTTCGTACTGGTTGATTTCTTTAACGAGGGACCGGCAATCGATACAGCAGATAACCTGAACGCCATCACTGCCGTCGGCCGATCTACCGCTGCCATAACCACCACAGTTGCGACAGCTACTGCTAGTCCGAAAAACCAGGGTCTCGGACTTGGCACTGAGGCCTTAATTGCTTTCATAGCAGCTGCTTTATTACTGGTCTGAGATATCGATCTAGATCCGGATATCACAAGATAGAAAAGAAAAGAAAAAAGCCAGTCCCCTGGCTCTCATTGTTTTACTGCATAGCGGTGGAGTTTTATTGTTTTATTTTAGGAGATGGCATAAAGGTTAGCATTCGGAGCATAGGACAGGCAGGTACTATCATATGGATTGAACATAGGCAAGGTGTGTGGCCAAAAATAGTCTTAGAATGCTCTTTATACCAAGGATGAGCTCTATAGAGTTTGGGACTTTGTGGTATATAGGTCTGGATATTAGGGACATAATATACCCTGATTAGTATTTAACTACCTAGTTACTTAACTTCCGAATCTTGCTTATTGTTATGTGAAACTGTGAAGTTGGTCTTGGTAGAATGAATACTTGATAGTTCTTTTTCGTAGTTATCTTGTTGTGTAGACTACCTGGTACCTTTGTTTGACCTTAAAGCCACCCAGGTAATTGCTTGGTTAATACGATATGGACGTCCAGAACTGGGATATACTTGACTACCTAACTTTAACCGATATACAGATCACATTTATATATCCAAAAAAATTTAACCCCTTATGATAGGATTGATTGCATGGGTATCTTTGATGACTACTAACAACACGTCTATTCGAACCGGGCCCCCCCTTTTGTCCAACCTAATTTGTAGGGACCAAAACGACTCAAGGGTGGACACCGACGGTGTAATGTTCACCTAACGCATATTCCTGAAGTCTTATCTGCCCCGCTCGTATAGATTGAAATATTACACCGCTGCCCTCCATTGCGCTGGCTTTCCCGAAATAAATTATCGACATCTTATGACGGTGTCTCCTCGCCATTTACCGCGTCTTCCATGGCTACGTCGTCAGCTGCGGCTGCGCCGTTGGTATTGGCATTGCCGTTGACGTCTTCTGTCTCTGCCTCCGCCTCTCTTAGGGTTCCGTAGATGAATTCTTCGAGGGTTTTGTATGCTTCGTCTAAGTTGTCGTTCGTAATGATGGTATCATAAATTCCCTCGGACTTAGAGTGCTCAATATCCTCCTGAGCAATCTTCAGTATGCTTTCCAGGTCTTCTTCTGGTGTGCTAGAACTCTTCAGCCGTGTCTCGAGCTCCTCGATGCTAGGTGGTGCGATGAAGATGAACCGTGCAGAGTAGCCATTGTCTTTGGCTATTTGGGCACGCTGGAGTAGAATTAGTAAGATCTAGTTATATAGCGTGCGCGGGTGGGCTCGGACTTACCTCACGGTCTAATTGGATGACGGGGATTTTCCCGGACTCCTCTACGGCTTCGGCTAGCTTTCGATTCGTTCCGTATTGGACTCCGTCTCGGTCGACGAACTCCATAAAGTAGTCGTTCTCTAATATATGATTAAATTCCGCGGTATCTACGAAATTGTAATCTTGGCCGTCGACTTCTTCATCCTTACGAGTTCGGGTAGTATGCGAGACGACTTTTCCGAATATGCCCTTGTGGTCCTCTAAAAGTTTTGAGAGTAATGTTGATTTGCCGACTTTGCTTGGTCCTGTCAAAATGATCGGCCGTCTATCTTCCGGCATCTGTCCGTTTTCAGTTGTTTCTCTTTCACCGTCATCTGAGCTTGGCTGCTCCTGAAATATGACATCGACGTTTTGCCAATCGTCAATCTTGTCAAAGACGGAAAGTTTTGATCTCCGGGCAATCCTAAGAGCTCTCCAAGTCTTGCTAGCTTTAGCCTCGAGTATCTCCGACTTTTCCTTCTCGCTGTTCGCGAAGTCGAGGTCGAGATCGTCTGATTTTATCTTATCCCTGAAGACGCCCAGGTCCGGAAGTCTCCATCTTTCTGGATCCTTTAGCTTCTCCATTGCTGTTTCACTGTCCTCTTCCTTTAGGAAATCCAGAGAGAGTGAGCCCATGGGCGTAGGGCGCAGCCTCTTGTTAGTTGCGATGCGCTTTGCACTAGCTTTCCCCTCCGCGAAATCAGCAGCCGAAAGGGGATCTCGCTTTATGGGTGGACAACTTTCAACTTTCCACCGGGCCCAATTCTTGTCTCTGGAGATTACGCTCTCGATCACACGATGGAAAAAGAATCCATCAGAATCAGCTTGCATGTAGAGTACTATCCTGTCCCTCATGGCCGCTGTCCATTTTGCCTGAGGATGGTTAATAATTTTAGGCTGTGGTGATCATAAGTGGACTTACGTCTTCTTCTCCTAGCTTGTGGTCGCCGTATATTACTGACCTATTCTGGACTTTGATTTTGGCGAGTTTTGCTTTGGCTTGGGGAGTGAGCGATAGGAGAAATTCTAAGATGATAAACGCTTGTATAAGAATGTGACGCCTGAAATATAGATCGCCCATCTAAAAAATGATTAGATATGGCTCAAGTAGCTAGGTTCGTAAGACATAGCGCGTACCTCTAGTTCGAAAAGCTCCCTACTTGTGAGATACTTAGGGTTATTCGTGCTACTGCGGAGATCGTCATCTCCTTCACTGTACTTTCTCTTTTGGGGTATCTTGCTCTCCTCAGAACCCTTTGTACTTCTCTGGAGTTTCGCGACTGTATCGAATGCAGACATGGTGGCTTCTAAACCAGCCTTGAACTTTGCTAAGTGTGTAGAATCAAAGAGGACTGTGGGTTGACTGAAATAATGTTGGAGCGACCAAAATATAGGATACAGGGAATCTGTATCGAGGGGTTTCTCCGGTGTTGGCTTATTCTTGCCATCGAATGAGACCGCTTTAGCCGTAGACTTGTTTTCGTCTTTTCCATCTTTTGTTGTATCGGTTTCCGTATCCACGACCATCTTATCCGTTGAGTCGTCTGGCTGGACTGGGGTCTCTTCAAATGATGTAACATTCTCGACATGATATTCTCCGCGCAAGTTAACCGAGCTCCTATCTCCCAGAGGGAAGCACTGAAACATGAATATGAAGACTCGACCGCAAAACGCCGTGTCTTCGGCGCGCGACAGTCGGCGTAGAAGGTCGTTGCAAGACCTAAGAATAACCAGCTTCTTGGAGTTTAAATGTTGTGCGGTGATTTGCTCTCTTCGAGACTCAAGGAAGTCGAATATCTTCCTACATCCTTCGGTCGTTTGGCTATCGAGTAGCTCTTCCACGAGCCAGAAAAGAAGGGCGGCGTCGCATTGTTCGCTATCAGACAGAACCGACAGGAAGTCAAAGAGATTCCAAATTTGAACGAATTCGGGGGAATCAATCGATGTCCCGGCCTGGAAAGAGTCAGCAATAAGTAACAAACACCGGATGTATTGAAGAGTTTGCTACGAACGACTAGGCTGCTAAACACATTCCGCGCGGCCGTTTCCACAACGGCGTACTGACGAGCCTTCTCGGATGCGAGGTTCTCCGAAACATAATCCGGTGAAGCGCACGGAAATATAGTAGGAAGTTGCGCAAGTACATTCTCAAAGTCGACCTTGGTGAGTGGAGGCTCGATTGTTGTCACCAACTTGACAGACTGCGCATGAACCAGGGCGTCCTTCAGAAGCGCCGCAAAGGCGTCTACCTGAGGTATTTCGTGGTCCAGATGCTTCGCTGAGGGCATCGTAAACTTTGTTGGAGATATCGTGGTTGAAGGTATTTATCGATCGTGGCCTTGAACATACGGATTTCAAGCCGAATTAGATGCTAACGTCGGATATTAATAAAGAAACGCGTGGACAATTGGCGAGCAAACGAATGAATAATTGTCGACAAGTTTTCGAATCATGTTAGGAACACGGACATTTGGATCGATAGATTGAGTGTGAATATTGGAAATTGACGGGTCGCTTTCTATGGGTTAATCTTTGCTCAGATCGTAGGTGTTGAGCTTGGAACAAATTGAATGGAACGAGAAGGCTGAGCTTTTGATTTGGATATCGGTACGTTGATATGTACATCTTGATATCGACTAAGCTACTAAAGGTTAGATGATAAGACTTAGTGGGGTATGAATGCAGGGGTTAGAGTCATTGTGCATGGAGAGATATGTAGCGCAATGCTGTAGCATAATGCACTACTATGGTATGTACCTAGAGGTAAAGAGCAGGGGTAAATCTGGAAAAGAAAAGTGGGGATATGCAATCAAAAATACGTACTGATTATCAACTTATCAACAACTACACGCGACAGGGCTGAGAAAATAAATGTTTGCGCTACAACGCTACAGCTACAACGTGATGTTCTCTATCGTCTTTATCGTATAGATACCTACCTACCTAACCAGCTAACGTAACGTCTAATAACTAATTAGTTTCATGTCCGTGCCGTACGAATACCGCCATAGGTCATAAGTCAGGCATAGAATTCCTCGGCATACCGCCAGGGTAATTTATCAGCCATGCCGACCGCGAAAAGATTGAAAAGCGATGCAAAATCCAAGTCGCGCGGTACCGAACCGCGACCAACCATCGCCGACTTGGAGGGCGAGAGCGAGTTCGCCCAGCTTGCAAGGCAGCATTGGCTGAAGACTACTAAGCGAGCCAAGAGGGTTAAGGTCAAGAACGAGGTACTGAAACGTGATATTTGGGATGTGCTCGAGAAAGATAGTTTCCCCTACAGGTTATTACTTGTACTCGAAGGACTACAGACCCTCGAAAGTTATCTTTGGCCTGGCTATTCCGAAGACTCATCTAATTTCCACGTCCTCCTAATAGTCCTCATTACGAACGTCAAAGCACGGGAAAGACTTGAGACATGGAGCATCTTCGAAGACCGTCCGGCCGAGTTCTCGAGTTTGTTCACTCGTGTACTCTCTATGACCCTTGACCAGACGTTATCTCTACCGATACGAACCCACCTGCTTTGCTTTACCATATATGCCTTTCAGAGCCTTGATTGGGCAAGCGTGAGGAAGGAATGTGCCCCGTTGGTTTCTATAGGTATATGGCATAATCTTTCTACCGAGTCGAAACGAGAAAATAAATTGGGTCAAAATCCACAGCTCAGAAAGGCCTGGAAGGCGGCAGGTAAAAGGTACGACTCAGCAGATGATGCAACTAAGGCCCGGTTACGATTTGAGAGAGCTTGGCTTTATACTTTGACACTAGACTTTCTTCGCTTGCTCTACGACGAGAAGAGGAAAGAAGAACATGTCGTCTATTGCGAACGATTCGTTGAATTCATTTCCGACCTATTAAGCCAGCTTCCAACAAGGCGATACGTCAACACTTTGCTTCAGGACCTACATATCTTACCTGCTCTACGGCTTTCTCCCATGTTCAACGACGAAGAAAACGGGTTACTCCGTGATCAGTATTCGCTATTGAGTCATTATGTTCACTTCACCATAGATGATCAGACGGGGGCTCAATATAGTCGAACAGAAGCATATGATCAACATTGCGCTAAGCTTGCAAAGCTCCAGCGAACAGCATTACGATATTTCAAGGAAAAGTTAACAGTATTAGCCCTGTCTAACTATGGGTCCATAGATAAAAGGAGCGAACTGGAAAATCTTCTGGAGGCTCTAACAGACGAGGAGATCAAGAGGCTTGCTACTTTGCTCGAGCTTAGAACAGAATACCCCGAGTCGGTCCAGGTCGCTATCAACCGGCCATTTTTGATGGAGATTCTCTTATCGACCTACGAGAAGCGCAAGACGTTCCAGGAGATCGCACAAGATATCAACATTCTTCCGACTGAAGATAGCCTTTTCGATCAAGAATTACTGAGAACGGATAACTACGACGGATCTAAGCCACTTGCGCTCCCCAAGCTCAAGCTACAATACCTATCAGTGGGTGATTTCCTTTGGAGGGCCCTGGTGCTTTACCGATGCGAAGCTTTTTACGGTATTAGGAAAGACATCGGTGATGCGTTGAGACGTCTACGACCAGAATCAAAACGCCCAGGGGAGACCACATTCGCTGGCTTTTCAAGAATGGCTCTTCCCATATCTCGGCCTTCCATTATTGAAGTTGTGCCACCACGCGTTGGCGATGATAAACCTTCTGCTGTCAATGCTGAAATTTCGCTTGACGTCCGTCGGCTTGCTGACAATATTAGGAGAGATTGGGATTCATTACGTCCGGACGATGTAGTATTTCTTGTTGCGGTGGACGCCTCGGTGTCGAAAACCATCTCTAACGGGGGCGCTCACGCGATCTCCGAAGCGCAAAAGTTAGGGTTAATATCTGTGCGAGCTGCTGAGGTTGCCCAGGTTATGGATGATAAAGGAAAATCTATTAGAGATCCTACCACTTACTTCAGCGGGCATAACAGGTCCCCAACAAGAAGGCTACTACTCAGATTAGACCCGAAAGCTTACAAAGAAGATTCAGATCGAATCTCCAAAGGCAAACCAGACGTATACGAGCGAATCAATCTAGTCGTCCGGCGAAGCGGCCGAGAGAATAACTTCAAACCGGTGTTAGAATCCATTCGTAGCCTATGCCTTTCGGAGGTGCCCCTGGCATCCTGGCTACACGAGAACTTCCTCGGCTACGGCGACCCTGCCGGCGCTACGTATAAGCATCTGCCAAACCGCATTGGAAAACTTGACTTCAGAGATACGTTCTTGGACTGGCAACACTTAGTTGCGAGTCTACCTGGAAAAACCATCGAGCCAGGCTTCAATGTGACCGCAAGCTTCGGCCCTCCTTACGTGCTAGAGTCAGTGGATAAGCCCCCAGAAGAGAAAACGATCAAACCCTCTAAGAAGCGAAGAAGGGATGCCGAGCCCGCTCTAAATTCCGAGATAGAGACGTACAATGTCTCTACATATAAGCCGCCTAATACTGGACCATATCCCGTCGACGCCCCAAAGCTGAATACCGTCCGGTTCACACCAGCTCAGATTGATGCGATAATATCCGGCACACAACCCGGCCTTACCGTTATCGTTGGCCCGCCTGGGACGGGTAAGACCGACGTAGCGACGCAGGTCATCAACAACATATACCACAACTTCCCCGAGCAGCGCACGCTACTAATTGCACATTCTAACCAAGCTCTGAATCAATTATTCGCGAAGATAGTAGCCCTGGATATCGATGAACGACATCTTCTTCGTCTTGGTCACGGAGAAGAAGATCTCGACACTGACGGGAATTTCAGTAAGCATGGCCGAGTGGAGTCTTTCCTTGAGATCAGAGACCGTTACCTCCAGGAAGTAAATCGTTTGGCGGCTAGTATAGGTGCTCCTGGAGCCCATGGGAACTCCGCCGAGACAGCGGGATATTTCAATTCTGTCTACATCAAACCTGCCTGGGCCAAGTTCAGTGAGATAGTCAAGGTGGAAGGTTCTTCGGCGACTGATATCATCGAAGCCTTCCCGTTCCACAATTACTTTTCCGATGCCCCCCAGCCCCTGTTCCCTCCAGAGAGCGATCGAGAAACTGTTCTAGATATAGCTAATGGCTGCTACCATCATATATCGAAAATCTTTTCCGAGCTAGAAGATGTCTTACCATTTGAGATCCTGCGGCGAGATCGAGACAAGGCCAACTATCTTCTAACGAATGAAGCTCGCATCATTGCCATGACATCAACACATGCCGCAATGCGCCGCACTGAGATTGCCTCTCTTGGTTTCCACTATGATAACGTGGTCATGGAGGAGGCCGCCCAGATTACTGAAGTGGAGAGTTTTATTCCTTTGGCTATGCAAAAGCCTGAAGGTGGACAGATGGCTTTACAAAGGGTCGTTCTCTGCGGTGACCACTACCAGAACTCTCCTGTCATACAGAGTCTTGCCTTTAGACATTACGCCAACCTTGAACAATCCCTTTTCTCTCGATTCGTCCGCCTAGGAGTACCTGTTATCACGCTCGACCAGCAAGGCCGTGCCCGCCCATCCATCGCCGCGTTATACCAATGGAGATATCCTAACTTAGGGAACTTACCGCATGTCGAAAGCCTGAAGGAATTCCAAACTGCTAACGCTGGATTCAAATATGATTATCAGTTCATCAGCGTCCCCGACTACAAGGGCCATGGAGAAGTTGAGCCGACACCTCATTTTATTCAGAATCTAGGTGAAGCGGAGTACGCAGTCGCCATATACCAATACATGCGGCTCTTAGGTTATCCAGCGTCGAAAATCAGTATCCTTGCCACTTACGCTGGTCAGCGGGCCCTTATCAAGGATGTATTATCCCATCGATGTGCAAAGAATCCTATATTCGGTTTGCCTAAGGTAGTGACAACTGTCGATAAATACCAAGGCGAACAAAACGATTGTGAGCAAACCCCGAATTCACTAGTTATAAAACAAGGTTTCTAACTGCAGACAGATATTATCCTTTCACTTACGCGCACATCGAGGGTCGGCTACCTACGAGATATTCGACGTCTTACTGTGGCGCTTTCTCGTGCCCGACTCGGATTATATATCCTTGGTCGGAGAGAAATTTTCGAAGCATGTTACGAGCTACGCCCAGCTTTCGAGCTATTACTTCAACGGCCAGATAAACTTACGCTTGCAACTGGTGAGATGTGGCCTTCAGAGCGCTTACAGGCAGAAGAAGACGGTACGACTGTACCTGGCGAAGCGGTGATGGAAGGAATCGAGCATCTGGGCCAGTTTGTCTACGAAATGACAACTACAAAAATAAATCAGCTACGTGCGGAGCGCGGCTTACCGGGCACAGTCGATGCGCCCGAGAAAGTGTTGCAGGCGGTTGCAGAGGAAGACGAGGTTGGTTACGTTGACGAGAGCGATGAAGAAGTCGACGAGGACGTGCTGGGCAATAGAATTGAGGCTGAGGCTGAGGAATGATAGTCGGAGAAAGGTTTAATTGAAATGACTATACTGATTAGGGGGGTGATCCCAGCATAAATGACGTAAACCTGTATATAAGGAGCAACTGGCAACTTTGACGTGGGTACGCTGGATT